GCCCGCAACCTCGAAATTTGAGCACCTTGGATTACGAACGCGAAGGAAGGGCCTCAGGCTCGAAATGAATGTGGGACTTCAGCTTCCGAAGGCCGCGGGAATCAAACACGAATCTGAAAATGGCGGTTAATGAAGCGCTCAGGGTTTGGGTGTAAATACACGGATTTTCAATTAGGGGCCATTTTGGATACAAAAATAGATAATATAAGTTTGGTCGAGAACAGCTGACTGTTTCACAAAAAAATGGCTTTTAATTTCAAAACTCAAGTTTGAAAATAATTGAAATTTTCAAAAAGTCCTGGCTCAGAAAGGGTCTGTTTCACAAAAAACCTCAGAATTTTAAAGTTCAAACGAAAAATAGGGCTGTTCACAAGAAAACTTAATATATAATAGATCAAGGAAGAGGACTGTTTCACAAAAAATGTGAAAGATATGATTGAATATTACTCTACTCCACCCTGCAGTGCCATACGGTTCCGTTAAAAACCGTATTTTCAAATTTGCATTCCCTACCCTACCCTACCTTATCTTACTCTACCCTACCCACCTTTCCGTACCCTACCTTACTCTACCCTACCCTACCCACCTTATCCTACGTTATTTGCTTGAATCTTACCATAACTTACCCTGCTTTTCTCTGATTTTGCCTTTTCTACCTTATCCTACGCAGTTTTGGTCATGAAAATAAAAGTTTTTATTACTTATCAGTCCAATTAAAACCTATAAAAAATTCTTAAAATTAACAACACTGAACATCTCCAATCCTGTCTTCTTACAAAGTGACAAAATAAAGATTATAAGTGCATTCATACTATCAAAATTCAAACCCTACTTTCTAGTATTCAAATTGTAAAGCCAAGAGTTTACACCAAAGTTCGTTTACCTTTTGGAATGTCTCGCGAGGTTAATTCCGGTCCAAAAACCCTATTGTGAGTCACTTGTCATCAGAATTGTTAAACCCATTTACAGCTTTTTCGAGACATTTTTGGGCCGCTTTTTGTTTTGAAACATAGCTTTAAAGCGTGAGGGGGGGGGGGAAGGGAATAAAATTTAAACATAAAAAACCATTAAAGTTGAAGTTTTTAGCAAATTTTAAAATTTTCAATTTTTCAAAAATTAAATTTTGATTACAAACTTTGATTTTAAAAATTTAAAAAAAGCCTAAATTTCAAATTTAAATTTGAAAAAATTGAATTTTGATCTCTTCAAAAAATGGCTTTTAAGTTCGAATATGAATTTTTTAGTTTAAATTTTTAAATTTAAAAAAATTATTTGAAATTTTAAGTTTAAAACGAGCCCTTGAGCCCTGTAAAACTAAATTATCCAGACCACTTAATCCAAAAAAAAATTAAATTTGTCTTCCCCCCCCAAACTGCCACACCCACTCCGCCCTCACCTATCCCACTCCACCCCAACTCTTCCTACTCCACCCTAACCTATCCCAATCCACCCTAACCCCACCTTCCCTATCCCAACCCCACCAGCATGCCCTCTACATTACCTGAAGAATGTGAACCCGTGTGCCGGAATCGGCCGAAACCGATGCCCCCCGAAACGTCATGTTGAAAAGATAATTCGGCATAACGGGAGTCGATTGGGGCCGCTCATCGCTCAACACCCCTTCTCATCTCGCTTTCATCTCCCCCTCGGCCGTTTTATCCCCCTGCCCTAGCTTCAGCCGTTTCTTCCTCTTGCCTTAGCTTCAGCCGTTTCAACCCCCACCCTAGCCACGGCCGCTTCATCCCCCCACCCTAGCTTCAACCGTTTCATCCCCCCACCCTAGCCACGGCCGCTTCATTTCCCCCCGAATAGCCGCGGCCCATGCCTTATTCGGGGTGAGAGCGCCACAGAAAACGAGTATTAAAAAGTGGAGAGATGCGGCCAAGTGCCCCGGCGGATTATTTACAGCCTTTTTTTGCTTCGTCTTCTTCTTCTTCGGCTCCATCTTCTGAAGGAAGGCCGCGAAGACATTGTTTGATTTGGGTGAAGGAGCAATGTAAAATATAAAATGTCATCTACATTAAGAAAGAAAGGCAATGTAAAGTGTTATCTACATTAAGGAAGAAGGAGCAATGTAAAATGTGATTGATCTGGTAGGTTGTTCAAATAATTCAGTGCTTGCTTCTCAACCCCAAAAATTTGCTATGAGAAAAAGCACAGAACTATTTGAACAAGTTGATACCTATAGAAGAAAGAAAATGTAAAATGTTATAGATGTTAAAGAAGTATTCTTATGCACTGTCCGGCCGTAAGACTTTGATCTGGTTAAGAAAGAAACAGAAGAAGGACAACATATAACGTCTGATGAACCGAAAACACGTATTAAGTCTGCAATTCAAAATTCATAAAAAAAAACTTTATTTTGCAATGCTATACCTTATCTTACTTTACCCTGCCCAACCTTACACTTTTTTAATTGAAAAATACAACTAGATTCGTTTTTTGAGAGAAAAAACTGTGCAAAACACTCCCCCTAGCTCCATCGCCCGATCTTGAAGCGTGGTATAGCAATATATATTTAGTATTAAAAAAGATCTTTTAAAATTTAAAAATAGTAGAAATTTTTATCTCGATGAAAGTAAATTACATTCTTTTAAAGATAACACAAGCCATGAAAATTTTCCTTAAAAATATGATCAATGTGGTCCAAAGTCTAGACTAATAAAACCACATAAACAATAATTAAACCACATATGTCACATGTTATTTATATAATACTTGAAAGCATAAACATAATATGCTAGGTAGTTCAAATAATTTTGTGCCCCCTTAACACAAAAATTTGCTTTGAGAAGGAGCACGCAATTATTTTAACAAATTAATGATTAATAAAAAAAATTTAGGGTACTACTTACAAGGAAAGTGTCCGACCTGCCCCGCTCTGATTGACTTCAAACTTTTTATATAGGAAGATCATGTAAATATAAGGTCTTCAGCAAAGTACTAAATCGCGCTTTCCAGGAAATCTCGAGAAAATCGAGATTAAAAAATGACATTTTGAATTTCCCGCCAACTTGGCATTGTGTTTTAAGCTTATAACTTCGTCATTTTTTGACTTTTTATAATTTTTCTTTGATATACTAGTAGAAAACCTAAATTGTCCAAAAAATTTTCAGACTTATTCAAAAAAGTCTAAAAGATCATCAAAGCAACATATCAAAAGCTTCATTCACAAAGTTTCATCAAGATATGGTCTTGAAAACATAATATGAGACATTGTTGCTCCCTTGAGGGCAAAAAAGCTGCTCTTTTGCTAAAATACTGTAATTGACTTTTTAGCTGAATAGACACTTTTCAATACTCTACCCTACCCTTACCCTACCCTACACTACCCTACCCTACCCTACCCTACCCTACCCTACCCTACCCTACCCTACCCTACCCTACCCTACCCTACCCTACCCTACCCTACCCTACCCTACCCTACCCTACCCTACCCTACCCTACCCTACCCTACCCTACCCTACCCTACCCTACCCTACCCTACCCTACCCTACTCTACTTTACCCTACTCTGCCTTGTCTAGACTAGACATAGAGATAACGAGCCGAGCCGGTAATGAGCAAAACTCAAATCGAGTCTGGCCGGCCTTAAGCAAAATTTAGATCAATCTGGGCCCCGAAATTAGGCCCAGCCCGTTCCTCATATCTAGCCCTGTTCCGTCATGCATTTTTATCTTCTGTCCTGCCTACCTTGCCTTTCTCTGTTCTGCCATACCCTTGTCTACCCTTTTCTACACCTCCCAGCCTTACATCACTCTGCCCTGCCCAAACCTCTGCCATCAGTACATTAAAAACCTTTGCCTACTTTACTTCCAGAACCCTCAAACCCTTACTTTCAACATTTCAAAACTTTCACTTACTTCCACTACGTTACCAAACCCTTGCCCGACATACGTTTTCACATCCGTTTCGCATCGAAATTCATAAATTCTCGGGAAGCGGATCCAGTAGTCATTTCCGCGCACCCCCTACTGTAACTTTCGCAAACATTCGAATACGGTGGCCGAAACCCGAAAGTAAGCCGATTACATTGTGTTTGAGTTGACCGTAAGTGATGCTGTGTCAACAGAAGCGATTAATATTAATCGGGTTGAAGTCGGCCAAACTTCAGACGAAATTTGGCCTGAATCTTGGTCTTAATGATTTGGCCAAATTTTGAAATTTTGAAATATTTTTAAATTTCAAAAATTTTTTTTAAATTAAAAAAAAAAATTATAAAATCAAAAGTGAAATATTATGAAAAAATAGTTTTAAAAATTAATATCTTAGTAAAAAAAACGTATCTTACCTAAAAATTATAGCAAAATGCATTAACAAGGAAAAAAATGGTAATTGCTCAACTTGCCCTGCTCAAAATCAGCCCAAAATTTTTATATGAACTCTTTGCACCACCAATAGTACCCATAAAAAATTTCAGCTTCCACTTTTCAGTTTTAATATCAAAACATTTGAAATCCTCGTCAAGTTGACGAATTTGGCATTGTGTTTCAAGCTCTTTTGTCGACTTTTCACACAAGCTAGCCTTACAATTTTAAAAATGCTAGTCCATTTAACGGTTTTACACTAGTATATCAGAGGAAAATGATTAAAATTCAAAAAATGACAACCTTATAAGCTTGAAACACAATGCCAAGTTGGCGCAAATTTCAAATTTAAATTTTTTGATTTCGATTTTCTCGAGATTGACTAAAGCTAAGAAAATAAATTACAGTAGTTTTTAAATTATATTGACTTTTACGAAGATTTTTTTAGAAAAAACTAATTTTAGACTTCAAAATTTTTAGAGTCAAAAAATTTTTTTTCATTTTTTTAAACTTTTATTTTACCCAATTCCTTAAAATTTTCAATACCAATTTCAAACCCCCACCTTTTGTCATCACTACCTTTCCCATATAACCCCCATCCGCAGCCTGCAGCGTTCCGGGCGCCGTTTCCAACCCCCGAAGCAGTTATTTTTGTTCGAATTTTGTTTACTCTTTTGGCGTAAACATCAGAACGATGGTCGGGAAAGAAGTAAGAGATTTCGGTTCATGGGACTGTTCGCTGGATGCGACCTTTGTGACATCTGGAACATACAAAGGATTCCCGGAACTTCAACAAACTCAAGGTAAGATCAGGTTTTGCTCGAAAAATGAGCCAAAAATGGCAGATTTTCAGATGTTTTCCTTGGAAAATGCACGTTTTTGATCAAAACGCGACGGTTTTTAGAGGAAATTTTGATAGGTATAGATGTTTATGATATTTAGCTGTGTTGTAAAGGGAATATTGTTACTATTTCCGAGCTTAGTCTGTTAAGAAATGGCAATTGATTCAAGCTTTTGCTAAAAAACCGCTGGTTTTTGATGGAAAAACGTTCTTTTTCGAAGAAAAATTGATAAACATTGAGGACTAAATAGCTATTGATGGCTGTGCAAATAATGTACGTTGCTTTTGAAATGTATTGTATAACGATTTTCTTATTGTCATTACACAAAAATGACAATTTTTATCAATTTTCTTTAAAAAACTCCCGATTTTCCTTAAAAAACTTTCGTTTTTGATCAAAATCCGGCCGTTTTTGCTCAAAAACTGATGAACTATCGACTGGACATTAACGTATATTTATTGTAGATGGCACTGTGTTTGTATTAAAGCAACAGACACGTGATGGAAGCCGGTTATTGTTCAGGAAACTGCCAGAAGAACAGGAATTTAAGCAAATTCCCTGTCTAAGTCCGATTAAAAATGGAGGTAAGCGAATGTTTGGCGGGCTGTTTCTTTTGTTTATGGATTGATTTCGAATATAAATACTCTTTGAAATGATAGGGAAAACATTGAAATATCTAAAAATAAGGTTTGGAGTTTGATTTGAGGTTAAAAAGTAGCCAGAACTTTTGTTTTTAAGAGGTTTTTGATGATTATTACGTAGTGTAATATTCAAAAACTTTTAACAAATTTTAAAATGATGTATTTTTAGTAAACGCCTACGGAGCTTTGGCATTTTTTGCCAAAAGTAACGACGAATATGCCTTCACCTCACCAGCTAAAATAACCTGGATCAGACCCGATAGCGAGCCGTTTGTAATCGAGAAGGAGAATGTAGAGTTTGGAGATTTATTTATACATGATAACTATTTATACGCCTTAATGGAGGACAAGGCCCACAAACCATCGGAACAGTCGATAATCAGGATAGAGTATGGTAAAGAGGGATTGTTCGCAATGGCCAAAGGCTACGACTTCTTTGGATCGCCAAGAGTTAGTCCAGACGGCCAATACTTGACTTACCTGGCTTGGGACAATCCTAACATGGTAAGACTGGACATTTTTTTATTTTAGTGGCTGGGTGAGATAAAAAAATATATTGTCGTGGGGCGGGATAAAAATTTATTTTTTTTTGCTGGCAGGGGTAATTTTTGAATTCACAAAGGGTGAACCCTTAAAAGTTTCATTTTTAAATAGAAAATGCGAAAACTTTGTTTACATTCAAATTTTAGCCATGGGACGCAACAACAGTACACCTGGTGGAGCTACAAAAGAACCCAACTACTGCGATACGAATTTTACCTCACCTAGAGCAAGCTAGTACGAATTATCAGTCAATACAATGGGCTCCAGATTCCCAGTCTTTTTACTTTATCAGCGATCATAACGATTTCTGGATGATATACAATTACGAAGTTGCTACAAGTAAGACTTTATGACATTTCTAGATGTAGTTTTTTAATTTTTTGAAAATTGGGTATGGGGTTTAATAAAAAATTGCAGTTTTTTGGGGTTTTTCTCACCGAACACGAGAAAATCAAATTTTCAAAAAAAAATTTAAATCTGTGCCATTCTATTTTGACCCAATGTACGGAACCTCAAACATCATTTTTAGAAAGAGCATAATCTCAGCTATTTAATCATATTGCTTTAGACGAAATTCATCGGGTAGCATTTGAGCACGAGGCCGATCTGGGTGACGCTATATGGCAAGTTGGAGATGACAAGTTTTACTCAGTAAACGCCAATTTCGTCATATACACGGCAAAGGAAGCGTTATACAAGAAAAATTTGAAGAGTGGTGAGATTACCGAGATTAAAATTCCTGGATTCAACACTTTTTCAAAGATTTTTATCAATTCGGATAATGTTATCGTATGTTTGGCTCAAGGCGCTGTTAAAGGTGACACTATACTCACGATTGATGAGAAAGTAAGTTTTGGCTTATAGAGTTGAATAGTTTGGAAGGGTAGTGAAGTATTTAGGAATATTTTTGAAAAAAATTATTTTGAATTTTTTTTTAATTTTGAAAAATTTGAACGTTTGAACCCTCCTGTGGATTTTTTTGATTTTTTAGTTTTAAACTTTAAAATTTAGGAATGACAACAAAAAAATTGTACATATTTTAGAATCAAGTAGCTCTAATCGATGAAGTATTCAACTCATCGCCTCTAGAACAATATGGATTCGGCCAGTATAAACTATTGGATTATCTAGTTAAAAGTGATGATGGCGAATTATTTGTCGTTACCGGCTACTTTTATCCTCCTGTGGTGGGTTATTGTGATTTTTTAGTATTTTTTTTAGTAAAGTTGGTATTATACATTTTAACATGTTTTGAGGTTTAAATTTAAACTTTTTTTTTTAAAATTTTTTTTTAAATTTTAGCTAATCAATCCTTTCAGAATCCCAGATTCGAAGGCCCAGAAGACGAAAAGCCCCCAGTTATCATAATGGCTCACGGCGGTCCAACCGCCCAAACCAGACCCACTTTCGACAAGAAGAAGGCCTTTTACCAGTCGAAAGGCTTTGCCATCTTCGACATCAACTATCGCGGCTCCACGGGTAGAGGACGACGCTACAGAGACGCGTTATACGGACAATTTGGCGATGCTGATGTGAACGATGTCCTATCAGGCATCAACTTTTTGAGAGATCAGGGGGAATTCATCAATCCAAAAGCAGTGTTCATCACCGGATCATCAGCTGGTGGATACCTACTGTTGAGAGCGCTGATGTATAACAGGAAAGCATTCAGGGGGGCTGCATGTTCGTACGGCTTCTCTGATATCAAGGCTTTGTGTTCTGAAGACCACAAGTTTGAACACGCTTACAACTTCCACTTGATCGGTCCGAAAGACGATGAAGCGGTAGGTCAGAGCATGATTAATATTGAAATTGATGGATTTTTGCTATTTAAACGGATAAAATGGTAAAGATGGTTAATATAGTGTTAATCTTGATAATATTGAAAGGTTATACCCAATGATTTAACACTATTTTAGATTTGGAGAGAACGAACCATGAAAGGCAAGCTAGACATGATTCGCACGCCGACCATCTTCTTCCACGGCAAAGAAGACCCAGTAGTACCATTCACCCAAAGCATCGACGTCTACGAGGAGCTGTGGTCGAACAAAGTCAAAACCGCTCTCGAACTGTACGAAGGCGAAGGTCACGGATTCCGAATCAAGGAGAATGTGGAGAAAACCCTGAACCGCACCTACAACTTCTTCTGCGACGTCCTCCAGGTGGATCCAGGTCGAAGCATTGAACTCAACAAACCAGCCATCAAATTAAGATTCCCCTATAGAGCACTCCATCCCATTCTACGTTCTGTATCTAAAATTTAAATATTGAATTAACTATTCGATTTACAGTGTAAATTAAAATTAACCAGAGATTGGAAAGTTCAATTTTTTGATTTTTAAATGATTATGAATGGATATAAAAACGATTTTAAAAGAAGATCATAAGTATAAATAATATTTTTATAATAAAAAAGTTTATAAAAACTTGCTATTTCACGTTTTCTTATCACACATAAGATTTCAATAGGTCCCACCGCGAAATCAAAACATTTGGTGATACGCTGCAAGTAAAAAATAATTTAACAAATTCTCTGTAAAATGGGTGTAAACCAACTCTTTTCAGCAACTCATTGCTATTGGGCTGCAGCTGTAGCTTATCCAGCACTAGAATTTGCCATTCAAGGTATGTTATATTGAGTTAGGTTTAAAAACAGATTTTTTTAGTGAACAGAGACGAAAAAAGCTTTCTGGGGAAGTTACTAGTGAAAAGAAGCAAATTCAAATGGTCAGAAGAGAATATCAACTTGTTCGACGATGAATTAGCCGACTACACAGCACAAGAGGACGTGGAGTTAGGTGGAACAAAGGTAATATTGTTGCGAACGCAATCTTTTACATGTCGTTTGTTTAAGTTTAGAAAACCGCTTGAAGTTATGAAGATTTTAAACAGTTTTAACTTAAAGTTAACTTCATATTGCTTTCTAAATTTATATTTTTCTGTAGGTCAACTTTTCTACACATCCAGGACTTCACGATCGAATTTTCAGTATTTTTTCGGCCAAAGACGGTGTTGAGATTGACATTCCGACACGAATATTGGCTTCAAACGTGGAAGAGTTGAGGAGTATCTTGCCAGAATCTATTAAACAGTATGTTATTGTCTTTTTTTATTATTGTTTTTATGTTTAGGTTAACAAGCAACACTTTGACATCAGATTCGTTAAAATTGATCAGTGATGATGAACTTAAAACAGTATTGTTGTCTGATGAAGCGAGGAAGTTTATATTTAGACGATGCGTGGAGAAAGCTAGTTTGTGAGTCTAATTATATTATGGCTAATATTTGGGACTTTTTTTATCATTTACTTCTTCAATATTTTGAAAAACAGTTAATATCATCTATAAAAATATAAAACTAATTGATTTTTCATATTTTACTTTCATTTGATATACTTTGATAACAATATACTATTTCAGCTGGATGTACATGTTTGTGCACGGCTTCGCCGACATTGGAGTCTATATGATGTTCTTTCCCATGTTTAAAACACTAAAACCTATCATTGGAGGTTATGTTAGTTTAGTTGTGACGAGTTTAGTAGCATTTGGAGCATATTGGTTTGTGGTGCAGCCAATGGTGACAAAGTCCTATGATCTGCACATTGATCGGAAGATTATTGAGCGGTAAGGGCGTAAAGCTAGGTATTTTGATGTTTTAGGTAGCAGAAAATGTTTTAGATTGAAAAACATAAAAATGAATGAATTTTTTGAAATTTAAAGGTTAAGATTTGAATTTTAAAGTGCTTTTAGGTTTATAATAACATACCTTGACAATAATTTAAAGTTTTTCTTTAGAAGACCCGACTTGGTCAAAGGAGCAGTTGAATACCTGGAGAAAAGCCAAAAATATTGTCTATTAATGAATCGTATGGCTAAAAAAGATCGTGGACATCCATTTACACTAGATGGTAACCCAACTGACAATTCTACACCATTCACACTTCGATTAGAAGGTATCAAACACACAGTGAAGGCGAAAGAAACGGCGAGACGGAAAACATACGTTTGACTTGGTTATGTTGTTGTTGATTGTAATAAATTAGGTGTAAAATACGTTGTGTAAAAATTCTATTAAATGAGTGTTACTTCTACAAAGTATCTTAATGATTTTATGGGTCTAATAAGGTATAATGTTGGATGAGCGGCCATTAGAAAAAAGGCAAACTTGAGGCTAGAACAGCTAAGTATAAGCTCGTCTTACCTTAGCTGAAGAGTACTACTGTTTTGGGCCCTTTTAAAAGCCGTTCTAGCCTAAGATATAAGCTTTTTCTAGGCTTCGGTACTAAATATCTAAATCAATCACTTTACTTACAATAACTAAATCAGATTTCTATTTATACTTTTTTCAAATTTAGAATGTCAAAACGAGCAAAGCCCGGGTTCACAACCCCCTTGGACAAATGGATTTTGTCGCCATGGGGCAGAAAGTTTCGAATCGGTGTTCTAGGAGCTACTGTTGTGATATATCCAACATACTACATGATAGCTAATGGACCAATGGTTAAAAGTAGATTCAAGGCAAAAGTCGACGCGGACAGCACGTTGCCTGAACGATTGGACAGGATAGTTACACAGGTATGTTGAAGTTCATTTTTGGGAGGGAAATAAGCGTTAGAGGTTAACAATGGATTGGCAAAGTGGTTTTATAATAAAGAATGTCATTTTAACAATTTGGTACAGTGTTTTACGTTGTTTTTCATTAGAAATGACAATTTTTTGTCTGTTTATGTATCAAAAGTAATGAGTATTTTAAAATTTTGTTGACTTACATTGATTTAGGAAATCAAAGATTATCAAGAACGCACTGCAAGAGCCGACAAAGATACAGTAATATCGTTTTTAATCCAGAAGGATTTGAGTAAGTGATATTTTTATTTTATCTTAGCCTATTCTGCTACCTTTACTCATTTTCCTTTCCCTACTTCACTTTACCCTCATCTACTCTACTACGGTCCCTATTGTAACAGCTACCTTTCTCTAATGAACAATGCTTTACCCCACTCCAAAAATAATGGCATAAACCTTCAGATTACCTCGACTCAGTAGCCGTAGGATCGTTGGGAATGAGGTTTGGTGCCTATATTGGTCTACCTCTAGCTTCAAGGTTTCAAAATAAAGCAGAAGTGGAAGAATACAGTAAGAAGTACCTGGAACCTCTCAAAGTATTACAAAAGGACGTTTGTGTTGTATGGGAGACGAAGTTTGGCAAAGACTTGATCGATACTCTACATTTGTCTGATAATGTAAGGGTTTTTACTGTTTTGCCTAGGGCGGGGTATTTTAATCGTTTTGGTCTTGGAAGGGTTGGAGGAGGGGGGGGAAGACAGGAGGTAAAAATTTACTTTGTTTTACGGAGGTTGCTTATGAATTTATTTTTGTTTTTTTTTAATTACGATAAGGGTGTGGTACGGGAAGGGGTGGATTTTTTAAAATTTTTGAAAACCAAAAAAAATTTTTTTAAATTTTAAATTTTTTTATTTTTGAATTATTATAATTTTTCCAGGCAGTAAGATACCTAGTAGCACGTGACATCCTATCCCGCGAGGGCTACCAAGCCTATGCCAACGCGGCTATTTCCTGGACGACGTGGACCATGTTCAGTTCGTTGTTGACCTACTATCTTCATTTGAGGAAAACCAAAAGTTTTATGAGATTTGTCACAATCTACGTCGTTTTAATATCAATGGCCGCGTTTGCACACAACGAGTGGCACAAGTTGTATAGGTAAGGAATTTTAAGATTGGTTTTTGGCGTTTTTGGGCTTGTTAACATAGCTTTTTGATGGTTTTGGACTTGTTTTTTGATTTGAAAGGGGGATTTATGGATGAAAAAGAGAAAATTGAAGATTTAGGTAATAAAATGAGTTTTTAATTTTTAGGTACATGAATGATGTTCACTCGGACACAACGGCCGCTCGACTCTCAGCAGCTCATTGTCTCGGAGGCTTGGAGTATTACATGAAGTTACTCAGAAGGCATCAGTAAGTGAACTATATATTTTTTACATTTAAAAGGACTTGGCAATGACTTTTATAAAAAAAAATTTTTTAATTTAAAGAGCGTCTCCCCTTGATTTAAAAAGTTTTTTTTATTTTTACCTTTTCTTTACCCTTAGCAAACTCAAAGTCCTTTCATAAAAATGTTTCTCTTAATCTTCCAAAACCACCGTTCCCATTTTAGAATGCTTCGCAACGTGATGGACGACGGCAACGTGATCTTCACTCCAGCTGGCGACAAATTCGATGTCACCACCAAGTTCCTGCTACGGTATTCCGGCCTAAAAGACATCAAAGACGAGTTCAGCGAGCTGGCCGAAGTCACTGAAGGCGACGTTTTCTAATTATTCGTTATTTCGTAGGTTGTTGTAAACTTTATTAAATCAAAATGTACAAACAAACGGTTTTAAAAAATTTTTAAAAATTTAAAATGTGGTTGAGCAAGAAATTTGTCATCAAGAAGTGTTATATTGTTAAGGATCTGAAAAATTTTAGGCTTAAAAATTCATTTTAAGGGGTTTAAGAAAGTCTTGTCGCTATTCTAAAGGTATTTGCATGTTAAAAAGCGTCAAGACTTTTTTAGTACAAAATTAAAATTTTAATAATAAAAATTTTAAAAATTATGATCATTTTGATATTTTTTAAAATAACTATTCTTTGCTCGACCACGGTTAGTTTCCTGAATTCAAAGGTTTTCGGTTAATGTAATAGGCAGTTAAAATGAGATACTGTATCACCGGTGCGTTAAGACGAAATGACAAGATGAGAAATGACATTCGATAGCTTTTCAATATGTTATAGGATGTACAAAATAATATGTAGAAGGCCATAATAATATGAAAATGATATAAAAGTAGTTGGAATTTGAAAAAGGGCCTTAAAATTTTTAAAAAAATAAAAAACGTATGAAATGTTACCTAAAAATTTGAAAGATAGCAAAAATTGAAAGAAAGGTGACCAAGAAACAACAAAATTGTCAAATAACAAGGGTAGGTCAAATTAGAGTAGGTTAGGGTAATGTAGAGTAGAGTATGTTACAGTAGGGTACGGTACTTAAGAGTAGGGTACTGTAAGGTGAGGTAAAAAATAGCTATAATCAAATATCAACTTGTCACAGTCCTAACAAAACAATTTGAAATTATCTAAAGTCTCGGCTAGCCGCTCCAACTTGTAGCACTGCCACACTTCCAGGCTCGGGTCATGTTCAGCCTTGACACACTTGACACAATATGTGTCATACAATTGTCGTCCCTGGTCATCTACAGTCGGTTTCACAAACAAAATATTAAACACCTCGGCGGTGCACTTACAACAATGTGAAACCGAACTGTCCACGTCTTCATCCCAATCGTAGAGGTATAGGTCATCCCGCGAGTCCACATAATCCAAAACGTGCCGGCAGTAGGCGTACGAGCGGATCAGGTTGCCTTTGATGAGGTCGTACAACTCTCGGTCCGCGATTCGCATCTCTTTGGCGATCTGCCAGCTGAGGTATTGCATCGGTACAAGCGAGGGGTACTTGTGTATCCGATTCCATTCCGACGAGATCAAGTTCATCTTGTACTGGAATACGGACTGAGGTCCAACGTTCCAGGCAATGTTGTTGCACCAGCCGATCGCTTCGACCCAATGCACACAGCCGCCCGACACCCACACGATGTCGCCCGGCTTCTGGGTGAAGCGATACACTGGAATACCCGCATTCATGAGGTCGTCGTAGTCGGGCCACCACGAACTGTTCAGAAAGTCGATTTTACGTCTGAAAATTATCGAAGTTGTACCGAGGGTAGGGCAAGGCAGAGTAAGATAGTGTAAGGTAGGGTAGGGTAGGGAGGAGTAGAGTGGGATAGGGTAGGGTAAGTTAAGGAAAGGCATGGTAGGGCGGGATAAATTTCTCTGTAGTGTCATACTAAAGAGGCTTGACCATACTGATATTATGATCAAAAATTACTGTTACTGCTTACTCTTTGCACATGGCATCCATCAGCGGAAAGTATTCGTACGAGACCCCGAACCATTCGCAGTCTCCAGGTCCCGCATTCAAGTTCACAGAGCAAAAGCTGTTGTTTTCCAAGTGAGCTGGTGTCCTACAGCCGGGCATCTTCATATAAAATTGAGCCGTGTTCATGCCGCGAAGATCGAAGCCCAAATGCGACATGAAATTGTTCTCATCTTTTAGCCGACAAAACCCGGGCAGCTTTTGCAGCTCCTGTAAGAAGGTTCATTATAAGAAAGAATGGCATTTGAATAATTGTGCTAAAGTTTAATTTCTTAATGATATTTAAAGAGCATACGCTTATACTTAGATGTACTGGACACGCTTGTTTTGGGTATTTGTAATATTGTGTATCAACAAGGGCCATTGGTATGACATGACAAAGCTAACAGTAGGGTGGAAGGGGTAGGGGTAGATTTTAAAAAGTAATGACAAACTCACATTGACTTGTCGATAAAACTTTTGCGTACTAAAGTCAACATTAGTGCCAAAGTAGATCTTATCCTTCAAAACACCGTTCCGTTTGGTTCCATTTGTCGCCAACTTCCGGCGCTTCTTCCTAACACCATTGTCATCAACCTCGTCATCCGAATTAACTTCGCTTTTCGGCTCTGTTTTTACTTTTACTTCGCTTTGATTAACCAAAAACCGCGATGCCTCACAAACAATGCTTTCGAAGGAAAGACCTTGATATTCGGCGTATGTCTTTACATCACTTCGGCATATAAATGAATGAAACCGCCATGTTTGTGACCCGTCATCATCAACATTCGTTCTCGTTGGCATGAACCATTGTTCTCTTAATTCCAAGTCATCTTTTGCAGCTAATTCCAAGATGGTTTTTGTAGTGAAGACAGAGCTGTCAATGCCGAGGGTTGAAGGTAACCCTCTGACCATAGCGATCGAGTTTTCAAGGCACAAATTTTTAACTTCCGGACTCATGGCTTCTTCATATGATCTCACGTGGATTAACGGCACTTTAGGGTTAAGACAATCGACTTTTGCACGACATGGCTTCGGTTGAAATGGAATTTCATCAGCCCGAATTTCTTCAACTATGCCAACGCCTTTATCGTGCTTATTTGCAGCACATATCTGTAGAATACTCTCCGCCGTCGAATCTAATGGCACCTTAAGCGGTGCGAAAAACGAAAATGGCACATTATTTATTGAGCTTATGCTTGATTTCCTTGACTTTGGGCTAGATCCTAACGAATCTGGCGAGGTAGAAGCTTTTGGAATTCTGGAGGGGGTGGGGAAGGCCTCTGATAGAATTTCTGAGACCGGGACCGCTTCTTGAGGATTCTGAAAGAAAGTATTCAATGTTTTATCAATAGTTAATGGACCAATAGTTCTTAAAAAGAACATAGGCAAATCTTAAATAGTAAACCTTATAATAGTTTTTAAGCCTTACTTCTATTTTTTTGACCGCATTGTTATTGAGGAAGATGTTATCATATTGGTCGCCATCGTATTCCTTATCAGCTGGATCTCCTCGGCATCCATATAAAATTCCATTCCTCATCCTCAGGTTGGGGTAACGCTTTTCGATTAATTTTAAAAGCGTTACATGGCCGCCCTTCAATACCTTTTCATTTGACTTTAAAATCAAATAAATTTGGTACAGTAGGCGGTCGAGTTGTGCCTCGCAAATGTCCGGAGGTATAAAGTTTGCGAGTTCGAGCTCGTGGAAGTGGCGTTTTTCATCACGAGCAGGTCCCATTCATGCAACCCCCTTAAAACATTTTTTTATGTTTAAGACTCCTTGGAACGTACAATATTAACGACGGACGTATACTTAACGCGATGAGGTGTGAAACGGAATTTAACAAACTAAAGTAATATAACATCCTTTACAACAACCAACACATTGTACACAATCCCAATAACTTTAAAGATCTGTAATCACATGATTCATAATTATATAAATGCCATTAATTTGGCTAGTCTCACGTATTTAAACATAATCAGAGTATTGATAAAACTACAAAAAAATTTTTGCGACTACAACTGCTAATACTACAAATTTCGCGACCACAAATGCTAATACCATTAATTAATAAGGAGAATTAAATCCCACGAGTTAATCATAATCTTTTAATAAGGTGAGCCGGCTTCCGGACAACAAAATAAGTGCAATAAGCTCGAAAAGGTGTCTTACAGAAATGAGGTCACCCAGACTACACGCTCAAAAGCAGCTTATAAGTGAGCTGAAATGTGAAACGGTTTAGAAAATTAGGATTTTGTAAACTTTAGTAGCTAGCTGGAAGAGAGGGGCAAGATTTTTTTTTAAATTTGAACGTGGCCCCCTTGTTAATTTAAAAAGTCTAATCAAAAAGAAAAAATATTTTAACTTGGCATAGGTATTTCAGATTTTTAAAACTTCCCCAGACAAAAAGCAACCGCCCGGCACGTGTAGTAACTGCAATTTTACAAACAGCGTTAGCAATAACAAAAAAATGGCCTAGAACACTCAAAAATGCAACAAAAAGCCACGATATTTTGTTAGTACATTTAAAAAACAAGGCAGCTTTATAAGAAAACAAGAATAACATTAAGCGAAGCCACAATTTAAGGCCGGGGACGTTGCAAAACGGCAATTTTTTTCGGTTGTCACGTATGCCCGTGAAGAGCATGAAAAATGCGAAACGCCCCGAAATGCAAACGAGTGGACCCGACCCAAACTCCGAATGCAAAATGCAATGGTGACGCTCTTCCTGAGCGCTCGCCCTCTTCGTTTTTCTCTCACCCCTGGGTTTTTCGCTCACCCCTTGGTTTTTCTCTCCCCCCTCCCTTCGTTTCTCTCCCCCTCCCTTCATTTTCCTCTCCCCCTCACCCCCCCCTCTCGACATGTGTGGTTGGGCGAGCTGCAGCGAAAGGGGGGGGTTCGTCTTGGTGGTCACTCGCGCGCGAAAGGATTTTCCAACGGAGGGGGGGGGGAGATTCAGACGAAAGGACGACAGCTCGTTCGGGAATGAAAAGGTAAAGTAAAAAATGAAGCATTTCGTACACAATACATGCAAAATTGGGGGCGAAGACTACTACGAAAGAGGGTTGTAATTGTGAGAGCGAGTTGTACGTTGTTTGCGGAGGAGCCGCGTATAAGGTTTTTTGAAGAAGTTACAATTTTAGGTACAATTTTCGAGCGAGCTTATCGTAAAATAAATAATAATATAGGTAAATAACAAAAAGTCACAATTAGCCAAAACCAAGCGAAATGTAGTTTTAAAATATGCAATTAAATAGCACGTAATGTATAAAACTAGGAATTAGGTTTACAATGGTTTAATATGTGTTAAAACGCAATAAAATTATAGATGTGAAAAGTTTTTTTTCATTTTAAAAAATTTCAACGTGGTCCCCCCAGTTGAGTTTAAAAGTTTTTTTAATTTTGTACTCCCCCCCCCCCGTCCCACTAAAATCCCCGCCCAGCACTGCTTCCTTGCTGCTTTATTGGAGATAATATATTGGAAAGTATATTGAAGACAAAGCAACCACCGAGTTTATATGACACCTTTAAAACAATGAATCAGGTCACGTAAAACAGATTTTACAGGCATTTTGCGGTGTTTGAAAGTGCGATTAAGCCATGTATGTCATGAAAAAGAGATAATCGCGAGATTAATCCAAAAGGTCAGACGACTACTGATAAAGACCGCAAAGCAGTGATAACATAATAGTAAAGAGGAGTTGTAAAATACGCATTGAGTAGTGAAACATGAAAATATAGAGGAACTCATGTATAACCAACTCCTCTAACATTCCGTGAGCAATTCGAATATTTTTAAAAAAATTGGGCGAAATTCGTAGATTGAAATCTTGGAACGCGTTCAAATTTCGAAAAATAAGTGAACTTGAGGGCACAATAGGTGATAGATCGCAGCTCCTAGATTAAAAGTGCATTCAAAATCGCATTGAAATGTCATTTTTAATTTTTTGAATTTCTAGTTGTGACATTATGAAGCTTATACGAAGTTATAAGTGGGTGGGGTAGTTGTGTGTGTGGGGGGGGAGGCAGGGCTTTTTATGTTTTTTAAAGGGTTACATGAGCCATATCTTATGTGATAAATCCTTTCCTTCCTCCCATAGCTCGGCCATCAGCTCCCTCCCCCCTAAGTGCCCCCTCCCCCACCTTAAGGTCCAACTTTACCCTCACCCCCTCCTACCCGAAACATCATAAAACCATAATAACTCGCAAAAACGCTGTAGAATATATAGTTAACCCGCTGCACGATGCGAAAACAAACAGATTACACTTGTTAGTTGGGTATGTATGCCGGTGGTACAGTTTAATAACTCGTAGTGAATCAACCGATACGTCATCATAATATTAATACTTTATTAAATATCTTCGAAATACCCGCGCTTTCTGGCAATAAATATACTTTTCAGGGACTGAAATACAGTAGTAGAAATACAGTAACTGCAGTGATAATACTGTATAGTTTAAGGTCTACAGTAAGATCAGTGTAGTAGGGTCAAACTTGGAAATAGGGTAGGGCTGGGTTTAAAAATGTAGGGTAGGAGCATACCTAGGGTGGGGTAAAAACCTCATTTTAAAACCTGTCCTTCCAAAGCATGGCATATCTCTCTCGATGCCCTGCCCTTCCTCCAAGCCTGAATACTATACACTGTAAGACACTATAGAGGAGATAACATATAAATTAAAACAATATAAACTTCTAGTGAGGTAATATTAGATCGTTCAATTAATTCTGCGCCCTTAACCCCAAAAATTTGCAATGAAAAGGGGCTCAGAATTTTTTGAACAGCCTAATACAATAAGGCAATGCAGAGAAACGTTAATTTTTAATGTAATACCGTTTAAGACACTTTTCAAACAATTCATACTGACTGGCAGTAATAATAATACAATGTAATATTCATACTGACTGTGCTACAATAATACCATATAACATTCGTACTTACTGACTCAAAACTATAAAACAATATAATTCATATCTAAATTACAAAAAACATTTTCAATTAATGTGCTATTAGGTTTTTCAAGTAATTCTCTGCCCTCTCAAAACAAATTTTGGGCGTTAAGGGCACAGAATTATTTGAACAACCTAATATAAAACAATATTATGATGACTTACTTTGCTGTGATACAAAGTAAGACATTTACAGTGTTTTAACTAAACAGTAATACAATTATAAATACAATCTACAAAATACTACAAAAGATAGACACATAAACCTTAAAAAAATTAAAGATTTGCGTAGAAAGTAACATAAACCATGACTATTGGTATATGTGTCTAATAGCACAATTAAAAATACAATCCTGAATCTACTCTGTGAACTTCTTGAATACATCATATGAGGCAAATATTATGTGACAAGTACACCGTAAAACAAGGGTTTGAAGAGAATGGCAAAGGCTCTTGGACTTGATAATGTTATAGTAAGTCCCATGGGTTAGGGTAGAGCATTATGTGCCTTTACCTTGCCGTAAAGCCTAATTTTTTTTAAATTTAAACATTAAGAAACCATAAAAAAGAGAACCTTTGTCACCCCCTAAATTTGGCAATATAGACATGATTTTTCACTGACATACAATACTTTGATGTTATAATAGCTATAAATAAGGAAATACAATTAGATGTTATTAAAATACTAGGTTGATCTAATAATTCTGTGCCCCTTCTCAATGCAAATTTTCGGTGCTAGAGGGCACAGAATTATTTAAACAGACTAATACTAAGAAAATAAAATTAACAATAATTTTTGAATACCCATAGCTGAGTTACTGTGGTTTCTGTGGGCTAAGATTTTGGGCTCAGCTTTAAAGATTTGGCCTACTTATGAAATTCCAATTAAAGTTTAAAATTTCGAACAAATTTGAAAAAGTTTTACACAATTTTGAAATTTCGACCAAAAATATAAGTTTAGGTAACAATTCGAAAAGCTGAAGTCAAAAACATAATCTAATACCTTAACATCCCACACAACCAGCACCTATCGTAACAAGAAACAAGAAAAAAGTGCACTTTTGTTATACACAAAATACGACCAGTCGAAAACTCCATTTCATGCATAAATGACAAGAGACAGTAAAAAAGATGACAAAAGAAATTACACTTAAAGATAGAAGACAACTCTTGTCACATATCTTGTTACACCCGCTATCATGCTGAAATCAAGTTGTATGGATAAGTGTTGTTAATGCAGAGTTCATGATCACGTTTGTCACCCCATCCACCGTTCGGTTTCGAAGGTTTTAGGGATCGTTTCAGCACTTCGGAGCGTGATAACGTTTGTGGGAAGAAGATGTCACGTTTGAAAAGGTCTCTAAAGGTGAGATAGGTATAGACTTTAGGTAACAAAAATTTTATATCGAAATTTAGATAAAAAAATAATTTTTTACTGATTTTAGGTAGCAGAAATAATTTATACTCAAATTTTAATATTAAAAATTTTTATCAATTAAGTAAAAAAAATCATTTCCACGCCCATTTCAAACCCTAAAATCCATAAATCAAAAAAACTCACAATGCATTATCCAGCGAACTTCTGATGTTACACTTGTGGGTATGAACTCCACAATCCCCGACATGAATGACCCTTGGGGATTTGGCAACAATGGTGTAGAAAGGTTCTTTCAGACACTTCAAACTGACTTGTAACATTGACCAATCCCAGTTATAGTCATCGTATGTGCAGAAAAACTGAAATTTTAGAATTTTATTACCTAAAATTTTAAAAAATTCAAATTTGATACGCCTAAAGCCAAAAATATTAAAAATTTAAAAACTCATGCCAAAAAATATGCCGTCAGTACCTTGAAAATAAAAAAACCTACCTGAGAACATTCCCTAACTTTGGTCCAGGTCCGTAAGTTTATAGCCATTCCCATGTTATGTTTGGAAGAAAACCATTTCTGGACACTCAGCTTATCAATATCACTGTTGTATCTGTTATAGTTTTTGAGGTAAAAGCCTAAACATAGCACTTCACATTTCTCGCAATCCTGCTCCTTGTGTTCAATCATCTTCTCCAATACATACAGTACGTCTGGGGCTACATAATGATCTTCTTCCAATAACATGACATATTTCTCGTCCAAATTGTACTTTTTTACGATCCCATCGAACACATAGTTCATCTGAAATACGCTTTTTAATTAGCTAAGACTTCTATAACAGTAAAAATCAAATTTTAGCAAACTGTCAACTAAAAATTAGATTATACAGCCAAAAACTTCATATATCTCAAAAATATAATCACTATCAAGATACTTTTGATCCAAAAAGTTTCTCTAACCAATAATAAGGCTACTACTCACCTTCCACCACCAATGGTGTTTGATTTGTGACAGTTTAGACAGTCGATAATTGCCATACTTATCCGGCCATTCCCAGTTGTTACACTTCATTTCTTCAGCTCTAAAGACGAAATAAAAACAAATATAAATAACTTACTTTGCCTTTGATATCCGATCAGGGCAATCATTAGGATCTTGACCTGGAAACTTGTTCGGAAACAGCTGAATGTTATTGGGATAGACTATTTGGATCGCCTAAAACAATATCGATAAGAATTATATAAAAACAGCTATGATTTGTAACAAAATCAGGCTTGTTAGAAAGCTTAATTGTCATAGAATTATTCAATAATAAGATATAGATAATTAGAAGCAAAAGAATGAGATTATAAAGCAATAGAAGTTAGCTTACCCTTGTGAAGTTGATCGACTTGATCAATTGATTAATTTCATTGTGATGAATGTCGTGACTAAACACCAACAACGATTTTTGAATTCCCCTTGCTTTACTTAACGATTCTATCAAGTATTTCAAGTATTCAGGTCGATTGTGTACCTAAAAAATAAGCAAACTTATATTATACTTGATATCTGATCAGTTGATAGAAAAACAATACAAAAACCTTTGAAAAGCCACTTATAAACAAAACATCTATGCTTACCTGAATCACAAGAATTGACTCCACATTGTCTGGTGTTATTTTGCCAAATTCCTCCTCGTTCAGCACCTTGTGATGGTGATTTAAGTATTCAACTGATTCCAAAAGCGCCTTCCTATCCACCGGTGAATCCAACGTCACTCCGGCAAGCTGTCTGCTATCATTTACTGTGATATTCAACGTCTTCATAAAATCATCTCCACTCGATTCCAACAGCTCCAATTGTGGCGAGGAATCGTCCGAATTGTTGATGATCTTGATGAAACTAAAGGTCTAAACCCAAAAAAAAACTGATAAAGAATCAATCAACTTACCACAAAAATTACAGCGATCGCCTTCACTGCCTTCATAAAACGTCGGCCTATCATTTGCGAGCAATTCGAGTCCAGGTTTATCAAATCATATGCATTCTGAAAAGAGTTCCGACGTTAATATCAAGGTTACAATATAAAGTAAGGTAAACAAGGATCGGAACGCGCAAAAAATCAAACTTAAGGCATTTTGGTTGTTTGTTGAGCTGGAGAAAAGAGTAGAAAGAGTAAAAATCAAGATAAAACGTATTTCTTTCATTTTTCCAAAAATATATTTTAAAATTAGGGCGCGATCCGCGGTTAGCGTATAAAATGGCACGCGCAGTTTGGGAAGGTTTTTTTTGCAAAAATAAGCTGGAAGTTTAATAAAAAGTGTAAAGTAGTATTGGAAGCATACATATTAAACTTAATTTTAAACAACTTTTATACAAAAATTGAATATTAATATTATACTTGATATTAACTTTCAATTTTTCATATCAATATCAATTAAAAATCATGTAGCGAACCCTAATGAAGTAAAAAAAAACCATTTTAACCTTCTTGTACGGATTCACTATTAAATTACTAAAAACACAAGCTTCAGAAAAAGTAAAAAGATATGAAACGAGCAAGTTCTCCTGACGTAAGTAATATAAAATTGATATGTTTTACTTGGAAGTGGGCGTAAAGTTAATTAGTAAAACAATGAAAACTACATGAAAAGTAAAAAAAAATTGTAGTTCAATTCAAATTGTTAGAATGTGTAGTTAAATTAAACTTTTTCAATTGAAAAACGATTACACCTGAGTGTACCTACAATAACATCATTTTTGAGGTCAATAGCTCCAAAAGTTAACATTTTTGTTTTTAAAAAATTAAAAGAACATTATTTTTTGTATTTAAAAAGGCTTTAAAAAGCAGTTTTAATAATTTAGATTTTTCAAAAATTATTAAAAAAGCAAAAAAAAACGCGAAATTTTAAAGGGTATACTTAAAAAAAAGGTGAGTTATAGGTCAAAAAGTATTTAAAATTTTAGTTTTTGCTTTTGAAACAAAGCAAAAGTCAATTTGGCATATAAAAAGGTACTAAATGGTACCATTTACTTCTTTAAAACATTTAAAAAACATTATCAAAGCGAAAAAATTTTGAAATTTAAAGGTATACCTACAAAAATATGACTTCTGACTTCAAAAATAAAAAGAAATAGCTTTCTAACTGTTAGTATTAAATAAAAAATTAAATTTTATACCTAAAAACTCTAAAAACCACGTGTTTATAACTAAACCTTTACAAAACCCCCTAAAAACAAGCAAAACCCGCTAAAATTCGTAAAAAAATTAGTCGCGGAGGTGAGCCAATTTGTTATCGCTCGAGTGATGACAAGACCATTCTGGTGTTGATTCAGCTTGCATAAACAATCTCTTGTAAAAACGGTGTCACCAATTTTAAATTGAATATTAATGCATGACCGCAAAGTTTGTGTTTATTTTTGGTCGGACATTACAAATTTCAATGACGTTTTGAGAAGGGTTCGAATTTTAATAAAAAGTAGGGTTTTAGAGTGTTTGTCATAGTAAAGTTGAGTTATTAAAAGCTGGTTCTAAAAAATGAACTTTCTTTAGAAAACAAAAATGACAAGAAATTTCTTTACTAAATAAAAAATGGCAAGAACTTTCTTTACAAAACAAAGAATGACAAGAACTTTCTTTACAAAACAAAAAATAGCAAAAACTTTCTTTACAACACAAAAAATGGCAAGAACTTTCATTACAAAACAAAAAATAGCAGGAACTTTCTTCAAAAAATAAAAAATTAGATTCTTCGTATAACTTGTCCTCCGCGAGCTGAAGAAGATTTAAAAAAAAATGAAATCCTGAAACTTTGCCCTTTCCCCAAAAAAATTTTAACTCCCCGTATCCCTTAACTGATAAAACATCTCATTTTCCCGCAGTTCCCACAACCTCTTTTTGGTAGACATGAGAAACGGGCCGGGCCGGCCTTGAGCAAAATTCCGATCGGGCCGGGCCTGAAAAATGAGCCGGGCCCGGCCCGTTTTAACGTTAAAAAAATTTAGGCCCGGGCCGGCCCGGGCCGAGCCTACCAACGGGCCGGGCCGGCCTTGAGCAAAATTTCGATCGGGCCGGGCCTAACATTCAGGCCCGGCCCGGCCCGTTTCTCATGTCTACTTTTTGGGCCCTGCCCAGCCCGTTTCTCATGTTTACCCCTCCCTCCCCCTTTTTTTGAGTTTCCCATCCTCTAACCCACCGCCTTCCCAGAACCACCTTTTTACAAAACACCCTCCCCTACTTCCCTTTTTTTTATCCCTCCTTCCTATCCGTGCTCCCCGTCCCTGCACAACCATTTTTTTAAATAAGCCCTGCAGTGACGCCTCAAGTCATAATATATGACTACCTTCTTAAATTTTTAAAAACCCCTCAAGAACCTGTCAAAACACCATTTTTGGGAACAATAGCACGTTTCTCATTTCGGAAACGTGGAATAACATATCTGAAGAAGGTTCCAGTTTCACGGTTTTTAAAGTAAACAGAGGAAAGAGTGCCAAAACGTATGAAACTAATCCCAAATTTAATTAAAATTCGGGATTCAATTAATCCGATTAACTTGCTTTATAGGGCTGCATTCGTACATATTGTACTGCCATTCTGTGAAATTGAAGTTTTGTTACAATTCAGTGATTAATTAAGTATTGTAGTACATATTTTGTTAATATATAGTACAACAAAGTCTTGCTAGTAAATGAAGATTAAAAAAATAGTTCCTAGTTAAAAATTTTAGAAATTTGCACTTTAAAGGAAGTTATCACAACAAAAGTGGTAAGTATCATTAGCAAAAAAATGGCAAGAACTTGCTTTACAAAACGAGAAAATGGCAATAACTTTTTTTACAAGACAAGAAATAGCAAGAACTTTCTTTACAAATTAAAAATAGCCAGAACTTTCTTTACGAAGCAAAAAACTTAACTACAGTTACACAGTTTATTCAAAAATCCTGTACACCGCAACTCCTTTCTAACGAACAAATTACCCGAGCTAATGGCTGTACAAGAGTTCCACTTTAATTGACTACTACAGTAACTTCATTCAGAATCCCTACAAGCCTTTATTGATAGATTATTCTACGAGTTCTTACAATTAAATGCATAAAAAGATAATAGAGAAGCCTACTAAGATACGTGTACATGCAGACAAGACCGTTCTGGCCAGTTATTGTAACTACAGTAGTATAAGATAACGAATAGCTGAGAGGTTTTCAATTCGTTACGAAAGTACTTTGTTTTACAGGGGTTTTAAATGAACTATGTAGTGTTAGGTTTAAACATTGTTCGTTAATAGATATGTAAAGATGAGTTCGTTATACAAGAATTTTACTGTATACTCATCAAAGAAGTAAGGGTTAAATTAAGGTTTTGTATTTTAGAGTTTAGCCAAATGTGTGACATAAATAACAGACTCCTTATTTTAATAATGTGGATTTTCGTATATCAACACGAACATTAAATCAAAAAAAGTTTATAATATATTAATGTATACAGTGTAACTCCTGTATTACGAATCGCTCGGGAATTTTAAATTTGTTCGTTATACAGGATTTTCGTTATATACGCTCTACACCACCCTACCCTGCACTGTATAATACGGTCCTCTAACCCATAAAAAATAAAGATTCTTCATTGGCCCCATAAGATACCATATTATAATATTTTGAATCAAAACTTTGTTTTCGTGATATAAAACCATATATATAACAATAGAAAAATATAAAAATCATTTCTAATGTTTTGAAAAACTAAATCATATAAAAAACGATTCGAAATGCTACTTCTCGGCCAAAAATAAACGATCGCACAGCTGAACTTGGTTATCAAAAACAATTCTTTTTTGTTTGTTTTGATCATTCTGAGAACGTTAATACCTAAACACATAATTAACTACCCTACCCTTGATCCTAACCTTATTCTACCCTATTCCACCCTACCTCACCCTACCCTACCCTACTCTACCCTACCCTACCTTATCCTACCCTACCTTATCCTACCCTACCCTACCCTACCCTACCCTACCCTATCCTATCCTACCCTACCCTACTTTGCCTTACCTTACCGTGCCCTACTATATCCTATCCTACACCTCAAGGTACTTTACCCTTCCCCGCCTTAACCTGCCCTTCTCTTCTCTGTCTACCCTGCCCTATCCTGCCCGCTCCCCCTTCCTTAATTTCACCTTGCTCTACTCCAACATTATCCTACCTAGCACTATTCAACTTATAGTTAGCAATTTACCATGCTCTAAATCCACCCATGATGTAAGATTTTTTTTTACAAAAACCCTCTCCTGCCCCTTCCCCAAAAATGACCAACGTATTGTTCCTCTTAACCCCAAAGCAACATTTAATCCCACGTCCTAACCCTTATTCCACTGCCATGTCATATTTGAAAAAAAAATTGTCGTATAGCATGTCAATCAAAGTAGTATATTATATTTTCAGTAAACAAATAAAATATTCTTGAATTTTAGTCCAGAAACGAGACTTTTAAGCGAATTCACCTTTTTTCAAAATAAAAAAAGAAAAACGGAAGCGATTGTTTTTGGACATAAAGCAGGCCATTTCGGATATTACAAGAAGTGACATTTATGAGACTTTGAAATGGAGTTACAAGTTTGGGACTTCTGGAATAAAAGAAGTTTGGCATTAGCTTATGAGAAAAAAAAATTGAAAAAAGGTCATATGGAGGGGGGGAGGGGGTAAAAAAAAGGGCAAGGCAAGGCAAGGCAAGGCAAGGCAAGGCAAGGCAAGGCAAGGCAAGGCAAGGCAAGGCAATTCATGGTAGGGTGAGGTAAGGTAGTAGTTACCTTTCAAAATAAAAATTAAAAAAATTTTTTTTTTATTTTTTACATTGTCGCCTTTAAGATCCCCACCCCCTATTTTTATCCTACCATCCCCACACCTGAAACTTACAGCTTTTTTCAAAAATTCCTAAAACCATTAACCCCCAGCCCCCCCCCAAATAAACTCTAATTTCCGACCAAAATTAGCCCTTCACTTTGACCTCCAACCTCGAGTCGCCACCTCAATTTATGGCCACCTCAGTTTATGGCCGTTTAAGTTTAATTTCGGCCCAAAAAAGAATGCCAACAAGTGTTGGGGCCGACTTTGGTCGGATATGGAAAAGAAAGAACTCGTCTTTAATTATTAATTTCGCTTTGAATTTCGACGCTTTAAAATGCTGAAACTAATGAGCTGTTGCGTAGTGTCACACGAAGTATCATCTTGAATTTTAAATTGGTTTTGTCATCGTATTGTAAAGGGTTTTGTCATGTTTTTGGCACTAGTTTTGTCGTGTTTTCTGCTGTTTTTGTGATTGAGTTTGGCATATTTTTGAAGTCGTTTTTGTCGTTGCATTGCAAAAGGTTTGATCAAGTCTTAAAAGCCATTTTTTATTTTTGTATTTGTGGTCGACAATTTATCACATTTTTGCAGTTGTGGTCGTTTTCGTCACATTATCTAAGTTGTAGTTGACATTCTTTTCTGGTCGTTTGTGTCACTGTATTGTTGTAATTTTTCATCTAACCGTTAACTATTAAACTAGGGGTTTAAAAAATATTTTTGAAAACTTTCAAATTACTTTTTATAGCTTTTTAAGTTAAAAAAACGTTGTTTTTTTGTAAAAACACAAATGATTTTAGCTATTATATTTTTACAAAAGAAACTTTTTAAACCAAAAACGGAGCCTTTATATAAACCCTTGGTTTTGTCCTTCCTATTTTTTGGATTTTTTATTTAAAAAAAACTTAACGTTGAAAAAAATTCTTTGACCTACCCTATTCCAAGGAAAAATAACCCGCTCAATTTTAATGATCATATCCTCGCCAGTTCTTTCAAACCTTTCCTTCTTTATCGCCTTGCCGTAAGCAGGGACGTCGCTACGGTTTTTCTCTGGAGGGGGGGGGGTGGGGGTGGGAACCCAAAAAAAGTCTTTTTGGTCCACAGGTAGTCACCCCGAACCACCCCCCCCCCCCAAACGACGTCCCTGGCCGTAATTATAATACAATGTAATCAACATAAACAAAATGACTTACCCTACCCTACTTTACCTTACCGCGCACTACCCTTAACTTTTCTATCCTGCCCTGATTTACCTTACCCTGCGCTACCCTACCCTATACCATTCACTTTATATTTCCTTCTTAAAAAATTTAAAATTAAAAAAAAAACGTTTGGCTGCTCAGCGAAGAAAAAATTGTGCTTTGTGCTCTAACATAACATATTCACTTAAAGTTGTTTGACGAACAATTTTTTCTTTTGTTTTTTTCGTTTTTTTACTGTAACGACACGTTGTTATGTCTGAACGTTGCCAAGAAAAGAAAGAACCATTCACGTTTTTGAATAATTGTAAACAGACGACGTAAGAAACAATAGCCATAAATGGATAATGCCATAAATCTTGTCGCAAAAAATTATAATATAACAGTACATATCAAAGAAAAAAGTTTTAAATATGACATTATGTGACAAGCAAAAACCCCTACCCTACCCTGCTCTAACCTCTATCCTATTCTACCTTACCCTACCATACATTGCCATATCTTACATTTACATTCCAATCCTTAGCTTTAAGCAAATGCTATACAAACTAAAGACCAAAACGTTAATGTAAACTAAAATTCAAATTCAAAAACTGTTTTTAGACAAAACCAGCGTTATATATAACATTTTTAGACTAATTTATTCAAACACCGCTATACATAAACTTTATTGTAACCTTTTAGAGAACAAAAGTGTTTCAAATCAAAAGAGAAAAATGAAATATATAACATATGAAAAACTTTTGAATAGTAGAACTAGTCCTGTCACACCTTAAAACTAGTCTGATTAGTGAGTTAACATTACAAGAATAGTACTGCACTACAAAGATAGTACCACCAGCACTTACACTATACTTATACTACTTTACATTAATACTGTAAAACCACTCACAATTGAATAGTACTACAACACAATTGAACAGTACCTTAACCTTCTTTACATAGCGTTATTAGTAGTATTTATATCATCACAAGCTCAAAAACAGTCGTACTATACTTTTGCTCGTATAGTATTCTTAGTACTACATAATAAATTTTAGCGTTATAATAGTACTACTCTTTCATACAAGTAGTATTATCAGTACTAGGACGATACTCTGGTACTAATATTGGTAGTGTGAAACCACTCGCACTGTAATATTTGTACTACAACCTTACTTACGTGGTTTTATTAGTACTACGTCACCGCAAACGCCAGAACATTAGTGATATTCCACTATCGAAATAGCAATATCATCGCTACAACTCTACTCTAATACTAATATTAGTACTGTAAAACCACTCACATAGTAACACCTGTGTCATAAACCCATCCAGATACCATTATGAGTACTATAAGAAAACAAAAACGTTCATATTAGTACTTTAATACTGCTACCTTACTACTATAAAATGAAATGAAAACTATAATACTGCTACCTTACTACTACTATCATTCTTTTCTTTGTTTTACTATTTGTTACTATTGTTTTTCCTTTTCTTCCATTGTACCTTGACATCATGTTATCCTTCTTCTCACCGGATAAACAAAACCCAGAGTTTTTGTCACTGATACCTTTGATACATTACTTGTATTGTTTTGTTTTTTTCAAATGCGTGCAAGACGGGTTTTTCGAGCCCAAACTTCTATCAGAAAGTGCAAAAAACAATTAACTCAAGGACAGGTGGCTTCGTATCTTGATGCCGGATCAAGCATGTTTACTCTTGCACTCTCGCGGTTGACCTGTCACGCTGGTGCGCTGTGTGTCTGGAGGGTCTCTTAGTTTTAACAATGTCAATGGTGATATGGCTTGTTATCTCTTCATGCCTAAGTGGATCTACAGCCTTTTCTCTCCGAGCTAAGAAGTATACTATAGCTTGATCTCTAGTTGCCTACAGCATGTGCTGTAGCTTGGTTTCTAACGACCTGAACATATATTACAAATTGTTATCTTCTCATGCCTACGGGTATGACCTGCTTTGATCTTTTGCTCGAGTCTTGATTCTAATGTTATATCTCGTCCTGGAACGATTTTTTTGACTTTTTCTCTAGACACCTTAACGTGCGAGGTTTGAAAGAGTCTATAAGTGTTGGCTGTGCTTCTAGAGTGACAATAAGTTAAGTGTTTTGATCGGCCGTTTTTTGTCTTTTTCTATAGCGTCTCTTGACTAAAACAACCCTTTTGTTTTGGCTTTCTTTCTCTGGTATCTCTTAACATTTCTTTTTAATCTAAAATATATCTTCTTATACATGGTTTTGTTCAAGTTTTTACTGAATGACCCTCTCTGTTCTCACCATGTCACCCCTTCATGTCGATCTTAACCATCGTATTTCTTTATACCTAAACAATCATCTTTCTCTTCCAATCTTACGATCCTCTTCCTCTAAGCTTCAATATATACCCACACCTTTTTCTCTCCTTTATATAACTTCTTTTCATCAACCTTCACAATCCTATTAACTCTCTCTTCTGCAGCTTTAACAGCCTTCTCCCCCATCTCTCCTCCGACCTTAACACTCCCATCCCTCTCGCCCTTAACAATCCCAACGCCGCTGCGAATCGCACCTAAGCCTGCCCCATTATCCACCTGAACAACCCATCCGCAAAATCCGACCCCCGAGGCGATTCGACTTTCAAGAAGCTCCCGGAGGGCCAAACTGAAGCAGCTGTGCGGGGGCGCTTTTTCAGAACGGCCCACAAAAATCCACCTACTCCGCGACGTCAAAACCCCGCGAAATAGCGGCGCGATCGATGAGACGGCCAGACACAAAGCGCGTCTTCAGCACCGATTTGAGTGGAATTCGGGAGTGGGGCCGAAAGAGATCCGTCTCTTCATCCGGCCTTGCTATCTCCGCGTTTCGGCCGCCCATCCGCCGGGATCAGCGCCCGAGGAGGAGAGGCCACAGTTGTGTTGGGGTGACTTGAAATCCTGAACTGAGGACTTTCCAGTCGCAGTTCCATTCCTTGTTCTCAGGCAGTCAGATAGGCCTTGGTCAACATGGTAAGTTTTACGCCGCGGTTTATGCTAATTTTTGGCACTGGCTGATGTTGCAATTGATTCTACGTCTACTTGTTTCCATTTTGGGAGTTTTGTGAGATTTTTGCTGGTTAAAACCAAGTAGATATTTCGATTTTTTTGAGTATGGGGGTGGTGATGCCTATGTTAATGTAGCTTTGTCATAACTTTTTAAAGTAATGACGTTTTGAGTTGATTTTTGGCATAGTAATGCACTATGTCCTTGAGAGTATGACATATAAAAATGTCACTTTTTAACGTAAGTGTCAATAAGTTATGGCATTTTTATACAAAGACATGAAGCCAAAAACCTAAGAATACTGTCTTTTACATTTGGCTAGCTGTAAAAACGGTTTACCTTATCAAAACACCTCAAAATTACACTATCAGCTAGCTAAGTATCTTCTCCCCTTTCCTTCTCAATTTCACAGTCTATCCATCCCTCCAACCTTAAATATACCTATATTACCATACCCTATTCTAGTCGGATCGCAAAACCAAAAAGAAGTCAAAGAAGTCCAGAACCGGATCCGAGGCGGCCCAGTTCGACCAGAAGACCATCCAGGAGTTCAAAGAGGCCTTCGGCATCATGGACCAGAACAAGGACGGTGTCATCGACAAGTCCGACCTGAAAGACTTGTACGCTCAGATGGGCTCGGTCGCCAGCGACTCCCAAATCGACGCCATGTTGAAGGAAGCCCCCGGACCAATCAACTTCACCGTCTTCTTGACCTTGTTCGGTGAACGTTTGACCGGTAAGTTGATGAGTTTTGGGAGGGATAGAGGGTAGTTTGTGGCAGGGGTAAATGGTAAAGATATTAGTGGTTGTTCTAGTACAGTTTTGGTAGTAAAAATGGCTTGAAAATGCCAATTTTTGAGAAAAAAGGCAACTTTTTTGAAAGTTTTTTTCATTTTTTTTTAATTTCCAAAACGAAAATTCAATAACTAAGTTAAGCCTAAAGTACTTTAAATACCTTCTTTCATAATATCAACAAAAACACACCACTTCCCTAAACCATTTTGCCATATTTTTAATTTTATCTCACCCACCCCCTCTTGCAGGTACCGACCCAGAAGCCACCATCATCGGCGCCTTCCAGATGTTCGACAAAACCGACTCCGGCTTCATTTCGGAAGAACAGTTGATGAAGATCTTGACGAACAAACGCGGTGAACCATTCAGTCAGGACGAGATTGACGCCATGCAAAAGGGCAAGCCCCCAATATCCGGCGGCAAAGTCGACTACAAAGCCTTCGCTCACTTGATCACCACCGGAGCTCAAGAAGAGTTGGCCCAAGCCAACGCTTAAGCTGTTTAATGGCATCGGCGGTTCAAGCAAGGCATTGTTTTTAGGTTTTTCGTTAAATTATGTTATTAAGCCCATGATGGTTTAGTAAGCCTAACGCATTTTGTTGTCTTAAGCCTAAAGCATTGTTTATTCGAAGCCTAAGGCAATGTGCTTGTTTGAACCGTTGGTTCGAACAACAACATCGTTCGAACCGGCCCACAAACTATCGTGGGCCACGCCAAACTTGAGCCTCAACAACGCTCAAAGCTTACAACCGGCTGTCTCGCTCTTCACAAAACCAATCTCCTCTCACATTTCTGTTTTTATTCTCCCACCGCCCCCTTAATTTGTGTGTTCTTCCGTTTTTTTACTGTATCATGGACAAGAGTATAAAGATTTGATGACATGAATCTCTTTGGTTTTATCAATTTTAGGCTTAAAGGTCGGTTTTCATGGGGTTTTGGGTTTAAAGTGTGACTTTTTAAACGAAAATCTTATAGTTTTAGGCTAAAAATTCACATTGTAAGCCTAAACGTCACTTTCCAAGCCTAAAACCTCAAATGAAATTTCGATTCTTAAGCCTAAAAAACCCACAGATTGAGGGGGTAATAGATCCGCTACGTCCCACTGCCCGAGGGGTGTTAAATATCAGATTTAAGTCTCTCACCGCAACTTTTGTTTTTGTAAAACAATTAGGTTAACTAGGCTAATTTATTTTATTTTAATTCAAACATTTAAGACAAATTAGCCAAAAGTTTAGATTATTTCTCCGTAAACAATCCAATTTATCCACCCCAAACAATTTAGCTTACCATAGCCAATAATTTTAAAATTCAATCCAAGTTATCCACCCAAAGGTCACACTAGCCTAGCTACTCCAACCTGAAGTAGTAGACCAATAGATACCCCTTATTTTAGGCCTAAATTTTTAAGTATAGTAAAGCGGCGATTGTTTTTTACTTCAATTTCTCATGCATTCGATGGGTTTTGTTCACATGTGTTTGATATCTTTATTGACAGTTGTTTTACTCACATAAAGAATGAAAAAAGTAAACGAGACTCTCGGCACTTGATCAACTTCTTTAGACAACAGACGCACATCCCTTCCGGCAATCAAAAGAATAAAGGCTTACCAGGAAGAGGAACATAGACGAGTAAACATAAATTTGAACTTTACTTTACCAGAAATATAAAAGAAGAAAAAATGGAAACATATTGAAAAAGAAAAAAATGAAAGAAGATGTAGGTATTGGGTAAGAGTAGGTCAAGGTAAAATAGGGCAAGATATGGTAATATAAAGTAGAGAAGAGCAAGAAAAAGCAGTGTAAAATAGGATAGAGCGGGATACGGTAAAGTACAGTAAATAGGGTAAGGTAGAGAAAGGGTAAATGAGGATAGAATAGAGTAGGATAAGAAAAGGTAGCTTAGAGTGGGGTACGATAGGGTAAAAGAGGGTAGGGTAGAAAAGGCTAAGATAAGCTAAGGCAGGAGGGTAGGATAAAGTATAGTAGGGTAAGATAAAGTAAAGTTATATGAAAAAAAATATTCCCCCTCCCTTCAGACCAAAATTGCCCGTCCGCCTCTTGCCACTAAACTTCTGCTACCTTTATATTTTTTTCAAATTTCCAAAACTAAAATTCAAAAACTTGATCAAGCTTAAGGTAGTTTAACAACTCTACTTTCATAAAATAACAAAAACCTGCCACTTGACCCAGCTTTTTACATTTTTCTTACTCACTCTTTCTTGTAGGTACCGACCCAGAAGCCACCATTATCAGCAGCTCCAAATGTTAAAACTAAAAACCAATAAAACCAAAATTTGAAATTTTTGTATAAGCAAAACCGGCTTTTAAAAATTTTTCAAAACAGCAACAAACCCATCTTCACCAACTCATTTTTACCCATTTCCATTCTCAACAAAATTTGAAACAATGTATGGTGGTAGGATTCTGATCGCAACGCTTCTATGTACAGTAACAGTTCAAGGAGATCCAATGACTCATATTAATATGTCGTACATGGTTCCTATCAAGAACATTGTTTTAAATGTCAACGCCACGAGATTAGAAGAACATGTGCACAAAGCAATTAACGTAAGTAAGCTTTTCAAAAGACTCTTTAAAATTTTACAATTTAAAATCTTAAAAATTCGATTTAAAAAATTTTTAATTTAAAAATTTTCCAAACTTTGTGCTAAACTTAATATTGTTTTAGGAAGAAATTGCGGTTTACAATAAGGCCTTTGAAGAAGCATTGAGAGAACTCTATGATGGTGGTATTGATAACGATACCGAACCTGGCAGTGAAACAAACAGCAAAAAGGACGAAACACAGACATCCAGTAATGCACCAGAAAGTAGACCAACTACTACTGGAGACAGTGAGTCTGAACCAACAAATACTCCTGTCACTCAGAATCCTGATCAACCTGAATCAACAAATCCTTCTCAAAATCCTGATCAACCTGCACAAACTACTAAAAGTAAACCTGAAACTATTGCTCCAGAAGGTGAATCAACAAATACTCCTCAAAATCCAGATGCTCCTGATCAATCTGAACCAACAAACAGTCCTCAAACTCCTCAAGATCCTGACCAACCTGAACCAAGTGATGCTCCTGATCAACCTGAACAAACTACAACTGAAGCTAAACCTGAAACTATTGCCCCAGAAGGTGGACCAACAAATTCCCCTCAAAATCCAGATGCTCCTGATCAACCTGAACCAACAAACAGTCCTCAAACTCCTCAAGACCCTGATCAACCTGAATCAACCGACGCGTCTCAGAATCCTGACCAACCTGAACCAACAAATGCTCCTCAAAATCCTGACGCTTCTGATCAACCTGCACCAACTACTACTGAAAGTAAACCAGAAACTATTGATCCATACAAGGAACCAACTAACCCTCCCCAAAATCCTGAAGGTAGTGATCAATCTGAACCAACAAATGCTCCTCAACCTGATGCCCCGAATCCTCAGGACAACGAACCCACATCAAATCCTGATGGCTCAGAAACTACAACAGAATCATATAACCCAGAAGGCGGGAAGAAGAAGCGCAAACTCTACCTCAAATATCAACTTGTCCAGCCAATTTAATCTATTTTTGGTAGAAAATAAATTATTCAATGAAATTTTAAGTTGTTACCCATTTTTAAAGTTATAAAAGTTGAACTTACGATTATTTTGAGCCATTCCTTCAGTTTGAATCATATTCCACAATGCTTAGATAATATTCCCCAATAATTCAATGTGTAAAACAACATTAGATTAGAATAAACCTTCATTATAGTAATGTTAAACAGGTATCGTCAATGTTTCAAGCGGAATCGAACTTTTTCCATTTTTTCAAACCCCACAGTCCTCAATTATTGATTTTGAAAACAACTCCCGAATTTTCCACAAAATCCTCATTCATCGACGTTCTTCGCTGTAAAATGGATGGAGTAATGGAAGTTAGAGTAAGTTTTATATTTATTATTTGTACTTTATGTTTAGGAGCCCATTTCTGACCAATGGAACGAGATTCAACAGTTTTTTGGGCTCGAATTCGACTCGCGCAACGCGATCAAACGTTTCAAAGCGTTCAAGGAGAATATCGAGGCGGATAAAGATCATGTTCGAGTTCATGGGCAATGTAGGATTTTTTTTTGGTTTATAAAGTCTTTTCGTTTTGTTTATCATTAGTTTTTAAAAAATTTAGACTTGTTTTTGTTGGTTATTGCAATATTTTTTAGACTACAACAATATTCACCTTGGAAAGCGAATTTTCGGGCCGGCAAGGAAACAAATGTTTACATCAACGATTGTTGGAGGTATGGAGCGGAGATTTGAGATTATTGAAAACCCGGTTAACTACATTCCATTTACTTCTGATGCATTCGAGCAGAATTTGGACAAATGTCGGAATCCGAGTAAGTGTAATATTGTTTTTCTTGCTTTTAGGTACGTTTTGCCTTATAAAATACAAATCGGAGCTTTTAGAACTACGTAGTGTTTCCTCTTTTTAACAAGTCGTAATGTAACTAAAACTAACTTGATATTGTCATAAAAAAGCTCAATATTGTGTTACAGGAATCAAATGCAAGGATGATACTCGAGTAAAGTTGAGAGTGCCAGCTGGCTCGGGTCGAAGTGATTTTATTCATGCTAATTGGGTAAAAGGGCCTCCATTGTTTAACTCGTTTATATTGACACAAGCTCCGATGAGGAATACGATCGAAGACTTTTGGACGATGGTGACGCAAGAGAAGGTAGAGATGTTGCTCATGCTGATTAGTCGAAAGGAAACTGATCGATGCGCGAGGTTTTGGCCGTGAGTTTTTTTTTGGAGAAATTTTTTGAGGATTTGAAGGCGTTATTTTGGCGGTATTTATGAAAAAATTAATCTTAACACCTCAATCATGGATAATATAATATTTTTCTTCTTTTCGTAACTTCATTAAATGTTTCTAGATCATCTGGCAATACCTTACAATTTGGCCCATTTTCAATCTTCACACGCCATTCCGATTCAATTGGCAAGATCATAACTCGATATTCAATTCAAGTGAACTTTGTTGAGCCAGAGACTAACGAGTCCAAACAATACAAGGTCATTTTGTTCCAAGGAGATTTGAACAATTCCGACAATCTTTATGCCATTATCTTCTTACTGAATCAGGCTCGACTTTGTAAAGGACCAACTGTGGTTATCGACCATTTGGGGATCAGCAGAGGAGCTTGTTTATTGTCTGTGGAGATTTGCTTGATGAGTATTATTAGAGGGCCCTATTATAAGGTAAAATACGAGCTTCGTAATTGACGGTTAAATAGCAATAGTTTTAAAAAACTGGCAAGAACTTTCTTTACAAAACAAAAAACTTTAAAAAATTCCTCACAAAACAAAAATGGCGAGAACTTTCTTTACATAACTGAAAATTAAAATAAAAAAAAATAATTTCAGCACCCAGCTCAACGTGCTGTTCACTTTCTCCGTTCTTGTCGCCCTTTTTCCGTTGAAACTCCAATGCAGTACATATTTATTCATCGTGTACTATTACACTTATTCAGAGGTTATTGTGGTCCAGCTAAGCTGTTCGAAGAGGATTATGCTCGCTGGTTGAGGTCAAGATCGACGAGGTTGTTTGTGGATGATGTTAATGGACCAGTAAGGCTTTTTTGTCTATTTTTTAGGTCTGAGGGGCACAGAATTATTTGAACAACTAATAGGCAAAAGACCTATTTTAAGTATTCTAAAACAAAATAAAGGTAAAATAAGATTAAAAATTATTTTTTCAGATCCCACCTCATCGTCTCCTGTCACCTCGAGTCGATCCAGACCTATTAGCTCAAGCCAACACCAAACCCAGGCCAAATGTGAGACGAGAGATTCATAACAATATTGGAGAACTTCCACAAGCTGCTGAACGGTCCGAGACTTCTTATGCTCTACATCTACCCAACAAGTATCCAAGAGGAAAACGGTACATTTACTAACTATTTTCATAGCTTTTTTAGATATTTTAGTTTTCAACATATTTACAGATTTTAAAAAAATATTTTGAGTTTTACTAATGATTTTTAGCAAGATTTTTAAGCTTTTTTTATAATTTTCTAGCTTTGTATGACTGGGTAGCTATTACGGGTGTATTAAGCATGTGATATATTGTACTTATTGTAATCTATAGCTTTGTATATTTAACTAATCTTGAAGTTAAAGGGAATAAATTATATTAACTTGTGAAGAGTTATTGTAGCTGAAAGGGGATTTTGTTAAATTTTAAGAAAAAGCTTTTTTTTAAAGTTTGGGCGCGAAGTTGCAGGGCAGACCTAAAAGACAGCATACTAGACCTGGCCTTGGACTGGGCCAAAGCAAATTTGAAAAGGATCGGGTTGGTACATGTGGGTTTGAGGGCTGGGAAGCAAACCAAGGCCCTAGTTTAGGTTCCACAACAAATGGCAAGCATTTTCTTCACACAACAAGAAATGGCAAGAACTTTCTTTACAAAACAAAAAATGGCAAGAACTTTCTTTACAACACAAAAAAATTAAAGAAAAGCAGAAACTACTTTCACGGACTTCAAAAATAGGCAAAAAACGACTTGTATCAATATTATTACAGCTTTACTGCGACTTAACAATCTATTATAAAATTACAAAGTTCTTAAAAAGCAAAAACAATGCCTTCGAACTTATAAGCCCCACGAAGCTGTTTCTCTTCCAACAATATTTTACCAGTCTTCCAGTTAAAGACGGTAATGTAACTGCCAACCGGCTCTCCATCTTTCTCTTCCGACTTCAAAGCTACAATAAGTTCGTCGTTAGTGTTTGGTACGAACTGGAAAGCACTAAAACCACGAGCACCATTTCCTTTCGAACCGATCTCTTTTACGGTGATGGTTTTGAAGTCTACTGAAGCGGTAATTACGGTATTTGAGCCTTTGGTTTCATCGGTGGCTTCGGTGTAGATCTCGTTCTTGGAAACTCTTCTGGAAATGGGGTTTTGAGGAGTTTTTGCTGGGTTTTGGGTATGTTAATATCAATATTTTGAAAAAAAAAAATTTTTTTGAATTTAAAAAATTTTTTTTTTGAAATTTTTAATTATTTCGAAATTTTAAAATTCTTGATCAAAATCGAACTTACCGTGGCAAAAAGAACCATTTCTGATGAATCTCGGACCACTGCACACTTTCATGAATCATGTAGCCGGGATCAACCACACCAGCCGCCTTCCTAACAGCGATGAACTCATCAACCCATCTGACATGTTCAACTTCACCTTTACGACTGATCTTCTTGACATACATGGGGTTATGGTTGACGAAAACACCTTCAGTTGTGGTCCATTCCTTACCCAGGCCTCCAGCGTATAAGGTACAGTCTTTTACTGCTAGCCATTCACCCTGCAGGTTTAAAATGAGGTTTTAAAAAGTTTTTGCCATTTTTTGTTTTGTAAAGAAAGTTCTTGCGAATTTTTTGTGCTGTAAAGAAAGTTCTTGCCGTTTTTCGTTTTGTAAAGAAAGTTCTTGCAATTTTTTGTTTTGTAAAGAAAGTTCTTACCATTTTATGTTTTGTAAAGAATGTTCTTGCCATTTTTTGTTCTGTAAAGAAAGTTTTTGCCATTTTTTGTTCTGTAAAGAAAGTTCTTGCAATTTTTTGTTTTGTAAAGAAAGTTCTTGCCATTTTTTGTTCTGTAAAGAAAGTAATTGCAATATTTTGTTTTGTAAAGAGTTCTTGCAATCTTTTGCTTTGTAAAGAAAGTTTTTGCTATTTTTTGTTCTGTAAAGAAAGTTATTGCACTTCCAAAATACATAATTTTTTTACTTTCTTACCTTCAGATTCTTGGTCGTATTACCAGGACCATCATTCAGAAACACCCATGGTACAGTTTTATAATCATTCGTGATCTGATAGACAATTCCTGTCCTATCATCAATTGATAACAATTTCCCATCAAAAACAACCAAATCAGACAGTTCCATAGCGCGACCGCCCAAGGCAAATTGGGATTGAATTTCATGTTCATTTTCGTCCCATTCGACCGAAACTTGGTCTCCTTTTAGTACCAGTGTACCAGCTTGAATGAAAGAGCGCCAGGTGGGCTTTTTGGAAGTTTTGAGTAAAGACGACTGGTCGAGGTCGGTTACTACTACTATATGATGACGGATTTCGTCGCCTGAAGTGAGGGAGTGGTTAAAATGGCAAGAATTTTCTTTACAGAGTGGAAAATGACAAAAACTTTCTTAACAGAACAAAAAATTGCAAGAATTTCATTTACAAAATAAAAATTGCAGAAACTCTTTAAAAATTAAAAAATTTACACTTTCACTATAAGATCCGTATTTTACACCTACCTTTATATTCCACACTAGTCAAAGTGTCGTAATTGTACCCGTCACAACTCGTGACCTCTTTATCTTTATTTAAATAATATCCAACGGCTAATAACCCAACAACAAGAAAGAACTTATTCCTACAAGACGAGCACCCTTCGTCGACCATCTTTGGAGGTAATGAAAGGCCTGAACGTATTTAAGATTGCGCCGCTTAATCGAAACACAAAATATAATTCAAGGCACAAAACAGACATTCGACCTTAAGTTTTGTCTCTTGGTAAAAGAGAAAGGGCGTCTGAGTTGTGTTGAGTTTCTGTTTTCACTTTAAAACTTTAAGTTTTAACACATTTCGAGATTTTTTTTGTTTTTACAGTTTATGAAAATAGTGTTAGGAGCTAAAAATTTGGGGTTGATTAGGTAAAAATAAGATGGCAATTTTGTTCATTATATAGATCATTTAGAAAAAAATGATACCTTTGACCGGAAAATCAAAAAATTTGACTTGGCTCCCCCTGTTGGCGTTTTCAAAAAAATATATTTTTTCATTTACCGGTTCTTTTCACAAAAAAAAATTTTTGGCTTTTTTTCTGACGGTTATGACCACTTTGAAACTGATGACCGAAAAAAAAATTTCTACATTTTGACTTTTTTTTTAAACTGCGTCATATAGACAATGGTTGAAGCTAGTGCACCGTCCACTCTCTTAGAACCGTTAAGAGTCTGTAAAGTGAAATTTGAGGACAATGTGGGCTTTTGTAGGCTGGCACATTGTAAAGAAAGTTCTTGAGAAGCAAATGGTCGTTTTCTTCTAAAAAACGAAAAAATATTGTGGTTTATGACAAAACTGTGAGCACAATTCTTCGGTGTAACCAAACAAATTGATAAGAAAAAAAAGAGCTTGCTTGATCAAGGAAGAAAAAAAAGAAGAATGATCTGTGAAGTATACTCGAATAACATGACGAAGTTAAAAGTTATTGTCAGTATATTTTATAAAAATGACGTATAATGATAAAGGATTATAAGTTGGGACACAGGGTAGAGCAAGCCTTATGTAGGATTACCGTAGAAGTTCGTGTTACAGTGAGGGCTGTGTAGGGAGCTTAAGGTAAATCAGGGTAGGGTGAAGTTAGATATGGTAGAGTTCGACAGGTTATGGTAGGGTACGATACAGTAGGGTAGGCCAAAAGAATACCTTGCAAGCACAAAAATCGCCCTTAAAGAGCTATCGAAACTACTCACTACACAAGCTTGTGCACAAGGCCCAAACTCGCGAGTTAACCCACCCTTTGGTGTTGCTGGCCATGCTGGTACTTATATAAGTTATAACAAAAGTACATTAACATAATATATAAAAAATTCAAAAATAACAAAATTACCCAAAAAAGTTTAAAAATCCTTCAAAAAGTATAAAATGTCAACTCAAATCGCCCAAACTTCCGGTCGAAACAGTTCGAAACTGGGAAAGGCCAAAAGAAAATAAACTTTTACGAATTCATGGGAAACTCCTCGAGTTCCGTGACTTCTGGAATCAAGAATCAGATCGATGGATCTTCGAATGTCATTTATCCTTTGGCTGATGTGACTGGCAATGGAGAGTTGGCTAATTTGGCAAAAGAGGCAATCAAACTTGGCAATACTGATCTGTTGGACAAAACTATCAAGAAGGTAAGGGTAAATCAGTGTTTTAGGTAATAAAAAGGTCTAGAATGGTAATTTTGGTACCTATAAAGAGTAAAGTAATATTTTAGATAACATAAGTAAATAACTTTGTTTTTTAGGTAACAAAAAAAGTAAAGTTGCTTTTTTAAGTATGGTCGAGGCCTGAACTAGTGTTTTAGGAGCAAAATAGTAGTTCAGGCAATAATGAAGAGGAAAATGGTATTTTAGGTAGCACAACGAGGATTAAACTAGTGTTTTGGGTAACAATATTGAATATCATAGTAGTTTAGGCAACATAAAGTATAAAGTGTTATTTTAGATAACAATGTTGACTAAATTATTAGTTTAGGTAAAAATAATTAAGTAAAATGTATTTTAGGTATCAATAATCAGTAAGTTAGTATTTTTAGTAACAATAAAGGTCAAAAGTAGTATTTTAGGCAACAATAAGCAGTAAAATAGTATTTTAAACAAGAAAATTAAATTTCAGATAACAATAAAGAGTAAATTACTAGTATATGTAACAAAAAGCTGTAAATCTTCAAAAAAATTTTTAGTATTATATTTTTTAAAAATTCATTTTCAGAAAATAACCCCCTTTCTTTACAATGATGGTGAAGGTGCTCTACTCCCAATTCACGAAGTAATCTCAGTACGACACAAAGAACGTACTGGAAACGACTTCAGCACCGTGTCCCAACTCAAAAAGTTTGTATGTTGGCGTCTGGACTGTCGTGGAGCTGTGGGTGAGACCCTTCTTCACGTATGCTTCTTATCAGGTCTGCCAGATAATATGAAGTTACTGGCACATCGACTACTAGCCCTGTTTCCCAATATTATCAATGACTTCTACTTGTGTGATGAATATTACGGAGAGACGGCGCTTCACATGGGTATTGTCAATGAAGATCCGGAAATTGTGAGGTTTTTGTTGAAGAATGGAGCTTCTGTTGATGTACGATGTACTGGCAACTTCTTTACATGTGATGATCAGAAGACATCGAGAGAAGATAGTGCTGTCTCGGAACATGCTCAGCTGCACAAGAATACTTATTATACTGGGTAAAAATTAGTTAATTGTGGGGTTTGGCAAAATAGGGTAAGGCAGAGTAGGACAGGGCATGATAAAATAGACTACGGAAGGTTACAGCAGGCTAGGGTAGTATCGGGTATGGTATTTCAAAGTATGGTAACGCGGGTATAGGAAGAGTAAAGTAGGGTAGTCTATGATAACATAGTTTAAGGTAGGACACAGTACCGTAGTATGGGTTAGGCTTACATGAGAGGTTAGGACAAAGTAAAGGTAGGAAAGTACAATAGGGTAGGGTAGGGTAGGGTAGGTAGGGTAGGGTAGGGTAGGGTAGGGTAGGGTAGGGTAGGGTAGGGTAGGGTAGGGTAGGGTAGGGTAGGGTAGGGTAGGGTAGGGTAGGGTAGGGTAGTGTAGGGTAGGGTAGGGTAGGGTAGTGTAGGGTAGGGTAGGGTAGGGTAGGGTAGGGTAGGGTAGGGTAGGGTAGGGTAGGGTAGGGTAGGGTAGGGTAGGGTAGGGTAGGGTAGGGTAGGGTAGAGCAGAGTAAGGTGTTGTATGGTTGGGTAAAATAGTGAATGAGCTTCCGTACACCTATTTTCAGTCACTTATATTGGGGTGAATACCCCCTGACCTTTGCTGCTTGTATTAGTCAAACTGACTGTTTTCGAATTCTATGTGGCTATGGAGCAAACCCAAATTGGCAAGATACGAATGGTAATACTGTGCTTCATATATGCACTATTCATGAGAACTGGGTATGTTTTTGAAAGGTAAAATACGATTGTTTAAAAATGTGATAGGAAAAGTAATATTTTTAGGAAATGTTCGAGATAGCACTAAGCCATGGTGCTAATTTGCACATTGAGAACAAACAAAACTTGACACCGCTGACTTTGGCATCATACTTGGCTAAACAGGAGGTAAGGAACTGAGTATTGTTTAAAATGACATATTCTTTTGAAAAATGACAAGAATTTTTTTTACAAAACAAGTAATGGCAAGAACTTTCTTTACGAAACAAGAAATGACAAGAACTTTCTTTACAAAACTAGAAATGGCAAGGACTTTCTTTACAGTGCACAAACTGATTATTATTGTAGATGTTTGCCAAAATCCTAAAAGTCGAACGTGAAGTGTATTGGACGTACCGTGGAGTACGATCTTCAGGCTATCCATTAGAACATATTGATTCGATTCATCCGAAAACGGGCGAAATCAACCCTAATTCAGCATTAGTTCTGGTAATATACGGAGAGAGTGCTGATCATTTACAACTTTTACCTAATTTACTGGAGAAGTTGATCAATTGTAAATGGACAACATATGCTAAAAGGGAGTAAGTGCAGCATACTATATGACTCTTACAATATATTTGGCATTGAACTGGTATTGGTAGTGGAATCAAAATACAGTAGTTAGAGTTTTGAACTATAGAGGTTAGTTTAAGTTTTATGGCAGGACAGGGCCTTTAAAAATATTTAGGACAGGAAACCACTAGAGTAAGAGCTCGTGAGGGTAGGGTAGGATTAGAGATGAGAAACAGGCCGGGCCTGATTTTTTACGTGCAAACGGGCCGGGCTTTTCGAGACAGGCCGGACTTTGATTTTCAGGCCTGGTCCGTTCCTTATATCTAGCTAGGATATGGTAGGGTATGGGTTACAATAGGGTTTTGGGCATGGAAAGACTAGAGTAAGGACTGGTGGGAGCAAAATACAGTATTATATGTCAGAAGTATGGTTGTTACAGTAGGGGCTGTAGTAGGGTAAGATAGGATAGGGTAAGGTAGAGTAGGGTAGGGTAGGGTTGGGTAGGTTAGGGTAAGGTGGGGTGGGGTAGGGTAGGGTAGGGTAGGGTAAGGTAGGGTAGGGTAGGGTAGGGTAGGGTAGGGTAGGGTAGGGTAGGGTAGGGTAGGGTAGGGTAGGGTAGGGTAGGGTAGGGTAGGGTAGGGTAGGGTAGGGTAGGGTAGGGTAAAATAAAAATAATGTTAACGTCTTACTACAGTAAGATGCAATACTAATAAGTTATAGTATAATTATCATTACTATATTTCACTGTAATGTTTTTTACTTTTTAGCTCTTATTGGTCAATTCCGTATTTTACAAAATAAACTTATGTTTTACAGACTATATCGCCAACTAGCCATTTTTACCTTATATTTTGTGTTGATGGTGATTTGTTTATTGAACCGACCTACTCCGTACGATAGGAAGTATAACAATACTACTTTGATATGCATAGCTAACTTTCCATTTGTTGAATATAACAAAATGAGCTCTAGTGAAATTGTAAGTTATAAAAAATAGCAAGAACTTTCTTTACAAAACAAAAAATTAAAAAAATTATTCATTTTAACTATGTAATAAATATTATTTTAGCTTTACTACACAGTAAATGTACTAGTAGTTCTTGGCGCAGTATATTACCTGTTGCAAATGTACAGTCATATACGGAACGTTGGCCAGAAAATGTACTTTCAGAGCTTGGTAAGATTAAAAATGACATTAGTTTGGGTTTTGTTGTATATTGCCTGGATTGATGCAAAAAGAATGGCGCGTTGTTTAGAAAGTATTGTTTTAAAAATTGGGGTTTAAATGCCATTGTTTTTGCATCAGAAAAGTAGGATTTTTCAATTTTTTAAATTTATTTACGTATTTTACTACAGAGTGTCTTAAGAAATTTGCAGGATTTGAAAAATTTTTTATTCAGCGATAAAAATCGCTATAGGTACCAAATTTAGTACAGCGATAGTAGAGAAAATATATATTTTTTATAAAAAATTTTGGATTTTAAAAGTGCATTTTAAATTTTTTATGATTTTTTAAAAATAGGCATTTTTCACCAAAAATACACATATTTTTGGTTGAAAATGCTTTTTTTCTTCGAAATTTGCGAAAGAATTATAAAATTTATCGATTTTCAAATGAAAAGACTGATTTTAAATGTCGGCGAAGGCTCGGCGGAGGCCGGCGGACGCGTTCAGATATCGGCGAAGGCTATAACTCGCTTCAAAATTGTCGTAAAATTATGAAACAAAAATTATTTCATTTGAAGTTATTAAGTCTACAATTGTAGGATATAAATTTTTAATATTTTAATATTTTTAAATTTAAAAAATGGACAAATGATAAATATTTATTTATTAATATTACTTATATTATCTAATTTCTACGTTATTACCTTTAATTTTTAAAAAATCATAAAAAATTTAAAATGCACTTTTAAAATCCAAAATTTTTTATAAAAAATATATATTTGCTCTACTATTGCTGTACCAAATTTGGTACCTATAGCGATTTTTATCGCTGAACAAAAAATTTTTCAAATCCTGCAAATTTCTTGAGACACCCTGTATATAAATACTATTTTAGTGGGGATTTCCAGCAAAAACGACATTTTTAATATCATGTGTCTTTGTAATATTTGGCTTTTTACTTCGCATTTTCTGTTGGGACGATTTTGAAGATATCATATGGGAAGTCACTATATTATTGACTGCTGTTTACTACCTTTTCTTCTTTCGGTATGTTGTTTGGGGCAGTGAAATTAGAGTACGATAGGGTTGAGATGAGTACGATAAGTAGGAAATGCTACAGTAGGGCCAGATAAGGTTAGGAAAGGTAGGATGGGGTAATGTGAGGGTAGGGAAGGGTATAGTTAGGGTAAGGTAACTTTAGGGTGGGGTAGGGTAAAAATAAGGTGGAGTAATGTTATGTTAAGGCAGGGTAAAGCAAGGGTGGGGCAACTTTAGGCTAAGCTAGGGTAAAGTTATGATAGAGTAGGGCTGGAGTAATTATTGGTAAGGTAAGTCCAAGGTGTGGTAAAAAGTTTTTAAATTTTTCAGAGGATTCAAATCAGTAGGACCATTTGTACTAATATTGTACAAGATTATAATTAGAGAAATTAGCCGATTCATTATCATTTACAGCATTATTGTCATCGGATTTTCACAATGTAAGTTCTTTGATTTTAAAATGGCTAAAATTTTCTTTACATGACAAAAAAAATGGCAAGAACTTCTTTACTAAAGAAAAGATGGCAAAAACTTTCTTTCCAAATCCAAAAATAGTAGAGTCAAAAATCTTTCGTATAAGATGTCTTTCGCAGGCTGCCGAATAAATAAAGAACACCATATTAGCCTATTTTCGCCTAACATAATCTTATTCAGCATTTTACATTCTCTTCATCGGGTACCGTCGCAAAGACCCCAAATACGATCATAAAGATGGTAACATAATGTCGAATGTTGCTGAGAGTTTCATCCGCATGTTTATAATGTCATTGACCGAATTTGCTGTATTTTTTGAACAATTAGAGCTATGTGAACTGTCAATCGTAGGAAAGTTTACTTTCATCATATACATGTTGTTGGTTACCATGTTACTCATGAACATGCTGATTGCCATGATGACCAATACTTATACTGAGATTGCGGCCAATGGACTTGAGTATGTACGCCAGTTTGCTGCTATTATACTGAACATGGAGCAGAGTTTTACACCGGAAAAACGGTTACGATATCAGCAAGCGTACAGTAATCCTATGAGCGATCGGAGTAAAATCGCTTTGTTGATGAAGCAACGGCTTACGGTAGGTTTAATATAGTAGGGTATGGTGGTTAGGATAAGGTAAGATTTGGCAGGATAAAGTATAGTAGAATAGGGGAGGGTGGGGTAAATTAGGGTAGAATATGGTAGGGTGGGGTAGGGTAGTTTAGGATATACGATTGAAGTTTTAAAACTAAAAATTAATTTTTAGGAGGAAGAAGTTGAAGAAGAAGACCACGAACTAATGAAAATGTGGAGAAAGTTCCGTGAGGATAAGCGAAGACAACAGCTTCAATCTCCTTAATACCACGATTAGTAATATTTTTAAAAACTTAATTAAAGGTTGAAATTTAAAAAAATTTTTAATTTTTGTGCTGTAAAGGAAGTTTTTGGCATTTTTTGTGTTGTAAAATACGGACATTGCGTATATGTAGCCTGACAAGGGAATGTTTTGCTTTGTAAATAAAATTCTTGCCATTTTTTGTTATGGAAAGAAAGTTCTTGCCATTTTTGGATTGTAAAAAAATTCCTTGCCATTTTTGGTAAAATACGCAAAGATCAGCGTGGTTTTGATTGGCCAAAAGTATACCACTATCTTATAAATCCAATGATAAATATGACTTTATTAAATATAAACAGCCTTTCGAATACTACAACATGAATACTTTAGAGACTAGAAACGTTACAAAATATTACTTTGGGAAATGCCAAGTGAATCTTAAGCGTTAATTATGCTAATTAAGTCCATTTTAAGTGATTTAACAGCGAGTTTCGTAAAGGCCGGAGCGGCCAATGTACCGTACCCACTTGATGACGTCGTGGTCAGAGTAGTTGAGCTTCGGTTCGAATACCTTGAGGTAGCGCACTTTTAAGCCGGACGGGGCGAATGGGACCTAAAATGTATAATTATAAAATAAAAAAAAACGAAAAAAATTTTTAAATTCCTAAAAATTTCAAAACTCAAATAAATTTAATTTAAAACTTACCTCAAAGTTCATTGAAACCGGTGGCCGGTTCCACTTCTTCTTTTCGGCTGCTCCTGTCGCCAAAAGGTCGATTTCGGCAGAGATTTGAGATTCTTTCATGCCACCCATTCGTTTTATCCTAAAATCACATTCAAACTAGGTCTAAATTAACGTTAAACTTTAAAATTTAAAAAAAATACGCAAATTTAAAAATTTTTTAGTATAAGTTGATCGCCGCAGGCTGCAATTTGCAAAAACGGTTTTTTTATTCAGATAATGAGAAAATGGACAAAAGCTTTCTTTACAAAACAAAAAATGGCAAGAACTTTCTTTACAACTCAAAAAATTGTAAGGGCTTTCTTTACGAACCAAAGAATGGCAAAAACTTTCTTTACAAGCTAAAAAATAACCCAAAAAGACAACGCTTCGTATAACGCGACGTCCAAAGCCTGCCAAGTTAACCCCCCCCCCCCCCCCTAAACTTAAAAACATACTTCCAAACGATGGCATTCTCCCCAGCCTTGTACTTGGCCTTTCCCTTCATACAAATCAGCTGAACTCCACTTGTGTTTGGCGGTGTTGGAATTCGAACCTCGATCTTTTGGGCCAACAACGATGGCTTGAAGTTGGACTTGATGACAACTTTGACTTCCATCTTATTGCGACTAATCTCCCGCACCAGAGGTATTACTCGGAATGGCAGCTGAATATCTTTGGTCGTTCGATAGCGCATCAATTCGTATTCTCCATCTGGGGGTATGAAGGAGATGGCATGGTCGGAGTCAAACTTGGTCAGTTTTACACATTGATGGAATTGGCAGTCATCGATGGCTACGGCTGTTCGGCCTCTGAAAAGTAACAATAGCTATAGATTCGGTTAAAAGTTGCAAAAAAATTTCTTTCCAACCCAAAAACAATATCCCACTTACTTAGAAGAGTCCTCAGCAGTACCACCTCGTCTCGATTCAATAGTCAACTTGTCATTGATACCAAATTTGCATTCTGGCATTCCACTCAAATAACTTTTCATAGCCACTTTTCCAGCCACATGAGCCGACAAAACTTGACCTTGTTGACTCATCAACAAGTTTACGTACTCAATAACATCAAGGAAAAGTTCATTCCTTCTATATTTAATACCTTCTCGTCTCCAGCCAATCTGTCCAGTCACTTGAGACGTTATTTGGGTCTGTTCTTCTTTACTCTGCAAACGTTTTTGTTAAAATTTGAAGCTAATGAACTGTCTGAACGAGTAAAATTTGTATAATAAGCAAGAAAAAACTCTAATGCTTCATAATTAACTTATTTTAAAAACACAAGACCTAAAATCTCTTCAAGAATTGAGTAAAACACCAAGAAAAGTATCAGATATCAAGTGTAATATAGTAAAACCTCAAAATCTCTTACCACAGCAGTCCGTACACCTTGTTGTGTGATAAACATCTTCAACACACCGGGATCCGTATTCTGAGGATAACCAAAGTCCAAGATTTCTAAACATCAAACACAATTAACCAAAAGTATATTACACTTACCATCCAATATTTCATAGATCAAAACAAAGTTGTTCTTCACGTTTTCCTCATTCAATTTGCCAAAATAGCTTTGCATTGTGTCCGCAAATCGATTGAGAAACTCGAACACCATCGCAGCATTAACATTATTCCGAGCGACGGCACAAATCCAGACATTACCACGTTTAATATGGAAGAAGGAGGTTCGAGCTATATCAACGACTGGAGAACGAACTTGTTGCCGAGCGTGGATCACATTTACTCGGAAAGCATCCACAGTGTTCCTACTGAAATTTTAAACATCAGTATGCCCATTTTTTACTAAAAAAGCCAAAGATAGGTAGCTTTATATACCGATACAAACATATGTCTTGTTTACCGAACATGAAATAGCTAACCTCTTAAAAAAGGTTAATGTAAAAACCAGTAAAGTCTTTCTGACATTAGCTTTTCAAGGAATCTATAGAATATTGACCTATCTAAAAAAAGAAAACAAGAAGAAAAGATAACTTACCTGACATCATCGCGATAGATGCGTGAAATTAACACTTCACCCTTGTGATTGTACACAAATAGTCCTCCAATCATTTCATACCTAAAATTATACAAAGTTACTTTTATCCTAAAATTGGAAACTAGTAAATAAATAAAAACGCCAAAATATCGGAAAAACGCGGCCGAAGAACGAAAAAAGTGCGTTAGAAGGGGTAACGTCGAGCCGGAATCTTGCTTCGTGCTTTTTAAAACATTGACATAACTTTCAGAAACAAAATGAGGGCTTTCATTTGGGTAAAGACATTAGATTTTAGGTAAAAACGTTTGTTTTCTGACCCAAAAACTCTATTTTTTTGAAAAATATTGAATATATCTTTATTCTTTTGTCCAAAACTTGACGTTAACATTTAAATGGATATCTAAAAAATACTCTTGAAACATTCACTAGACTTGACATTATCACTTGCAACCAAATCTCCAACTTGTTCTGCAAAACAAAGCTACTGACGCCAATATTTCATATATTATCCATGGATAATATAGATTAACCTGACGTCTTCAGCTTATTTAAAAAGACAAATTACCAAGACGAATTACAAATAACACCCCCAGCTTTATGTTTATTAAAAAGACGAATATCGTTGGGTTGAGAAATGTAATTCTTGTTATCTACGAGATTAGAGGAGTGGAGCCGGCTCCGCTCCACATCAGCAGCTCCAAACAAGGAGTCGGACGAGAGAAAAAACACTTTCTTGACTTGAAACGGGAAGAAGAAGATTGCAGGGGAGAAGAAGGTCTTTCAGTAGTTCAGTCGAGAAGAAAATCTAAAATTTGGGCAGTTTCGATTCAAAGTCGTCTAGAAATGACGTCATCCTGACCTTTTTGGGGACAAGTTCTGGTCTGTGCACTTTAAGGCAAGTGTGTGAAAGTGTCATGTGCCATTTTTACGGGGTTTTTGGGAAGGCTGTCTGTTAGTTTCGGGCAATTTTAATAATCTATAGTTTGTTTCCAATTAGTCATGATGACTGATTTTATAGAAATCCTGGCAGGTATTTTTTGATGTTTTAGATATCAAATAGTGTTAAAGTAATTTTTATATACAAAAATATGATAAAAACAGATTCTTAAATATTTTTTTAATTTTATTGTAAGAGGAATTGTCAAATTTCACTTTCCTTCGCTACTTTTAAGCGCATAACTTCTGATCATATGTTTTTCGCAGCCTGCGCGCCCGTTTTTCATTCTGCGCCCTTGATTTTTCTTTTTTTTTCTGTAAAAATTATTCTTATTTCGAACAAAATGCTAATTAGCTCGAATTTCGGCCCACACCGTTCGCGGGAACGCCCTGTGAATGCACTCTGTAATAAAACTAATAGTTACCGGTTCTATTTACGTCCCTTTTGTCATGAATAATATAATTTTGGTCTCATTGTTGGGGAGGGGTGCAGCTCCCCGCGCGCGCCTCTCTTCTAATTGTATGTGGACGGTTGTCGTCGTTCAGGTGGTTTTCCATGTCTTCGGGGGGTTTTTCTTCCTTCACACAGTTTTTTGAACTAATATACGCGCTCTAACATAATATACGTTTTTGTTTGTCGCTGGAGGGGGAGATTTTGCGCTGACCATCCTCATCCGACCGGCTGAAGTGTGCTGTTCATCCGACTTTGTTTTTGTTCGAAACTGATTCATTTCCTTTTTTGTGATGTTACTTTCGGTTCGAAAAGAGTGGAAACTGCGGAAAAATTGATATATCTTATGTCTTGGAGGTGGAAACCTGATGTTATCTTGGGGTAAAAGTGAAAGAACGAAGTAAAATATTGTTGAGAAGATGAAGAAGGACAATATTTGGTTAAGGAGGTTTGAAAACGTGCTATTGATTGGCTTTAAATTGATATTCTGTTATGGTTGATCTAAAATTTAGTGGGTCACGTGACCCGATTTCTGGTATTTACGTGTGAGCGCGGGCTGCTTCACGTTGTAAATAGTCTTTTAAAGCTTCTAGAGTGTACGGGCTTTAATGCGGTGTAAAAGGAAGTAGTTTCAATGGGTGGTTATTGGGGAAACGGACGATATTGTTTTAGATATACCTAGCTTGGATACTGTCTAAACTTTAATTTTCTATAACTCAATATCGACCAGTTGAAAAATTTTCATATTTGGTCAAAACATACTTCAAAGCACTCTTCAAAAGATAGTTGAACAGTTTAACGTTTAGTTTGTTTTGTTTTTGAATATTTTGGCATTAATTTAGGTGCACATGATCTGATAAGGTGTAAATTTCATTTTGTTATAACTGAATGACGAATGATTGAACTTATTTGAAATTTTGTCGAAATAGAATTAAAACAGCGCTTTTTACAAAGATAAAACTGGTTTTGCATATAATAGGTCAGCTGTTGAGAAATCACGTTATTACTTTAGGCAACAATCGTTGATGTTGGTTAAATTTTATTTTAATATAACTTTAAAACAAATAGTAGGTAAACTGTTTACTTTTAGTTATGTGAAGATATTTATATACTTTTAGGCATGGTAAACTCAATTTAATTATATCTTATGATAAGTGCATAAAAATTAGTATTTTGTACTATGGTACGATTTACATTTAAATGAATATCTAATAGTGCAGGTGCACTGTAATTTGGTCACAGTAGGTATAAAACGATAGGTTTGAACTTGGTTAGAGTTGGCTTCTCTATTTTTCATATTGTCTGTTTGAGAACTTATTGTACTACGCTACAATTATATTATCGTACCTTCAAGATGATCATTCTTTTTGGTGTCAATTCTGATGGTAAAACATTTAATTTATACTTTAGTTTTTACTTTAATTGCTTTCGTGTTTTTTTTTCACATTTTTTCAGTTTTTACTCAATTTATTACCTAAAAAAGTCAAACCTAATGTTACTTTAGGTGGCATGCAAAGTCTGCGGAAGTTGGTAAATAAGCCGAGAGTTGACGATTGGTCGCCGTTAGCCAAGTTTTATCATGCTGATGAAGCGTTAAGTGCCATCGCCAATGAACTGGATTCCTTCGACGGCCGAAGGGATCCGGACCGATGTAATCAGCTGGTCAACAAGTTGCGACAAGCCCAAGACCGCGTCTTACAGATCATAGGTATGATTTTTTGTTTATTATATTGACTTTTAGTTATTACACTGTGTTTTTCTTGTGATTAGCGGTATGTTATTGAATGGAGCAATTTATGAGTGTTTACGATATTGTAATCGATATTTGATACGGCTCAAAGGAATTCGGCTTTTATGAATAGAATCAATTATAATACAAAAGGAAACTGGTCGTGAATGCTAAGAAAATGTCTTTTGAATGTTATGTGATAATAGGAATGGCAGTTTAGGATTAGGAAGTTACAAAAATGGGCTTTATTTAAGACCTACGTCAATGTATACTTCAACTTTCAAAGTCTTTGAATAAAAACTTAAAAGCATCCTGGAAATTTCCCTTTAATAAAAGAAAAAGGTCTTTTGAATGTTTTGCGATAAAATAAAAGAAAGTACAATGCAAATAGTTTTTAAAATTAAGATTTTTTCTTACCTATATCAATATATTGGTCTGACTCACAGATCCCCACATAAAACCTCAAAAAACGTTTGATACTCAAAACAAATACAATAATATTTCAGCTGAGATGATATCGATCGTATTCCCAGCGGACGCAGAACGTGCTTGTCGCGACTACCGTGCCAAATTCCCCGACGAAATTATCCATGACAATTTGCCAGGTCAACTCTGGTTTGGAGCCGAATGTCTGGCCGCCGGCTCGAATATTGTGGAACATGAGGCGGAAAGTGAGGAGATACGACCAATGGCACGAGCACTAACACGACATTTGGATAAAATGAGGAATATTCTAAAGGATCAGGCGCTAAAAGATCCAACGGTTTATACACCCAAAATCAAAGCTAGTCTACATGTTTTTGATCGATTGTTTGCCGAGTTTGAGTTTAAGTAGGTTTAAATGGCTTTTTCTATATGTGTGTATAAGTGAGTGTAATTTTTGAAGCTACGTATTTTACTTTATTTTTGGGCTTTCAGCCTGCAGGGGACAAGTTATACATTGCTTTTGTAAAGTGCTTATATTGCCATTTTTAATAGTTTGCTACCTAAAATAAAATTCAAAAAAGATTATTTGACCTTGCCAATATCAATGATAGTATAATTTTCACTTTTCAGCTATGTGAGTGCAATGGTGCCAGTCAAAACAATAGTGGAGTACGATCATCAACTGGACGTGGCTGTACTCTTCGCTGAATGTTTAAACAGGTGAGTCTTAATTTGCACTTTTTTGCTTGAAATTTAGACAACAATGGAAACAGAGGAGAGATTATACTATTTATGGTCACGGATTTGTTTACGGATCAGTTATTTTGCACTTTTGTTTATAAAAGAATGGCAATTGGAAGGGTTTTGTAATTTTGAATGCTGCTTTTCGAAAAATTACAAAAGTTGTTGATCAAGGAAGGAAAATGAAAAGAACTTTTGTTTACACAGTAAAAAATAGCAAGAACTTTCTTTACAAAACGAAAAATGGCGAGAATTTTCTTTACAAAAAGAAAAATGGCAAGAACTTTCTTTACAGAGATAAAAATCTGACAATATTGGTATATTTTTCAATTTTGATCAACTTTGTCTTTTTAGAGCAATGGAAGTTGGCTACTTTAACAAAGAACAAATCGAAGACGCAGACCCAACACTAATGATCGCCCTACCTCGAATCGCCATTCTATGGGGATTGACAGTGTTCGAAGGGAATGCCCTAGACCTAAATCAAGGTCGAGAGAACATATCCGAGATGTTTCGTCACTTTTACGATCTTCTGAAGCTGATCAGAAGTCTGCTGAAAATGGTCGAAGACAACGAAAGAGAACTACTTGAAAACTACCTAATCACTGGCATTCCGGAGCGAAGTCAACGGGAAAATGACATATCAGGTAGGGGTTTTGGTGAGGGTGTGGAAATTTTTTATTTTTAGGGGTGGTTTTGAAAAAAATTGATTTTTTGGATTTGAAGACTTGTAATTCATGGATACTATAAATTTTGATAGATTTTAAGTTTAAAGTACTTCTTTTGTAATAAAATGTGGTTAGAAAAACTTTTTTTTAACTCGGAAATTATTTTAGGTAACACAATTTGAAAAAAAAAATATTTTAGGTGGCAAAATTGGAAAAAAAACATTTTAGGGGAAATTATTATTTTGGGTAACAAAAATGCTTTTTATGCACATTTTTAGGTGTTGAATTTTATGAAAAATTAGTTTTAAGAACTCCCATGTCTGTGCTACGTATTTTACCTTTCCAGATTTAGTAGTATCAACTGCCTCAGACTTGGGAACGAGCAAAAGTCAAATCGAAAAGGACGACGTACTGATAACAGCCATGAATGATACCGCCAATTTTGTTTTAACAGACGAATTGTAAGTTGTTTTTTGCTTTTGTTGGAACTTTAGGTAACAAGTGGAAGTAATTGGTTAAAACTGGCACGAACTTTCTTTACAAAACTGCGGAACGTCTTTTTGATTAAAAATTTTGTTATTTTAGTGTGGCACAAGCAAAGAAGAACATTGACGATGTGATACACCGCTTGTTCGTGTGTATATGTGGAGTGGCAGATCAACTACAAACGAATTACTCATCTGACATTCGAAAAATATTAAAGATGGTCTTACAGCCAATCGAAGCACGACCTATTTATGAGGTAAAATATGATTTTGGTTGAGAAACTTATGTTTTTGGAAAATTGATTTTAAATTTAAGGTCAATTTTGGAGGGGGGGGGGAGGTTTAATGTTTTGTTAGGTAAAATACGATCCGTCATTGTATGGTTTGTGGATTTTTAGTTTTTATCTAATTGGTGCCATTTTAGATAAGCGGTAAGACAGCGCCAGTGCCTCAAAACGAAGAAGAAGCCGGAGTGGAAGTTCAAGAGTCGATATCATTGCCTACAACTACTGGTAAGTCGGTTTTTATAGGGTTTTTTAATTTTAGGTTGATGCATAAAGAATGGCGTTTTGTTCAGGGGTTCTAAAACATTAGTTTGAAAATTGAAATTTTAGGCAACAAAAACGATATTTTTTGAGTTAGAAATCGTTTTTTGAGTAAAAAAATGAATATTTAGGTATAAAAATTAAGGGTTGACAGGAATATTTCAAAATTTATCATTTTAGACAAAAATATGAAATTTTAGGTAAAAAATGAAAAATTCTTCGAAAATTTATTTTTTTAAAATTTTTAACTTTTTTTAATTTTGAATTTAAAATCAAAATTTTCAGGCGTAGAATGGGTCCCAGACTCAGACTGTGACAACTGTGTAGCATGTGGCTCGGCCTTCACGATAGTTCGCCGCCGGCATCATTGTCGCAACTGCGGCCGAATCTTCTGTTATCGCTGCTCGGGGCACGCTCTGGCTATTCCCGAGCTGGGCTACGAAAGACCGGTCAGAGTGTGCAACATCTGCTTCCTCTACAAGATCAACCCTTTCACACCGTGCACTTCTGAAGGACTAACGGCTAGCCAGCGACAGATTGAGGACGATCTGATACCATCAACGTCGCAGGAAATTGAAGCGGTCCAAGATTTTGGGACGGTGTAGGATGTGGACACGGTGCAGGGCTTTGGCACGGTGTGGATTTTTGCACGGTAGAATGTTCAAATGATGCAACGTGATTCAAAGCACATTGGTCGCAATATCGGGTTAATAATGTCTTTGGGCAAGTGAAAGTCAAAGGTTTGTGGGTGGTCTTGACTTGGCATAAGGATGTATTGAGTTCGTAATGTCAGTTCGGTTAATAACATCATGATGTAAACATTGTACAGTAAAATAACATTAAGGTAACGTCATTTTTGTATTTTTTAAGACTTTTAAAGGCTGTTGAAGTATGATTGTGTCTGATTTTAAAAGATTTGAATGTGTTTTTGAACAAAAATGGCCATTTTTTTTTGAAATTTGCACTTTGCAGCTTTTTATTTGGTCTTGCACCGTGCAAAGTATAAACTTGATTGTACTGTGCAGGAAACAAAAAGTTCTTGTCGAGGCCAAATTTTTAAAGTTTTTTGTCTAAAAATAAAGGCTTAGGGCATGCTAGTCCTGTGGCATGTTTCTATTTTAAAAAGGGCACGTTTTATGCTTTCTTTTGCACAGTGCAGGAAGGTAAGATGACTGCACTGTGCAAAATATAAAATTCATTGCACTGTGCAAAGCTTTTGATATCTTTCGACTTTTGCTAATATTCGTAATGTCAACTGCCACAGTCAGCCAGACCGTCTACGAACCACCGAAACCCCGACTTTCATCCAGGATAATATCATTTCACAACACTTATTGTACCGGTTACTCTAAAGGTCCGTCCTTCTTGTATATTGTTCTTTCAAACGGTAAAACCGAGTCATTTTGTCGTAAAAATGTATATTTGAAGACATTTTATGGTAAAAATGTATATTAATATTGTATATTTTCAAAAAAAAATTAAGATTTTTGTTTGATTTTGGGATTAAATGATCATTTTCAAATGGAAAAGGCAAAGAAAATGGAAGATTTTGAGGATTTTTCATTAAAAAGAGGCATTTTTAGAGATTTTTTGGACTTTTAAAGTTTAAAAAGGTAATAATTCAAAGGTAAACTACGAATTTTGATACATACTTTTTTAATATACGTTAATAAAGGCTACAATTTTTGATCTTAAAAAATTCTGAGTTGCTCTTAAAGCAAGTTTTCGAGACTAGGAGGCTCAAAGTTTTTTAATCAAGTTAATATTATATCGTTCAAATAATTCTGAGCCTCCTTTCAAAACAAATTTGCGAAGTCTAGGGCATAGAATCATTTGAACACTCTAATACAACAATAATTTTCGACTACGGACTCTTTCGCAAATTTGTGATTTGGTCAAATTGTTAATACAACATATGATACTATCATATTTTTATTGCTCATGTTATGGATAATAAACAAAAATTTTGGATAACATAGAATACACTCACTTTTCTGGTTGATATACGCACGTTTCTGGTCAATATACTCAATTTTGCCTCAACATACCTACTATAATATGAAAAAACAAAAATATTTGGCATTGAATTACCTTGACTTAGTTTACTTATTGAAAATACATTTCGAGGCATTCCAATGGTCCCGGTTATCTTAGCTTTGGATCTTTGGTACGATAACAATCGACCAAAAACGAAAAAAAACGAGCGTTTTGAGTCCAATTTAATGAACTTGAACATTAAATTTGTTATTTTAGGTATGAATGTGGCGTTAAATGGTTATTTTAAGTAATATTTTTATACTTTTAGGTAATATCTTGGAAAAAAAATAAACGGACTTTTTCACAAAAATTTTTTAAAAATTTTTTTACTTTTCTAGGCTAAAATCACCTGCCAAGCACTGGGTATGGTAAAATACGGCATGTTTAATTTTTTAATCTATTGCAGTTTCATAAACTCAAATTTAAAAAAAATTAAAGCCAAATTTGATTGAAGTTTCTATGCCAAAATGAAACTTGTCTCTCTCATTAGTCGGCGATATTAATGGTCCAAGTTTGTTACACATGTGTCCCGACGTAATCGTCTTCGCCTTGATTAATGATTCAAATTTCGATAAACATGGCGTCGTACGTAATACGACAGTGACTACCTTTTTGACATAAAAAGTTAGTTTTTTTACTATGCGTTTTGGCTTTACAAAAAAAAATTGATTTTCAAAAAATTTTTTAAATTTCACTTTTTTAAAAAAAATGGCAGGGAAATTAGAGGGTAGGGTAAATTTTGAAAAAAAGAAAAGAATGGTCAAAGCAGAACAGTACTGTAAGTAAGGACAAGAATACATAAGTAGATTTTAGGGGTAGGGGACAAATGTGAAGGTAAGGCAAAAGGTGGTGGGTAGCCTGTATGTAAAAAGGCTTCTGGCATGGCTTCTTTACAGGTCTAGGTATGGGTAATTTTGGGGGAAGGGTAGGATGGGATATGGTAGGGCAGAGAAGAGCAGTGCAATGAAAGGTAAAGTAGCTTGGGGTAGTGTATGATAGTGTACTAGGGTAAGGTAGGGTAGGGTAGGGCAGAGTAGTATAGGGTAGGGTAGGGTAGGGTAGGGTAGGGTAGGGTAGGGTATGGTAGGGAGGGTAGGGTAGGGTAGGGTAGGGTAGGGTAGTATAGGGTAGGGTAGGGTAGGCTAGACTAGGGTAGAATAAAATAGTTTAATTTGTCTTATTATCATTTCTTTCATCATGTTCCACCTTATGTTCTTATCACTTTCTTCCAACCTGACCTACTATCCCCCTGCCCTTCTCTGCTTACGTCTTCTCCCTGTCCCCTTAATTAATTTCCCCCTGAAGGGATTGTTTTTTCGCGATTTTTTGACTTTGCCAATTGTTCGAAGGTCCTTGACCGTTGATCGAGAGTCTCGAGGACTCGGAGATGTGTCATTTACCTGAGGGCAAAAAGCCCGCGAAAGTGGCTGGCGGCAAAAAATTGGGGCGCCCGGCTTCTTAATTTTACTTGATTTTGGACTTTTGTGTTGGGTAGGGGTTGGCAAGGGTGATTGTTTGATTTGGGTGAGGGTTGGCAGAGTAATTTATACTCGTTGTGGGGCTAGGTTGACGAGGAGAATAATGTTGTATGGGACATGTTTGCCTAGGGTAATATTAGTTTTTTGTTAGTTGTAGGTTGGCGGGGTAATTTTTATTTTTTGGGCATGGGTTGGAAGAGGTAAGTTAATTTTTTTGTTTTGGTGTGAATTGGCGGGGATAAAATGATTTTTTGTTTTGATGTGGTGTTGCAAGATTAATTATTGACACAGGGTCAAAGGCAGGGGGAAGGGGTGAAAATTATAGTTTGGCAGGGGTAAAATAGTCTTGCTTTTTGAATATGAAACAGAAAGATTAAAATATTAATATGCTACTCTACCCTACCTTGCCTCACCCTACCTTATCGCGTTCTACCCTAAAAAATGCGTTGGTATTGACAGGGGTAATGTTATTATTATATGTTGGTATGAATTACATTAACAGGGAAGGAAAAAGTTGGTTATAGACGACATTTTGGGCATATTCTGATAGCTTTGCTTTATATTAAGCGGCTGGTAATGGATAATTTTAATCTTTTTGGACTAGACTGTTAACTTATGATAGAAAATATTTCATGACAAGCGGAACGGCATTAGAAATTTTAATTTTTCGGCAGGGGTGATTTTACTTTCTTCTTCTTCAATTCATTACAAATAGATACAGAGTTTTTCCCATGCTTTCTTGGCTTTGGTTTAAATCATTTTCTTTTTGTTTTGCCGTTCTGAATCATAATGTAGCGTCAAAAAGAAACAGGTGATCAAAGGCTATTAATAAAAACATATTCGACGCTTCTTTTGGTCGTTTGCCAATTTTTATTATGAAAGCTAGTTTATATCGCCAAATAATTTAGGCAGGGTGTTCGATAGGACGTACGTACTGTTTAAATTCTGTGGCTGCGAATATCTCGCTAGCCAAGGTCTTTTAGCAGTTTTTAGAAAAAATTTTTTTGTAACTTTTTGTAACTAGTCTTTCATGCTGTACAGGTCTCATTTTGAGTTCCAAGGCATATTTGATGCAATTCTTTAGTAAAAGCAGCTTTCGTTAAGCTTGAAAGAGGGTCGACCTCAGCCCTGCTCCAACCCAGCCCTTTTACATGTCCGAGTACAATCGAAAAATTTTTTTTGGGATTAAGCTGTTAGGTTGTCCGAATGTGGATAAGTCAAAATTTTCAAGGTTGGGCTTTTTGAATGGCTCATTTATATTTGGACAATCTGATACTAGGTAAGGTGAACGGGGGGGAAGGGGGAACACGCCAGAAAAAAATTTTCGAAAAAGTATTAGAAAGAAATAGAACGTGGTCCCCTTGTGGATTTTGCCGGTCTTTTTTGACCCCCGTCCAAAAGTCCTTGCCAGGCCCTGGGTATGACCATAGTGACTTACATAAAATGGAATTGAGTTTAGTTTATTACAGATAAAAAAAACTGTATTACGCACTTTAAGGTTATTAATTTGTTGCGATAAGAGCTGAAGGCGTAAGCTACATAAATTTATAAATTTAGTGATTCACTGATAACAGTGGTATTATAATAGAGTTATTTAGGATTTTGTGTTTGTAAAGGGTTCAAAACATAAAATATTATATTTTTTAAATAAAAGCATTGCTGTTTTATTTGAAAAAATGATTCAAAATTTTTTGATTTTTAAATTTAATTTTAAAAAATTTTATCATTTGAATTTCAAGCCACATTTTGATGTTTGACGTTAATATATTTAAAAAAATATTTTTTGAATACATCTGTAGGTCAATCTTTAGTCAAATATGAAAGTTGCTTCTTGAGATCAGTTCAATAGATCATATTAGACTAATTGGCAATATGGCAGACAAATTTTGATTCATAAAGGCTTTTTTATTTTGATTTAGTTATATTTACGTAAGCAATTTAAACAAGTTGTTTTTGAAGTTTCAATTTTTTAAAGTTTTTTGTTTAAAAACGTCATTTTTGGCAAGTGGGGTAGGTTATAGGGCAGGGTAAAAAGCTAAAACTTGTTTTGTTCATTATAGGAGGGCAAGGCAAGGAAGGAAGAGTAAAATAGGATACTATAGGGTGGGATAAGTCAGAGTAGGGTAAAATAGGTAAAATTTTTTGTTTAACAGGGTAGGGTAGAGCAAGGCAAGGCAAGGCAAGGCACGGCGAACGGCCGGGTCTGAAAGGCCGACCTAAGTTTTGCCCAGAGCCGGCACGGCCCGAATTTTCATTACGTGCAAACGGGCTGTGCTTTCCGGGCCGGGACGAGCCGGACCTTGATTTTTAGGCCCGGTCCGACCAAAATTTTCCACAGACCCGGTTCGGTCCGTTCTTCATGTCTACACAAGGCGAGGCAAAACGGGGAAAGGTAGGGTATATTATGCACGAGTAGAGTGAGATGTGGCAGGTTAGATAAACATATGGTAGCGTAGGACTCGGTAGGCTACAATTAAATTTTAAAGCTAAAGTTCAATATACCACTGTCTACTCTATATCGCCCTTCCAAAAAATCTATTTTTTCCTAATTTTTTTTTACTTTACAAACCGGCTTTACATCCCTAACTCTACATATCCAACTTTACATTCGGAACAGTGGCGAATAGATTCGGGACAGTAGGGGAATGAATTCAGTTGGGGGATGGGTGGAGGGGGTCGAGTAAGATGGGTGCGGAGAGATGGCAAAAGACCAAAACTCGCGGATTTTGGAAGAAAACGGCCCAAACTTTCGCTTCATGATGTATAGGTTATATTTGGGATATCATGCAAGGCTCGGGCGACCATTTCGAGCTGTGGAATGGGTTTGCATTATTAGACAAGTTGGGTGGCACGGGCGAGGGGGGGGGGAGACTGGAGTTTTTAATGGGAGAATTGAAAGAGTTAGGGTAGGGAAAGGGAGTCTGGATTGAGATAAATCAGGGAAGGGTATTTATGAAAAGAAAAAAATTAGGGAGGGGTAGTTACGAAAAGAAGAATAAAATAGGAGGTGTGAAAGCTTGGCAGTGGTATTTTAAAAACTACAAGACTAGGGATGGGTATTTACGAAAATAAAAAACTAAGGCGGGGTAATTTTTTGGAATGAAAGAACTTTGGAGGGACACTTAGAAAAAAAAACTAGGAGGGTATTTCAAAAAGATCTGACTTACCCTATACTAGTTTATTTTTTTACCCTTTTCTAGCCTACTTTTTATCTCCCTATGGAGGGGTATTTTGTAAAATTAAAGAGCTTAGGAGGGGTAAAAAGAAAAAGTGAAAGTTTGGCAACTACTTTTTTTAATAGAACTTAGGAAAAAATAATAAATATTTTTAGCGGTACTTTGCTTTTTTCGAAATTGTTTTGAATTTTTAAAATTTAAAGTTTTTTTTAAATTGTTTTTGCTTTAAATTTTGAATTTTTTTGAACTTTTGCATTTCTAATATTTACAAAATTTATTTCTTTGATATAACAACGTTTTTGACCTTTTCCAATATTGTATGTGACATTTAACATTAAGAAAGAGGAAGGAATCAATAGTTTTTGAACTTTTTTGCAAAAAAATGTTTTCAATGGATTGTTTTTATTTAAAAATGGCTAAAATGACTTTTTTTTTACTAAAGTATTTAGTATTTTTTTACTATGTAATTAATTTTTTTACTTTTAAGTAGGCAAAGAAGTCTTGTTGTTTTTTTGCGTGAAAATACATAGAAATTGACGACAAGACTTTTTTATTAGTTAGAATAGCATAGCGAGGAATAGAATGAACATTTTTTTGGCCAAAGAAGCTATCTTAGATTTAAAATACCATTTAATATTTGTACAAAAGTTTATTTTGAAAAAACCAGAAACTTCTTCTTACTTTTCGACCGCCGAAAACAACAAAGACCAAAAGAACTTTACTAAAAAGGCATGAAACGCTTCGAAAAAAACCGTTTTAAATATCATTTTAGTACGAATTTCGTGATATGCCTCCCTCCCATTACGCATCAAACTTGTAGCGAAGACATCCAATTGTTTTAATGGATCGTCACATCACATTTGTCAAACGGGCTGGGGCTTGTTTGCATCAATTGCGCGCAAATCCGTTGAGACAATACTCAAATGAATTGTCGGCCGATAATTAGGGACTGATTTTGTAATGGAGACGGGTTTTTGGGGTTGGGTAGGGTAGATTTGTGGGGTAGAATAGGTTTTGGGGATAGGTAGGGAGAAAAGAAAAGGTCATTTAAAGGTAGGTATAGATTAAAGTAGATAAAAATAGATAGGGAAAAATAGGATGGCATACGATAGGGCTTCGTAAGAAAAGGTACAAAAGATTTAGGCTAGGGCAGATATTATAGGACAGGAAAAAAATATGAAATATTTAAGGGGTAAAGTATCTTTCACTTTATTCTGCGCCCCATAACGCCAGAAGATTGCTTAAGAAAGGGCGCAGAATTAAGTGAACGAACTAATAGAAGAAAAAATCAAAATGGAGGGGTATGTTTTAAGAGTGGTGTAGAAAGGAAAAGTGTGGCATTTTAAAATAGATTTGGGTAGGGCAGGGTAGAATATACAGTGCTCTCTCCATATAAGCAACCAGAAGGGACCGACATTTTGTGTTTACTATGGGGGTGTTGTGTTTACAAAGTGATTTTTTAGTGCAAATTGACTTGGCGGGGCCAAATTTTTTGTTTACTATAAGGAGAGTTGTTTATACAGATGGTTTACTGTATAGGGAGACCACTGTAATAGGTTATGCAACATTTATAAGTAGAGCAAAAAACATAGGGTGGGGTAAATTTAAAGAGTAGGGGTAGAAAGGAAATGAGGAGGTTTGAAACTAAGTTTACGGCAGGGTAGTTAGGAATGGATAGGTTAAGATATAGGATAGGACAAAAAGAATACGTGTCAGAGCCGAGTAGGGTTAAGGCTAGGGCTCTGGGCTAAAGCGCTGGGTTAGGGCTCTAGGCTAGGGTTCTGGGCTAGGGCTCTGGAATAAAGCTCTGGGCTAGGGTTCTGGACTAGGGCTCTGGGCTAAGGCTCTAGACTAGGGTTCTGGGTTAGGGCTCTGGGCTGGGGTTTTCTGTTAGGACTTTGGACTAGGGCTTTGGGCTAGGGCGCTAAGTTAAAAAGTTTATTTTCAAGGCTCTGTTGCATTTAAACTTCTAAAACTTGATTAAATTTTCATTAAATTTAACGTCACGATCTCCAAAAATCTGGTTTTTTTCTTAATTCTCTTCTAAACTCGAGCATAGCCATGACGTTGCGAACGCATTTGCATATTAAATTAAGTGTTCCAGTACTTAAGCAATCCAATTGTGATGCCAAGGAAGCGACTCGTCCTCTCCAATAAACTACAGTATCCGTTTTGTTGAAAATGGATTTAATGCCAACCCCATCCACCTCGACCTTGTTCTACGAACCTATCGTGCCTAGTATAATATCACCGCCAGGTTTGAGGAGGTTCGATGATCAGGATCTGTTGGCAGTGACAAGCTGCGCCCGAGCTGCGAGAAATAAGGTCAATATGGCAAGGGAGAGGTTGGACACACGAGATGCGGACGAGATATTGTTGAGTCGGCTACCTTTATATCAGAATAGGTATGGCTATAATTTGAAATTTCAAAAAATGAGGTAGGGTAGGGTAAGGTAGGGTAGGGTCTCTATTTTAATTTTTTGAACTAAAAAATGACTTTTCAGGATAGAGCACCCCTACAAACAAGGTGCAATATACTGTCGGTCAGGTGGGTGGATTGAGATTTTGGACGAGCGAGCTGATTTAAAGTCAAGGCCAGGGTCTTCTGGTAGTCAGCATGATTGGATACGGGGTACTAAACGGGAAACTAGCAGATTTGGTAAGTTTTTTTTATTTTTTTCAAATTTCATGCCGTATTTTACAAAAAATTTTTTGAAAAAATCAAAATTTAAAAAAAAATTTTAATTTTTTAAATTTCAGCAATATTGGAGTTCATTTCGATAGCCTTCGGCCTGATAAGCATACGAGGCCTAGAATCGCAGAACTTTCTTTGTATGGACTGGAAAGGTGCTCTCTACGCGACTTCAGCTTCCGAATACTCTTCAGAATGCGTTTTCACAGAAGAAATGTTGGAGAACTACTACAACTTGTACTCGTCTTGTGCGTATGGTACTCCGCGTCATCCTTGGTACTTGTCGATACGAAAGAGCGGAAAATCACGGCGAGGGAATCACGCTAGGAAACGGCAACGTTCTTCCCATTTCATCGTTGTTCACTTCGACGAAACTGGGATTCTGGATCCAGTACCAGGCCATTTGAACCGAGCAGTCTACAATATTCAGAACAACTGGTACACTAACTATGGTACCAAACGTTCTTCAAAACAGCACGTTTACGCTCCAGCAGCACTATTGAATTCGGAGAGACGAACACTGTCAGAGCTACTGAGTAATTCGTTAAGAAGCAACTCGCTGAGGCTTCAAAAGAACAATAGGCTACACAAGGACAAGAATAGACTTCAGAAGGCCAGGAACTCGACGATGCTGAAGGAGAATATTCAGAAGAAAGTATCTAAGAATCAGGAGACGATGAGTGAAGCAGAGAAGAGAGTGTTTAGACAAGAAAGGAAAAGAAGAAGAAGGCTACATCGTGAGGAAAGGCTGAGGCAATTGAGAAGGCAGAAGCTACAGAAAATGAGGAATGAAGCGGCCGAACTTCAAAGACAGAACAACGTTTAAATATATCTTATGGTTGGATTGGAACTGGCTTTGGCATGGCTAAAAATATCATTTTAAATTAAGAAAGAGCAAGAATCTCTAAGTACGGTTAGGGTACGACTTCCAATAGCATCGTAACGCACTTGAACGGTACAAAATTCTAAAAATAGAGAAGAACGTACTGTGAAAAGCTAAAAATAGTACAAAAATGATAGTATGATGACGTTTGAAACCAGAAGACATCAAAGAACTTATCAACGACTAAAACGACGTAAATTCCGCAATTCTACAAAAAAATGACAATTTACGACAAAACGAAGATTTTTTTGCAAAAAAATGCAATAAAAAATCACATTTGGAATTGGACTGTCAAATGCTAAATGGTGCTGCTATGACAATACGAACAACAAGACAATATAAATCCAAAACTATTGAAGGTTTAGTTACGGTCTTCTACGTTCATTTTTTGAGCTGTTTTTTTTAATTGTATGTCATACTTAAATTTCGTTGTCATCAGGGTCTAGAGAAGGGGAAACGGAGCACCCAAAAAAGTTTTTTTTTCAAAAATTTTGAACATTGTCTTGTAAAAAACGCTAAAAAATCAAGCCGGACCGGGCCTGAGCAAAATTTAGATTGAGCCGAATATAACACTCAGGCCCAGTTTGCTAAAAAAAGTTGTCCAGCCCGTTCTTCATGCTTATTTTCCAGTACAGGGTATAGCAATATGGAAATAAGTCTTTTTGATACAATGGTACATCTATAACGAAAAACTTTTAAACTATGACTATGTTACGCAGAACATTTAAAGCTTCTGTATAACATAACTACTTTATAACAAACAAGTTGTAAAACTTGCAAGAAATTCGGTGTACAATAGTTCTACTACAACCAGACTTGTGAAAGGCACAGCCTATAAAAGGCCTAACCCAAGCCCAATTTTTGGTCAGCTTACGGGCTCGCACAATCATACTGGGCCTGTTTTAAATTTAGTTTGCCTCGGTGCGGCCCGGGCGTAGTGGGTACCAAACTCTACTGTATAGGACTTTGACTGTCGTGCATTTTGTTATACAGGAGTTTTATTGTATGTCAAAAAAGTAAAAACTTTGGTGCTTTAAATTGTATTTATAATTTTATATTTTTATCTTTTTTATGTTATCCATTTTCATTGCATGTATTTTTATATATTATTAACTTTGTTCCGGTTCAATACGGGTATTTTGCTTTTAAGTTAGCCTCTGCAAAAATCGTATAACGAAAATTCTTAAAATTTTAAGAAAACTCTAGTTTATGAATTTTTGTGCTAATTTGAAAGTTTTAACAATCTTCTTTCCTTAAATAGTACAACGGATCTCTTGTCGGATATAATCGTATTTTATATTATAATATAGTCGTTACATTGCTTACGAGATTAATAAACTGCATATTATTGAAAATGAATGGTGACATTTAAAAACGGCAAAAACTTTCTTTGCAAGACGAGAAATGGCAAGAACTTTCTTTACAAAGCAAAAATTAGCAAAAACTTTCTTTACAAAACAAAAAATGGCAAGAACTTTCTTTAAAGACAAAAGACCAATCAAAACTTGTACATAACGCTACAAATACTACTATTTGTTGTTTACAACACTTTGTCGCATATATTTCGTAAATGTATTTTAGCGTGAACGACCGTTCTCTTACAGTAACCGTCGTAGTGCTTTACAATAACAACTACAATACCATATAATAATAAAATACAATACTACAAAATAATAAAGACTACGATTGTGAGAATTGTACGGTTTTATTAAAACTACGAATCGACCACAATATAATGCACTTTAACGTATCGATAGTAATATAATGTAATGACTGTACACTATATTATTATTAAAAGTGTCACACAGAGTAACAGTTGTTTTGATACAAAAAGGAACCTTTATTTTTATAAAATTATGTTAATTTTATCAATTTTTCATTTTTTAAACGTGATTTTTTTGAATTTCTGTAAAAAATTTTTAAGGCGCAGGCTGCGTGTGACAAGTTATACGATAGGCGGCTTCGAGAGTTAATTTTTGCGTCGTAAAAAAATTTCTTGCCATTATTTGTTTTGTAAAGAAAGTTTTTGCCATTTTTTCATCTGTAAAGAAAGTTCTTGCTATTTTTTATTTTGTAAAGAAAGTTTTTGCATTTTTTGTTCTGTAAACAAAGTTCTCGCCATTTTAGGTTTTGTAAAGAAAGTTCTTGCTATTTTATGTTTTGTCAAGAGATTTTTTGTCATTTTTTGTTTTGTAAAGAAAGTTCTTGCCATTTTTTTGTTTAGTAAAGAAAGTTAAAAAATTTTTTGAACTTTCAACTTTATGTTAAACTAAAACCAATTAATAACATAATACGCCAATTAAAAATTTACAGAGTGCATAGTAATTTCCTAGTGCTAGAATGTTTCACCTGTACAAGAACGTGAACCTGTTACACCTACGGTTTACATTGCACGGTTTTTTGGGTTTACTAATAATTTTAAAGTTTTTTTTTACAAATTGGCAGTAACTTTTGTATGAATTTTTGGTTTTTTGCCTGTGTACTCCGTGTAGTAGTAGGGATTTAGACGTTGCTCGTTACACAGTATTTTCTCTACAGAGGGGTTTGCTATACAAGGGTTATAAATACTTTATGTTATTATATAATGGACAAAACATTATTTCCCAGACAAAAACTAGAAATAACTTTCATTACAAAACCTAAAGTACAAGACCTTTTTTTTTAAACAAAAAATAGCAAAAACTTTCTTTACAAATTAAAAAAAAACGACAAATATTATCCATCGTATAACATGTTGCTCGCAGCTTGCATAACGCTTAATTTTGCTTGGATTCGTGGTATAATGGTACAAAGCTTTTAGCGAAAAACAACATAACAGACTAAGGCGTATTTTACACAAAAATTGCAGGACTTTCTTTACAAAACAAAAAATAACAAGAACTTTTTTTACAAACATGGCAAGAAACAGGGCCGGGGCGCGAGGGGGGGGGGACGGGGGTGTAACCCCCAAAAAAATTTTTTTTGAAAAAAATTTAACGTGGTCCCCCCTGTGGATTTTCGGAAAAAAAATTCGCAAAAAATCGGCACAGTTATCTGTGCCGACTTTTGGGACCCCCACCCCCAGACCAAAAGTCCCCGCCCGGCCCTGGCAAGAAATTTCTTTACGATGTAAAAAATGTTAAGAATTTTATTTCTGGAACGAAACATGACACTAGCTTTCTTTACAGGCAAAAAATGGCATAAACTTTCTTTACAATATCTAAACTTTCTAAAAAAACTTATATTGACAACCCATCAAATCACATTTGTAATCACGTAAATCTTCTCCAAATGTAACACCATTAAGTTGCATTTCCAAAGAACACCAACACTATAAAGCTTGATTTATGTACGTATCCGTTTGGACTCCGGAACCCCCAAAAAGAACACGATATCCGCCGAAGGGCAACTGGCTTCTATTCAAAAATAAAAGTGCGTTCTGATAGCACTAATAGTCGCATATTGTCTCTTTTTGATAACTAAAGATTGTTTTTACCATTTTTTGTTTTGTAAAGAAAGTTCTTGCAATTTTTGTGTAAAAAATTAAAGATCAAGCGGTGTGCAAGCTGCGAACGACAAGTTATACGATGAATAAATTTATATCGCGTTTTAGATTAATAAAGGAAGCTTGGGCCATTTTTGATGTTGTAAAGAAAGTTTTCGCAATCTTTATGGTTTATGCATTTCTGCAGCTTGCGAGTGACTAGTTATACAACAAGTCATCAATTTACGTATTGTAAAGAAAGTTTTAGCAATTTGTTGGTCTGTAAACAAAGTTAATGTCATTATTATGCAAAATAAGTAATATTTTGAGTTCTGCAAGCTGCGGGGGCTAGTTATACGATAAATGACATTTTTAACTGTGTAAAGAAAGTTTTTGCCATTTTTGATTTTGTAAAGAAAGTTCTTGCTATTTTTAAGTTTGTAAGGTAAACTTTGGTTTTTTTGTAAAATACAAAATAAAATATGACTACTTCATTAATATCCAAATTTCAAACCATACATCCTGAAAACCCTTCCAGTTTAAAGGCTTATCAGCCAGTAAACAAGAATCTTAAGATCTTCCAAGTTTGTAAACAAAGTTGTTGCTAATTTTGTAAGTCTGCTTCACATTTGAATAACATTCTCGAAATTGTTGCCGGAAGCTGTTTTGTAAGCATTTCAAGTGTTTAGCGACATTTTCAATTACCGTAGGAGCTATTTTATTGGTTTTGTCACTGGACTAGTTGGTCTGCAAATTTGGTTGATTTTTATTTTGTAAAGTAAGTTCTTGCCATTTTTTGTTTTGTAAAGAAAGTTCTTGCTAATCTTTGTACTGTAAAGAAAGATTTTGCAATTTTTGGTTTGTTAAGAAAGTTCTTGTCATTTTTTGATCTGTAAAAACAGTTCTTGACATTTTTGTGTTTTGCAGACTGCCGGTGACAATTTATACGATGACCGATATTTTTTTAAATTTATGATTTTGTAAAGAAAGTTCTTGCTATTTTTTTTATCTGTAAACAAAGTTCTTGCTATTTTTTGATCTGTAAATAAAGTTCTTGCTATTTTTTGATCTGTAAATAAATTTCTTGCCATTTTTTTCTTTTGTAAATAAAGATTTTGGTATTTTATGTTTTTTAAAGAAAGTTCTTGCGATTGTAAACAAAGTTTTTGCCATTTTTTGTGTTTTAAAGAAAGTTCTTGCCATTTTCTAATCTGTAAAGAAAGTTCTTGCCATTTGTTATTTGTAAACAAAGTTAAGGGTTTTGCAGGCTGTGAATGACAAGTAATAAAATATTTTATGTCGTTTTTCCTTCTGTAAATAAAGTTCTTGCCATTATGTCATTTTACGTTCTCCACAGGCTCGTCAATTGTTTTTACTACTCTTACAATTTACCAGAACGTAGAACTTCCTCTTCCCTCAATATCCGCCCCTCGTAACCATTCGCTTGTTTATCTCTGCTCCTTAATGTCGTTTGAGAGTGCAAAAGCTACATTAGACAATCGAAAACTTCATCTTTGAACGGTCTGGAGTTTGAGGATGTTGCACTATGTAGTTCTTTCTTTGTTAATTCAAAAAAAGTTCAAAATTTTAGGAAATTAGGGCTATTTGTTAAGGCTTAACTATTTTTAAATTAAAAAAACAGTAGAAATACAGTAAAACTTGCCTAAGGGCATTTGCAATCTAGAGTAGGGTTTGGTATATAGAAATAGAGAAGGCAGCAATGGGTGTAGAAGATATAAAGGGTAGGGCGGACAAGAAGATCTATCAAAAAGGGAAGGAGGGGGGTGGATTTTAAGGGAAGAGTCAAAAAAAGAAGAAAGGTTATAAAAGGAGAGGTCTTGATTAGGGCTAGGGCTAGGGCTAGGGCTAGGGCTAGGGCTAGGGCTAGGGCTAGGGCTAGGGCTAGGGCTAGGGCTAGGGCTAGGGCTAGGGCTAGGGCTAGGACTAGGGCTAGGGCTAGGGCTAGGGCTGGATTTTGTAACTTATCGTTCTATTTGCTTCTAGCTATGTTGGGTATAAAAAGCATGAATCTATGTTGTGTCATTCTTTAGTGCAAACTTTCTGTCTTTTCTATCCCTCTTGCTTCCTGACATGTATTATCAGATTATTCTATAGTACCTTTTCCAAATTAATTACATTGTCTTGCAAAATCGGCTTAAAATTTTCAAATATTTAAAAATTTGCATGACATTTAATAGGTCAGAGTGAACGTACTTTGTAATATAAGTGCACTATCAATTTTGCAAATTTGTAGTTTCAAAAAATTAATTTTGAATGCTCTAGCTTAGAGCTCTAGCCCACGCTTTAGTCAAGCACGGCGTCATTATTAAAATTTTTTCTCCAAAAATAGGCAAAAACTTAGTTTCCAAGTTATAAATTGAATTGGCTCGGATTCAAAAAAGGATTTTGTTTTTGAAATCGAACTTGTTTTAGCCAAATTGCCTTTTTATTTTGTTTTTATCATCTACGTACGATACTGGCACTAGACTTTTTAAGCTTGGATTAAGTTCATTTAGTCTATTTGCTTCTATGATAAGATACAGAGTAGTAGATTTTTAAGTGGTAGGGTAGGACAAAGTAAAGTATGGTAGCGTATAATAAGTTTTAAGGTTAGGAGGGGAGGGGTTGATTTTTCGTTTTAGGTGTAGCAATAAAGAGCTTGAATTTCACTGTAGTGTCATCATAGCAAGACTCGGAAGACATAGCAATAGGAAAGGATAGGATAGGATAGGATAGGGTAGGGTAGGGTAGAGTAGGGTAGGGTAGAGTAGGGTAGGGTAGGGTAGGGTAGGGTAGGGTAGGGTAGGGTAGGGTAGGGTAGGGTAGGGCAGCTTTTTAAAAAATTTTGTTTTGGTATTGCATTGAAAATGTCATATTTTCCCCGCTTTACAGCTTTATATCACTGTAAATTTTAAACCCTTGTTTATGAACCCAAATGCTACTGTAATATTCTGTCGCTGTTTGTTTTAAACCCTCAAAAGCCATTAAATTTGAAAATTTCTAAAAAATATCTCTTTAAAACTCTCAAAATTCCAAATTTTTTCGACATTTTAATTAATTTTTCGGCCCGAACAAAGCGATATTTTGTCGCGATTCGTGACGCCGGCCATTGTTAACTCCCTAATAAGGCCCAAATTACGCGACACGAAGCCACGCCTACTTTTTGAGAATGCCGAAACGGCCCAAAAAACATTTTTTTCAGTTTTCGGCCAGCGACAAAACCATGCCAGCTAATGGCACCAGCAGCGACGAGTGCCCCTACTACACCTGCTATCTGGTACCCTTTTCGGAGGTAGGCGGATTTTTTGCTTTTGGGGGTGGTTTTTAATTTTTTGGATTTTGGGGGTGTTTTTTTTATTTTCTGAGTTTTAGGGGTGTTTTTTAGGGGGTTTTTGTATTATTTTTAAATTTTAGGGATGTTTTTTAATTTTTTGTTTTAGGGGGTGATTTTTATTTTTTTAAATTTGTTGGAGGAAGGGGGTCTAAATTTTTTATTTTGCAGCGTTTCAAAAAAATTTAGTCTTTTTTAAATAAATTTAAAATTTTTTTAAAATTTTTGTTGCTTTTGCACTTTAAAAATGCCTATTTTCATATTTTTATCTCACTGCACCGTGCAGTTTTAAACACTCAATTTCTCTTTGCACCGTGCAATCAACCTTATCTTTCCTTACTTTTCTTTTCTCATTGCACTGTGCAGTTCCATAAACCTGCTTTATTTCACTGCACCGTGCAAACACACCTTCATTCCTTCTGCACAGTGCACAAGATTTTCTTTTTTTGTTTAACGCACTGTGCAGTTGACTTGTCGCAATCATTTATGCTCTGCACAGTGCAGGAGAAAAAGTTTTTGTCGCGTAGCTTCTTTCTTTTGTGGTTTTCTTCCTTTGTCGCCAATTTGAAGCGAGAAATGAGAAAAAGTTGCGACAAGATTAGTGGAATGGCGACAAGTTTGATGCTTGTGGCAGGTTTTAGGCTTGCGACAAAGTTTAAGGCTTTCAACAGGGAAACAGGCGCGACAAATTGAGTGCTTGCGACAAATTTAAGGCATGCGACAAAGAAACAGTGTCTTTATTGTCGCAATTCATTGCATAGTGCACTTCATTTGCTTCTGTTGCTTTGCACCGTGCAGCCACCTTTTGTTTGTCATGCGCAGTGCAAGGAGTCTCTGCACGGTGCAATATGTTTTTTTTCTTTTGCACGGTGCAATTATTTTAATATTCTTTGCACCGTGCAAAATCATTTTCAAACTTCTTGCACGGTGCAATAAGTTTTTTCTAATGGTTTGCACTGTGCAATATGTATGCTTTTCTAACCTTTTGCACAATGCAATCTCAATTTTGTTTGTTATTGCACTGTGCCGAAAGCTTTAAATCCGTTTTGTTTTAAAGACAATGACATTTTGGGGAATTTTTGTTGTTTACTCTATAAAAAAGTGACATTTTTTGTGAATTGATACTATTATCTTGTAGTTGTTGCTTTATGTTCTAGAGTTATTGAGGCATAAGTTGTTTAGTTGTATTCGAAATGGCAGAAAGTTTAAAAATAGAGTTAAAAATTTTTTAAAGTGGGCTTTCTTAGGGTTTTTGCAGTATTTTTGAGAGTTTTTAGTACTTAGAAGGTACTGCAACTTACGTTTTTTAGGGTAGGGTAAAGTAGAGCAAAATTTTCAAAAAATTTTACAGTAACACTTCTTTTTTAACTTTTTCCCAAAAAACCTTCATATTACTGTATTTTTGATCAAAAAGTCGCTCAACCAATACTGTTTAGTACGAAAAGTACAAACTCGTGCTCAAAGACCATTATCCGAATAACAAAACTGTGGGAACGTTGGATGATATTGTGGTATGAGCACATCCAAAGATTAAATGTCCTTTTGGCGACAGACTTTGTTGTTTGAAACCTTGTTTTCGAACATGTTATACGTAAAAATGGCATCGACAAAAAACTTTTAAAAACGTGCTTTTTACGGGTAATAACGGCGGGAAGGTTACTGTAAAAGGATTTGAGGTACTGTAAAAATTTTTTTTAAAAGAAAAGTTAAGAGGAAGGTCAGCAAATGGCAGTAGAAATTATTTTTAGTTAAAAAACTTTTAAAAAACAAGCCAAAAATGAGTAAAAATGCTGTGTCGTCCAAGCGGATTCGAACTTTTTTTTGATTTTCGACTTTTTTAAATGGACGTATCTTTCCTAAAAGGTCATACATTGAGATGAAACTTTGCAAATAGATACAAATTTGTATTTTTTATATTGGCTTTTCTTATTTTTTTAATTTTTTTAAATTTTTTTTATTGCACGGTGCAATGACCTAGATTAGCATTCTTCTTACTGTAACGTAAAAACTAGGTTTTTCCTAAACCAAAAATGTCTTTCACATTACAATACTATCATTTATCAACACAACAAGCACCAAAACCAAGTGCAACGTCAAAAAGTTCCCAAGAAAACGCCATCCCCCCCCCCTTTTTTGGTCAAAAGTTAAACTATACAGTGCATGGATTAGTCAAAAATAGTTTTTTAACCAACTATATGTATCAACTAATGCCAATTATACTATAAAGGAACTATATTTTTGCGGTAACGATTATTCAATAACCTGTAAAAGGGCTTAAACTTGATTTACGTCAGCTTTTGTCTACTATAATATAGAAAAAGTTGCTTTAAATCACGTTTTTGGGGGGTTAATGGGCTTTTTCTGAAATTGTAGGACTTTCTTGACCTGTGGCGTATTTTACAATTTAAAATTTTGTCAAAATTTTTTTGAAATTTCAAAAATTATGGCTAAATTTAAGAATACATGGCCACTCAATGCTATTTTGTGTCATATCTATCTCTTTCCTGTCATTTCTATCATTTTTTCTACATATTAAGTTGTTCAAAAAAGTCTGCGCCACCAAACCCAGCAAATTTGCTTTGAGAGTAGCTCAGAATTTTTTGACCAATTTCATAAAAACGGTCCTGATGGTTCAGATGTATATGTTATTACTCTATTTTCATGTCTGAAAATTTTTGAGCCATAAACAAGCTCAAAACTCAAACAAAAACGTAGTAAATAAGTGATGAATAGGCATGGCTAATTATTTATAGGCGTACGATAAGATACACATACTTCTCTCTACTACAATATGCGTTTTCGGCTCCATTTCGAACATTGTCAACATACTGGTATTGACGCGGTAGGTTGGCTATGTTTAGATTTATTAAAATACGTTACAGTTATTAATGGCATAATGCAATACAAGATGAATAAATGACAAGAACTTTGTTTACATGGGAAAAAGAAGAATTTTCGTATAACTTGTCACCCGCAGGCTGCGGGAATTAACTTTTAAGAAAAATTAGTTGAAAATGAGACGCAAATATAAAACGGCAAGAACTTTCTTTACAAAACAAAAAATGGCTAGAACTTTCCTTACAAAACAGAAAATGGCAAGAACTTTCTTTACAAAACAGAAAATTGCAAAAACTTTGTTTACAAATCTTACAATGGCAAAAACTTCCTTTACAAATCAAAAAATGACAAGAAATTTTTTTTAAAATTTAAAAAATGGCAAGAAATTTTTTTAAAAAGCTTAAAATTGCAATAACTTTCTTTACATCTCAAAACAATGTTTTAATGTGCCATTTTAGACATTACTTCCAAAAAAGTGCACATAGTCTTTCGTTATTACTCAAAACTTTCGTGACAATGTATTTTTGTCAACCTTATATTTTGAAATGCAAGAACTTTCTTTACAATTTATTTCAAAATTTTACTTTAAAATTAAAAAAGTTTTAAAAATTGCTTTAAACTTCAAAAAACATGTTTTTCGTGCATAATATATCACCAATTAAAGATCTTGAAACAATGACAACATTGTTTATAAAATATTAATTAACATTGTTTCTTAAACCTTATCGAAAGTGTAAAAAAGTAGGTTTGTAATCCATGCTTTACAAGATTAATTGATTACATTTTGAGGAAGTTATAATGCTTTTTTGTAGCCTTGAGGGTGGTCGTTGGTCTGTAAAGAAAGTTCTTGCTATTTTTTGATGTTTAAGAAAGTTTTTGCCACTTTATGTTTTGTAAAGGAATTTCTTGCCATTTTTGACCTTTTTAAGAATTTTTCAAGCCCGTTTTCCTTCTGTAAACTAACTTTTTTCTAGCAAAAACATGCGCACTCCTATCAACATCTTCCTTACCGGCTTATCAATGGCGCAGTTCTTGCTGGGCACCAACTACTTGGCCCTGATGGTATTCGAATACTTTCGCTCGCGGTGGTAAGAATTACTGGATTATCTTTTTTCATATTGTTGTTAAGTCGGAGAGGGGGGGGTAGATTATGATTTAACAAAAAGTAATCCGCTTTATTGAGAAATTATTTTCGACACAAAAGGCATTGAGAGATGAGATAAAAGCCAAACGTTTTAAAAGGAAAATTAAGTGGAAACAAAGTTTTTACTATTTGAAAATGAAAAATGGCAAAATGAATAAAAATTCTTATCATAATAAGTCAAAACAGCCACTAAAATGCTGTTTTTAAATAATTTTTTACCATTTTTTTCTCAAAATTTCACTAAATTTATCAAAAATCGCTTTGTAAACTAAGTTTTTGCTAAACAATTTAAAAAAACTTTTTACTCGATTTACAAACAGTACTATTCTTTTTCATTTTTACACAACTTTTCAACTTTAAACGTTGTCATTTGTCCGATCTGGCCAGTTAAGCAACGCTGCTCTTGATTATTTTTCCACGAGGGTTCGAATCCGGTCAGTGCGGATAGAAGAAATGGCTCTGTAAACAATGTTTTTGCTAAAAAGTTTTAAAAAAATTTTTACTCAAATTACAAACAGTACTATTCTTTTTTATTTTTACCTTACTTTTCAATGTTAAACTTTGTCATTTGGGCAAGTTAAGCAACGGTGCCCTTGATTATATTTCCACGAGGGTTCGAATCCGGTCAGCAACAAAGTGCGTTTTTAGCATTTTTTGGAATCTAAAAATGTTTTTTTCAATGTTTTATGATAAGACAGGTGTACTAGGGTTAATAAAAATTCTCAGAATTACGTTTTGTAAAATACGAGGATAATTCGGTGTCTCATAAAATGTTTTTAGTTACGTGTTCTCATGGTCATACATGGCAACTTCATATCGACTTATCAATGTCAATTTTAACGTGGTTTTTCATACTGGTAAGTTGAGTTTGTTTATTGAAAAAGTTTGTTTTTTGATTTTGTAAACAAAGTTTGAGATTTTGTGTTTTGTAAAGAAAGTTCTTGCCATTTATTGTTTTGTAAAGGAAATTCTTGCCAATTTTTGAACTGTAACGGAAGTTTTTGCCATTTTCTAGTTTGTAAAGAAAGTTTTTGCAATTTTTCAAAAATTTAAATTTTTTTTAATAGCGTTTTTAATTTCTTATATAATCTGTAGATAACAACCCAGACAACTTTTGTTTACCTGTCTGAAAAGAATTGTAAAGAAATGTACCTTTTACGTTATACTTACAGTACGGTAAATAACAAGTGTAAACAAAGCATTTGTTTACACTCTTTACATCTTGTAGTACACTATGAAAGAAAGAGCACTTAGTTAAGATTTTAACATATCACGCATTTGATAATGACATTACAATAGACTTTACAACGTAGAAGGGTTTAACGTACATGTTGTAGTAGTTTTTAAAAAAGAAATGGCAAGAACTTTCTTTACATAACACAAAATAGCAATAACTTTTTTTACAAAGCATAAAATCCCCAAAAACATTTATTCATCGTATAACTTGTCACCTGCAGGCTGCAAACCTAAATTTCGTTCGAAAAATTGTAAAAACAAGAACTTTCTTTACAAAAAGTGCATTTTAAAACAAAATTTTAAATATTAAAACCCACTAAAAAATATGTTTTCAGTAGCCTTCGCCCACACCCTAGCAGTAGCCCTCTTCCGACTACTAGCCTTAAAATGGCCTCTACGTGCCAACCGGTTTCTCTTCTGTAACACTTGGGCTCTATCATCATCGTTGGGTATTTGGATAGTTGTGCCATTCCTATGCATACCAGTCTTCTTGACCTCTCATGTAGCACCAGCCAGTAACAGAGGATGTAACTTTAATGGAATGTACGACCTCACATATTCTGAAGACTCATTTATGGTTTCGGCCGTTTTCTGGATGTTTGGGATCGTGCTGAAACTGATTCCATCACTAATTTTGGCATTTTTATTGGCGGCTTTAATACGGTAAGGTTTTTATGAACTGTAAAGAAAGTTTTTGTAGTTTTTTTAATTTGTAAGGAAAGTTCTTGCTTTTTTTGTCTTGTAAAGAAAGTTATTGACATTTTTTGTGTTGTAAACAAAGTTTTTGCAATTTTTCTTCTATTTTATGCCAAGGTTTGACATTTTTCTTATAAAATTGGGTGTTGCAGTCTGCGGGTGACAAATTATACGATGAATCAACATTTTTTAATTTTGTAGTTTTGTAAAGAAAGTTCTTGCCATTTTAAGCTTTTTAAAGAAAGTTCTTGCTATTTCTTGTTCTGTAAAGAAAGTTCTTGCTATTTCATGATCTCTAAAGAAAGTTATTGCCAATACTTGTCTTGTAAACAAAGTTCTCATCATTTTTTGAAATTCGTAGATTTTGTGCCATTTTTAGTTTGCCTCTTATTAAAAACCGTAACAATGAAATAATAAAAAGTATTTTTAGCTCATTAGAGACAATGGAACATCGCCGCCAAGACACTTTACACCGCAAAATCTCGGTGTTACGGCGTTGTAACAATCGGCCGAAGACAACTCACACATTGCTTGCCATTCTCATCCTATGCTTTGTTGTAAGTTTTGATTGTTCTGCGGATTAGCCACAGTAATTTTAAAGCTTTTTGTTTTTTGGAATTGTTTTGATATTATGGTAGACATAACAGTAGGAGTATTACTGTTAGACATATATCAGTAGGATCATCATTAAACAATGGCGTGTTTTACTAAGTTATTAAAATAATTATGAGTTTACTTACCTCGAAATTTTGATATAAGAAAGGGCACAGAATTATTTGAACAACTTAATACCTGCGACTTGCGGGTGACATTTTATACGATTAGCCAGAGCTTTTGGTATTTTTAATTTTATGTCATTTTTAACTTTGTAAAGAAAATTATTGCCATTTTTTGTTTTGTAAAGAAATGGTCTGTAAAGAAGTTTTTCCCATTTTTTTGTAAACAAAGTTCTTGCAATTTTTCGTTTTGTAAAGAAAGTTTTTGCCATTTCCCAGACTACAATTTAGTTTTTTTGCAATTTTTAAAATTACGGTAATAGCCACTTTAGAGTCCACTTGGACCCAAAATCGTTTAATTGACTTAACAATAGTAGACTACTGGTACCAAATCACAGTAAATGCCAAATTAAATAATAGCAGTAATTTACAAGATTTGCGTCTATAATAGGAGCATTACTCGTGTAGTGAAATACTACAAATTTCAATTACTCTTTATCACAAACCACAGTAAGCGATTAGAGTTGTATTAACAGATTATCGTAATACAATTAGTTTTCTTCAAAATTTTTTTAACTTTTGAGTATTTGAATTGAGCACGTATTACAATTGCCTTGCCTTGCCTTGCCTTGCCTTGCCTTGCCTTGCCTTGCCTTGCCTTGCCTTGCCTTGCCTTGTCTTGCCTTGCCTTGCCTTGCCTTGCCTTGGCTTGGATTGGCTTGGCTTGGCTTGGCTTGTTTTACCTTGCTTTGCTCCTTCCTCATCCTACCCTACCTTACTCTATCCTACCTTAAGCTCTTTTATTGTACCCTGGCTATCCTATCCTTACCCTACCCTTAAATATCTTTTTTCTGTTCAACCCTTAAATCTACCCTACTATACCCTACTTTACCCTAGCTTTAACCATAAAGTTTTCCTCCTAGCCCGTGCCTTGTTACAACTACTGCATAGTTGTACTGTAAACATGACTAATTAACACCGTTTGCAATGTTATCTTGTTGACAAATAAAAATGATTGTGCCAAATTACTATAGTTGTTATGTTGTGACAATCTTTTCAAAACACTTCTGCTCAATGACATTGCTTTTTGTACCCAATTACATTGTAATAATTATCTAAATACCGGAAATTGACACGACATACCATAGTAATGGCACGCTTTTGAATTGTGACCTCAACCCGGAAGCACCGCAGTAATTGTTTTACTGTACTCGGTAGAAGGAAGTCTTACTGGGTTCATTAGATGCGATTTATACAAAAACAATAGAGATTGTGACAAGATGTGACATACCTTGTTTTGAAATGTCAGAAAAAAAACAAAAAGTAATCAAAAGATTGGAAATTGCAATGACTTTGTTTACAAAACAACAGATGACCTAAAACTTTCTTGCATTTTAAAAACATATTTTATCGTATAACTTGTCATGCAAAACTTAATTTTATAAAAAAACAGTTGAAATATGGTTTGAAACTTAAAAAATGGCAAGAACTTTCTTTACAAGAGAAGAAATGGCAAGAACTTCCATTACAAAACAAAAAATGGAAAGAACTTTCTTTACAGCCTTAAAAACGACTTTATTTTTTAAACCATTACTTTACCCTACCCCATCCTATAATTTACTAATCTTTTTCCATTTCAGGTAGAATTCCCTCACGGCATCCTAAACCTATTCACTGCCATTTACGGTGACAAGTTCGGTATCAACATCTACGATCAACTCGGCTCATTCATGGAGATGTTGACCCTACTGTACTCGTCGATCAGCTTCATACTGTACTGTGTCACTTCGAACGACTTCCTGCGAACTTTTCGAAATATTTTTTTGAAAAAGAAAAAGCGAATCGACGAGAGTTCGATGAAACGAAACTCGAGGTCAGTGAGCAATAACAACACCCGGCCCATCGAGAGTATGACTCTTATCGCGCCGAAAGGCCCATACCCTACTATTGTACTGTCCAGATCCATGTGAACATACCTCAATTTCCTTTTGACAATAAAGTTTTTGAATATTGTATTTGGTTTGTATGTTTTTAAGGGGCACAGGGTTATTTGAACAATCTAGTATAATATAAAGACCTATAAATTAAAAAAAAGTATGAAAAATGAGAAATTTTTAAACATATTTTTAATTGAAAACAAAGTTTTGCCTTTTATATTTGAAAAGATGTAAAAAAATAGTTGTTCTTCAACCTGCAGGTGACAAGTTATACGATAATTCAAGCTTTCTGATATTCTTTATTTTTATACCATTTTTTGTTTTGTAAAGAAAGTTCTTGCCATTTCTTGTCTTGTAAAGAACGTTTTTGCTATTTTTTGTTTTGTAAACAAAGTCCTTGCCATTTCTTGTTTTGTAAAGAAAGTTCTTGTCATTTTTTGCTTTGCAAAGAAAGTTCTTGCAATTTAAATAGTAAATAAGATTTTTTGCTTTTTAGGCATCATAGTAAACTTTACTGTTTTACCACAGTAACTTTGTCCAGTAACCTTTGCAAACAACAGTATTATGACAATCTATTCTTGAAAATGGGGTATTGAAGACAAGTGGAAAGTAAATCCTTACGGCTTTCCAAAAATAATTCTTTTGTCTGCACATATAAATGTATGTATGTTTATATCATGGTGTTGTGAATTTCGACTTCAGTTCAAAGTGAATGCGGTAAATGGCGGGGGACAAAACCATAGAACAATCGGTATGTTAGGTATGTATGTAAGTTGGTGTGCTTACGTTTATAAGTATAAAAATTTTTTATACGCAAAAACTTTCTTTACAAAACAAGAAATGGCAAGAACTTTCTTTACAAAACGAAAAATGACAAAAACTTTCTTTACAAGACAAGAAATAGCAAGAACTTTCTTTACAGCTCAACAAACATCACCTTTTTTCCATCCCCATTTTCTATAATGGTATTACAAAACTACCCGATGACAGTAATACTCTTACACAAAGCATCTTAACTCTGCCAAAATTAGAGAAACATCTCAGAGGATTGCACTCTGGTGTACTAAACTGTAAGTTGTAGATAAGTGCGTAATGTTACTACGTTATTAAGTTGTTCTTTTAGATTTAAGTGATTTACATTTAATAATGTCATATTTGAGCTTTATAGTTCGAAAAATTTCAAACTTTAGCTTATATTATAAAAAATTGCATGAACTTTCTTTACAGTATAGAAAATGGCAAAAATTTTTTTACAAAATAGAAAATAACAAAAACTTTCTTTACAAATCAAAAAAGGGCAAAGACTTTCTTTACAAAACAAAAAATTGCAAGAACTTTCATTAAGATTAAAAAAATGGCAAGAACTTTCTTTACAATATGCTTTTATAGATTGTTATCATCATGATTCGCAGACAAAATGATCTACAACATACTTAATCTATACGGATATAAAGCTCATTAACAAACGTATGCGATCATGCATAAGCTATTGGTATGTAAAAGATTAATTGCTTTGTCAATAGTTAATTAGTTTCATCTTTAACATGCACTATATAACCCTATTATTGTTATGTCTTTTCGTTAAAACAAATCGTTAAAGACGTAGGATTGGAGATTAGATTATGGATACAATATGTACTATAATATTATATAAGTACTATGAAACTATAACATAGTACACGTACTATAGTATTATACATATATCTTGAAACAAGCTAAGTTACTTTGGGTAATATAGTGTAATATTATACGCATAAAGAGCATCCTGTCACGTTCAAAAATGGCAGCAACTTGCTGTCCAATTTGAAAAACGGCAAGAACACCTTACAAGACAAAAAATTACAATAACTTTCTTTGAAACACACAAAATGGCAAAAACTTTCTCTAAAAGCCAAAAAACGGCAAAAACGTTTCCTTAACAAAATACAAATAAATGTAAAATTACCATAAATTTCTATGCTTTCAAGTTCTAGCAACTTACTATAACATCATTTTATTCTAAATAGCTAATCTAATCTGTTTTTAATTAACAGTGAAACAAACACAACATTACACGGTATTTCGAGGATAATTTCTTTATTAGTGCATCTGCCGCTGTACTGTAACTGTAAACAACAAGCAGGACATGACCTTGTCTTACTGGAACTACAAATTGTAGCTTATGATAGAAAAACTCTTGTCGCTTTTTAACACCGTTTTGAACGTTAAAAAACGACAAGACTTTCTTCAGGTCTTTATATGTTGTTATACTGTAAATAAAATTAAGGTACTTTATCATACTGTAATCATAAACACTGTTGTTCATCATACTACGACTACAAGTGTCATACAGTAACCTAACTCATTATATGTTATCATACAATCACCTCAATCACAATACCTGATCATACAGTATCTTCTAATACAATATCTCATCATACAGTAACCTCAATCACAATACCTCATCATACAGTAACCTCAAACCCAATACATCATCATGCAGTAACAGTCAACAACAAACATGTCCAAACCAATTACCATTTAACAGCTATTCGTATATTACAAACAATTTTAAGGAGATTAGTAGTGTTTGGACTGAACGTGACATTATTCATCTCTAGTCATAAACATACGGGTTTGACGTATACAATATCAGGATTTTACTGCAGCTGCAAAGTTTTAATCCAAAAACAGTTTTTGAGGGCATATGACGTTGTATGTCATCGTTTTTGTGTGATAACAAGGTAGATATTACTGTAAAATGCTTTTTTAGGATATTATACTTGCATATATAATAGTTATTTCTCGTTATAAGCTACATTAAGACATAGGTATTATAAATATAGCTCTTGTTAATATAGGTATCATGTTTAGAATCAAAAGAAGACTCGCTAGGTCTGGTCCTGACATGGCACGGCCTCAAGCCGCCCCAATGCAAAGCAATTTGAAAACAGCCGAGCCAGCACATGTAGACCCGAGAACCAAAATCCAAACCAAAGCTTCATTTACCTTTAAAGAAACTAGACTGATTCCCGTATAGTAAGCATTGAAGTAAAATGCCATAGGCATTAGAAGAAGAAGATAAAAACTGTTAATTATGGCCACGTTTTATCAATTATAATATGTAGTATTAGTGAAGTAAAGTCGAAAGTATAATTACACAAAGACGACGTATTATCCGCATTATTAGATAAAACATCCTCCCACCACAAAATAAAGCACGGATGTTATAGTTAGTTTAATATTATAACATCAAAGAATGCACAACCTCAAAAAAGACAATTCTGAAGAATGTTATACACCTTTATTTTATTAGAATATAATTATAAATCCTTAAAAATTAAAAAATTGTTACAACTGACCGTATTGACTATAAAATATGAACTGGTTTTTATAATAACACAGTAAAACCTCTTTAGTATGATCCTCTAGAGTATGACACTGTCTCTATAATGACAGCTCTCTGACCGCCCTTTGTAACAGAACTTCTATCAAAAAGTATCGGGTTAGTGTGACACCTTGGTTATAATGAAACTTTGGTACAGTCTATTTAGTGTCATACTCTGCAGTGTCGTACTGAAGAGGTTTGACTGTATGTAGAACATTTATATACACTGTTACACGTTTTACGTTGTATTAGGTTAAAAGACGGTTGTTGCAAAAATAATGGCGCTTTCAAACAAAAACTCATTCTTATACTTACTTTACATTATACTTAAGTCAGGTTGGCCAATTATGAGTGGGCCCAGAATATCAAAGTTACATTTGAAAGGCTCATCAATATTTGGACAACCTAATATTAATACATGCACTATCTTGAACAAGATAACTCACATAAACATACAAATTTAAAAAAGTGCCATTACTTTCGCATCAACCACGTTTTATCTTGGGTATTTGCGGGTTTAAAAATTATTTTAAATTGTATTAGTATAATATTATATTAAGTTGTTCAAATAATGATGTGCCTCCTCTCAAAGCATATTTTCAAAGTTAGCAGGACTAAATTCTCTGAACAATATAGTATAATAATATAGATAAATATTATTATCGTAATCAAGCGTTTTCGTTCGATTCCATCTGATCAACGATTGGAATGTTATCAACGGATTCGGAGGAGTCGTTGAAGATCTGGGTTAACTCCTACAACAAAATTTTAGTTTTAAAACTTAAAAAATAAACATTGGTACTAAAATATTAATTTTCATTGCAAAAGCTAATACTGTACTCGCGACAGTAACAACTTTTGATCCATATATGCCATAAAACATCTTGGTACAACAATCACAACCTACTACATCATCTTTTTACCATATAACTTTAAATCATTAAAAAGTAGTTCAAGTATAATATCATCAAGATACAGATATATATTGTGCATCTTAGTTATTACTATATCATTTGAGTCTTATAAATCAAAAACTTGAAAAAAACGTATTTTACATAACTCACCTCTCGGTTTCTGTACAAACAAAAGTGTTGAACAAAGAAGATAATGTCAAAGACCATGGATACCATTCCAAGCAAGAATTTCACAACATTACCAGTAAATGGTGTCCAATCATCTGTAAATCTCGATATTAAAACCATGAAAATTGAAAATTTGTTATAATAAAGTGTCCAAAAGATTCTTTGCCCCTAAACCCAAAAAAAATTCTTTGAAAACACAGATAAGCGACCTAATAGTACTAAATAGTACCAAAAACATTTAAAGTTATGAATATCGTACGCTTTGTAAAGAAAGTTCTTGTCATTTTATGTGTTGTAAAGAAAGTTATTGCCATTTTTTAATCTTCGCTAAACAAAAAGATCATTTCTTACCAGTATTCCAAGAAACAATGACCATCTGTAAGATCGAGAAGCTGCCTCCAGTGAAGTCCAACATCAGGTTCTCAATCGACCAGCCAATAGTCGATTGTCGTTTGAAGTTGTAGACGGCTTGTGGAATGTACTTGTAACAAGTCACTGCCATTTTTATATACGACAGCAATGTAATTGTCTTTAGGGCATTAAAAATGCCAAATATAAGACAAGAGAGGCCGATCAGACCAACTCCAACTAGAGCTGTAGTTAAACCGATACCAAGACGAGATATTCTTTGTTGTCCACGCTGAAAATTTTTGTTTTTAAATTAAAATTCTTTCTGACTTTCGCGTTGTAAAGAAAGTTATTGCCTTTTTTTGTTTTGTAAAGAAAGTTATTGTCATTTTTTGCTTTAAAGACAAAGTTCTTGTAGTTGTCTGCTCTATAATAGTCCTTGTGATAAGACTACGGCGTACCATAGCTAAATTGTAGTATCAACCTCTCTCCTGCTAAAAATTAATCAAAAGTACACCTCCCATCCCCCAAATACGACGATATGCCAGTACTAAACTTACATCGTAAATAAAGCACTGAAAAACGGTAAACAGACATGCACTCAAAGCATGTACCGAAAACAGTACGTCGTTGAATAGCACTGGGATCTGAGCCCTCGGTTCTTGTTCCAGATATTCACTTTGAACTGAAGTCGAAAAGTACATAGCCAGATTGTAAATGGCATACGCAGTAAACCCAACGGTATTCAACAGGAGGAAGTCAAAGTGTAGACCATGAACTGACTTTCTTTTGTAGTTCAGAAAGACCTGGGGATAAAATGATATACTCCATGCAAAGAAGTAAATCCAGCCAGTGACTTGAACAAGAAGATAGGCAATTTCGCTTCTGTATATTGTTATTGGAACGTAGAATTCTTTGTAACTAAAATTATTGTTATTTACAACAATAAAATAAGCCTTTAAAATAATTTCCGGTTAAAAAATTACGCTTTTTATCTATTTCTAGCTATATAACGATTCCTTTCTATCATTTTGATACCTAAACACCAAAAAACACAAAAAATGATACTATCCTTACTCAAATGGACATGGATCACTACATTCTTCAATCTCCAAGTAACAATTCGATACCACACCAGTTGCTGTAATGTTGATCACGTTGGAAACATGGTTGGGATTAAAGTTGATTGCCTCAGGAGATACTAAAAAGTCCTCCGCTTGTTTGAACTTGATAGAAACTGTGTCATTGATTGGTTTCCTAAAAATTAAAACAAAAATAAGAAAAAACTTACTACAATTGTTCAAATATGGTCGTGTCAAAACAAGAAATTTATAAAAAGTATACGAACATCGTACAAAAAGGGATAGAAATTGATTGAAAAATTGAGAAAATGGTCTAAACTAGCCTTAATCTTGCCAAAACTTACGAAAACTGAAGTGTTATACTGTCGGTAGTTGACAAAAGTAAATTCAATGATGACGGAGAACTAACTAGTTCTTTTGACAACGGGTCTGACACCTTTCTCAGCTTTGCAGCTTGAACAGACACGAGAACTGTTATTACACTTGACAAACATAGTGTAAGTTTCAAAACGCCCATGAAACTGAAAAAATACATTGAACTTTTAAAAATAAATTAAACTAAAACTTTTAACATGCCAAATCACGTATAAAAGTACGATAACAGCAACAAATATTATAATAGAATTTTTAAATATCAAAAAGTATAATATTATAATTGATTTTGATGGTTAACACAAAAGAATCAAGTTCTTTTGTTCAAGAGTCCGGAAGAACAGACCCTGGGGTAAGAGGAAAATGTCCATAGAAACAAGTTTGCGCGCAACAATATTAACCGTTGCAAAAACTCATATTACACTGGCTAATCGCCTATAACAATATTAAAAACTCTGACAGATGGCTTTAAATTTAAATAAATCTCAAATAAATGCCAACAGCAGATGGTCAACGTCAAGCGCAAGCGGATATTGTATTTTATATCTCCTTTCTTATATTAAACATTGAGTTTTGTTACCTAAAACTATTATTGATTCATAATAACTTGCAATTTGCAAAAAACTTCATAAACTGCCCTTTAATTTGATTTTCTAAACAAATTTATCCAACTTCCGTCATAACCTAATTAAAATTCGCCTTCCAACCATCTGCAATATCTCGAGTTTTTTGTTTTTCACCTCTGACCGACCAAACAATATACCTTATCAAACGCAACCAGAAATATCAATGATCTCATTTAATAAATTTGTTTTGACTGATAACAACCCCGTAGTAGCTACTGATCTCATTCTGTTCCACTGATATTATTCTTGTCCTCATGTGATTCGTAAATGCATAAAATTTTACGCTTTTTCCATAATATTCACACCGCAGGCATGACTGAGTCTCGCCACGAAAACAAATACTTCTTTTTTACATTTTTACTTCCCATCTATAATTGTTGTTTTACAATTTTACTGCATTTGTAGTAATTAAACTACAATTTTTATACTTTTAATTTTTTTAGTTTTTTTGTGCACTTTTTATATTATCCTTGCTAATTTAAAGATAACATAATAGTGTTGTAAAAAGCTCATAAATTAGTTTATAGTGCAAGGTTGTTTACATAAGTAGCCTCCAACTGTATCTTTTTTCATCAGTCGGTTGTGTTTTGTTGCGATCAAGAAGTAATTTTTTATTAGATTTTATATTTTAGGTAACAAAGTCTATCTTTGCTTTTGTCATTCTTGTTTTGATTTCGAAACTACCTAAGACAAGGTCTGGAATGTCTAAATGATTTTTTGTGTTTTTGAAAGGATTTCATCATGTATAAAATACAATATTTTATGTTTTAACTTGATATTGTGTTATATTGAATAGGCCAATCGCGTTATTCGTTTATTAGCTTGGTTTTTTGCCCTTTTTTGTTTTTGAGCGATTTTAGGTAACAGAAAGGTAGAGGGTGCTTTTATGACTATTTTATCAGCGTGGGTTGGTATATTAAGATGCTTGCAGTTGGTTTTTTAAGATTTATATAAATGTAGATATCAATAAGCGTATTTATACGTTTTTGATGCTTTTCTGGCTTGGTTGGTCTTGGAATAGCTTTTACAATCGACGAGAATTATATTTTTATTATTTTTTGTATTCTTCGATCGTTTTTAAAATTTGTATTACCTAAATATCTAACTTTAGATATTCAAACTTATACACCGGTATTTATCAAGTTAAACTAAAACACGTGAAAAAGAATATCAGCGTCAATCATGGCTACCGAAGACCCGATTCCAAAGGTCGATCCTGAAGTTGAGAACGAGTCCGACAACGAATCTGACGTCGAAAGCATTGTAGATGTGAGTGAAGAGCTCGCCAAAACCGCCGATCAGCTGAACTATGTGGAAACCCTTGAGATTGGCGAAACTGCAGAACTGAACAAAGCTCTGGTAGATTCGTTTCATTGTTATTACACCGATGTTATCAATGAGTTTGCTGATGTTGAGATCTTCTTGATCTCGTTGGACTCGCTTCTGTGCGAGTTCACAGCTCACAAGTACAACAACTGGGTGTTGGGAGGTCAAACCATTGTTTTGGCTCACCAGGTAAGGAATTTTGTTAGGTCTTTGTTTGATTTTTAGGTACAAAACAGATTGAAAATGATATTAACATTGATGAAGGAGAAAATTGCTTTGTTTTTATAGATAACTTAATAAAAAGACTTTAGTTTTTAACAAAGACTTTTGAAATATTATAAAAGAAGGTACGAAGCTTCAAAATTAATTCTTCAGGTCCGATCTTTCTTCGAGCGCCTAAACGACCTCAACGCCAAGTACAAGTTGATCTGGTTCACAGACTTGGAACACAAATATGCATCGGATTCAGTGTTGAACTTCTTCTACAATTACTTGATCGCGTTCTTGGATAGCACAGAGTACTCAAAGTATGTGGAGCGATTCTCAAGCCCTTTGGACCCAGAATGGGATTCTTTTTTGAAACGATTAACTCCTTCGTTCTTGTTGATGTCTGTCGAAAACCCGAGTTTGGAGGTAGTTAGAGATGAAATCAACTTTGTTTTTGAGTTTGCTTCTGTTGGTGAGTTATTTTTTTATGGTATTGGGTGTTTAGATTTAAATTTTCGAGGTGGCGGGCATGGTTAATATAAAGTTTTTGGAATTTTGGGCTAGTAAAGGTAGGATTGACCTTTGAACGACGATTTTTGTTAAGTTGTAGTAGTGTAACATGATTCTGCTTACCTTTTCTGTAATCTTCTGGGCAAGAAAAGGTCAGAAAGTTTATGGAAGAGGCACATCTTAATGTTTATTATAATATAAGAAGTTTTTTGACTAAAATGTTGTAAATAGGCATATTTTAGATATTTTAATTAATAATGTAATTTTAGCCGTCCAACTGATCACAAAAGGCATTCCGGTGATTTATTTCGAAGGTTTCTCAATGAACTTCTCAACAGTATTAGCCTATCGTATTAAGGTTTGCCCGGTCGTTGCCTTCAACTTCGACGAAAGGTTAAGCAATATCTGGAACAAATCAGCTGGTAAGACGAGTAGAATTGAATTTTAATTTTTTTTTACATTTGCGAATTTCAAAGAATCGTATTTTACATCAAATTTCAGAAAAACGAATCCACTCCCTAAGTGCCGGTGAATGCAAAAACACGGTCGATTTCCTCACCATTGTCTTGAAGAAAGAGTTGGAAAAGGGAAGAGACGCAGATTTTGAAAAGTTTTGCTTATCAGTATTACTAGCCGGCTTCATTGGACAGACGGTCGGCTACAAAAGGTACCTACCGAACGCGGAAGCACCAAAAGTCAGTGACATCTTGGTGACACAATGTAGGCGGAGAATTTATGCCGCTTTGACTGAGTCATTGAAGAGCTTGGATGTTAAGGTAGGTTTTTAAAAGGTGGAAGTTGTTTCGAAAGAAGTCGGAGTTTTGAGATTTTGGGTATCGTTTAATAGTCTAATGATGAATATTGGCCTATGAAAATGACTTTTTTGCTATTTTTTTATTATAAGTGTCATTTGCGTAATTTTTCTACTTTAGACTGTCAAATTCCTGCTAGACGACATCTGGGATGGTCGTCTAATTCTCTTTATCTTCGCCAATGCCATTAACAACAAACCCATCCTTCCCTACCGTTTACAAATGGAATTTGCCAAAGCTCACGAGAAAGTAGGCTTCAAAGAAGCACTGGCTACAGACGAGAACGACACTCTTCTAATCCCACCAGAAGACGAAAACGACGGCGATCTTCTGATCAACAGCTGTGGCATCTTCCCAGTCCAAAACGGTTTTGTCGATGCCATATTCGGAGACAATGAAGTCTTGAAGAAGTTGAGCCACAACCCAGAAGAACAAACCGACTTTGAAAGCATCTTCAGAAGCGCCTTCAAATGGAGATTCTTGCCGGTCGAAGATCGTCTACTTCAACTAGAACCTAAAGTACAACTAACAGCGTACGAGATCAAGAAGTTGAACAGAAGCAGACAACGACAATCCAAATGGCTTCAAGCTTTCTCGGATTCGTTAGAAGGAAGAGGTAACGATTTATTGGTCGATTTCTCCCGTGTCCCAAGGTTACCAGCAGTAGAAGAAGAGGAAAAGAAAGAAGATGAGGATGATAAGAAAGGAAAGAAGGGAGGCAAAGGAAAGAACGACAAAAAGGCAACAAAGGCTCCAAAATTGTCAAAGAAAGATCAGATTCTGGAAGCTAATAAGCAGGCCATGGTTAAGAAACAAGTTGAGAGTGACAAGGTCAAGATTCAGTATGCTACAAAGGTCAAAACTAACGTGAGTTTCTAAATTTTCGTTTGTTTTTTAGGTATCAGTGGTTTGCTTTGTTGATTTTAAGGTCTTTTTTGTAGTTATTTAGGATTTAAAAAGCCTTTTTGTTTATTTTCTGATATTATTGTAGTTTAAAAGGTCGAAAAATCCACTGGTTTAGATTTTTTACACTTGTTAACCAAAGAATTTCTAAAATTGTCATTTTTAGGCCATTCAAGCCTTGGAAAACGTGAAAAGAAAGCTTCAACTCGATGAATCCAAGGCCATTTGCGCCTACGAACTCATCCTCCGTTACGCCGACGCCTTCTACGCGAAGGCCAACAAGTGCCAGTCGGTGGAAGAGAAACGACAAGCAGCGGTTGATCTAGTAGGCCAAATCAAACAAAGTTTCGTTTCTCATTGGCAATTCTTGGATTCTTCTCAACAGGGCAAGATCGAAGACATTTGGATCCAACTCGGCTTCTACAAACATCCAAAGAAGAAGGCCAGTAGGGAGTATGACTTGGGAATCGATGTGATTTACTATCAACTCTACCACGGTGGACGTTTGATTGATGTACTGACGGATTCACAACAAGATGAACGTGTTGTCGGCTTCAAACCGGATGCTTGGCAAAGGAAAATGTTGAATGTCGTGGATAGAGGTGGGTGTTTTGAGTTTGATTAGGTTATGTTGGGAGTTGGTTGATATTTTAATACCTAAACTACTATTTTTTGAATCTTTTGTTAGCTATACTTTAAAAACTAAAAACGCATTTTTAGGTGAATCAGCCCTAATTGTCGCCCCAACTTCGGCCGGTAAGACCTTCGTTTCATACTACTGTATCGAAAAGGTCCTTCGCCAAAGCAACGAAGATGTCGTAGTCTACGTATCACCCTCAAAGGCCTTGACCAATCAAGTTTGTGGCTCAGTGTACGCCAGGTTCAGAAACAAGCCCCTACAAGGCAACACCGTCCTGTTCGGTACGATCTTGAACGAGTACAGCGAAAACGCATTGAACTGCCAAGTCTTGATCACCATCCCTCAATGTCTGGAAGAAATGTTGCTCAGCCCAGACCCACAAATCCAACAGTTTGTCAGCCGCATCAAGTATGTCATCCTTGATGAAGTTCACTGTATTAACACGGCTGGACAAGGTCACATTTGGGAGCACATCTTCTTGTTGATCAAGGCCCCATTCCTAGCACTTTCTGCCACAATCTCCAACGTTGACGTCTTCCATCAATGGCTGCAAGGAGCAGAGAACTTCAAGGCCGTGAAAGGAGAAAAGCCACGAAATGTCAATCTGATCGTCTACAAGGAAAGATGGTCCGAATTGGAATTGGCCATCCAGAAGATGGATGACTGTCCAGATGATATTGATTTCACAAGAGATATTGAGTTGTTCAACAAAGGATTCAGTCTGGCCGACATGAACAGAAAGAGCGACTCGAATCAAGGGAGTTTGGCCGATATCAACAAGGCCATCAAGTCGGACTTGAAGTATTTCATGCCTTACAGTGTCTACAAGCCAGAGAAAATCCGTATGTTTTCCATTCCAGATGACCAACAACTGACTGCTAGACAGATTGTCGAGCTTTATGTTATCATGGCTGAAGTGGACGGTAAAGTCAAGTAAGTTTTGGTGGGAAGTTGAAGTAGTAAAGGCATGATTTCTATACTTTTGTATTAGAAAAAGGAAACTAAAGTCTTATTTTTGGATAAGAAATTGATTTTTTATAATTAAAATGAATTTTCATGACGTTGTTTTATTGCTTTTGACCGTAAATTCTTTTAGAGACGAGTACGAACCCTCAAAGTTCTTCGGGTACACTCCAGGAGCCCTAGAATGCGTCTGGTTGAACAGAACTCAACTCCGTGACTTTGAGACAAAACTAAAACAACGTTTCCTCGACTGGTTGCACAACGATCAGGCCAAGATTGACAAGGTCTTCGAAAAGCTGGAAACCGACGTCAAGGACGAGTTCGACAAGCGAATGAAGCCCTTCAACATGTTCAGAGCCGCCCTTCACAACGTAGTCCCATTGTTGGATCAACTCAAAGGTGATGACATGTTACCATCAATTTGCTTCAACGACAACCGTGAATTCTGCGAACAATTGGCCATTCACTCGTTCAACGAATTCGAAGTCCGAGAAATGAGGTACATGAACACGGCCGAATTCAAGAAAAAGTTCAACTTCAAGGCTGAAGATCGTGCCGCCAAATTGGCCAAAAGAAAGCGTGATGTAAAGGAAGACGACAAGAAGAAGGGAGGACCTCCAGAAGACGAACCCCCAGAGTCGGCCGAAGATTCAGATGTTTTTGCGCTTCAAAGAATCAAGCTGAAGGAAGTTCTTTCACAATTCAAACTCCAAGGCCGAGTATCAGACGAAGAACTCTACGAGAAGACCATCGAGAGGCTGAACCAAAAGAGTGGCAATCGCCCATCCACCAAAACCCTACTCAAGCTGTTCGAAAGAGGAATCGCCTTCCATCATGAAGGTCTGAATGCCCAAGAAAGAGGAGCAGTTGAAATCTTGTTCAGAGCCGGCTTCGTAGGAATTCTGTTCTCAACCTCCACCCTCGCGCTGGGTATGAACATGCCCTGTAAGACGGTTGTGTTCGGCATTGACACTCCACAATTGTCGCCCCTCCAGTTCCGTCAAATGAGTGGTCGTGCTGGTCGTCGTGGTTATGATCCAGCCGGTACCGTCATCTTCATGGCTCTACCAACAAGCAAGATCCGCCGTCTCTTAACGGCCTCGCTGGCTACGCTGAGAGGTAACGTCCCATACACGACGTCATTCCTGTTGAGACTGTTCAGCTACGTCAACGGAATCAAGGAAGAGTTCTCGACCAGGGAAGAGATCGCTGCTGCCTACAAGGCCAAGACGATATCAGAAAAAGTGGCCACAACATTGTTGGAGAAGCTGAAGTTGAAGGAAGCCACCAAGAAGAAGATCTCATCAGAAGACGACGTGGTTCAGAAGGAAGGAAGAATCCAAGCTGCTCTCACTCTACTCAAGAACTCGTTCGCTCTCTACACTAGACACGAGAAGAAAGAAGGATCCTTGAAGGAAGTCCTAAAAGGCCTCACCTTCTTCAACATCCAACTACTCAGAAGACTGCAACTCATCAACGACCAAGGAGAAACCACCGGCTTTGCCAATATTGCAGTACATTTGGGTGTCCACGAGCCAGGCAATTTGCTCTTCGTCTACCTACTACAAGTTGGCGCCTTCCACAAGCTTCACAAAACCACCCACGAAAACGAAACCCAGTACAAACAGACCCTGGTCAATGTTCTGGCTCACTTGTTCACGAACAGAAGACTGCCAGTCGGATACGAACCTGGAGAGAAGAACATTGCTCTGCCAAAAATGCCAGAAATGTTCGAGGACCTAGTCAACAAGTACAACAAGGACACGGAGAAGCTGTTGTTGGCTAGTCTGCAAGCTTTCTTCCCTTCAAAACAAATTGACGTAAGTTTTTTGGGCTTGGGTGGTGGTTAATATAGAATTTTTTAGAGGATTTTGGGTGTATAATTTTGTTTTCCAAGCTTAAAATATAATTTTTTTAAATTTCAGTTGCGTTTTTAAAGCCTGTTTTGACATAAAATAATATTATTCTCCATTTCAGAACGAATATTTCCGATTGAGCGGCAAAACCACGGACCTATCGTTCGCCGAAACCAACGTCGTATCAGTGTTCGACGATGATCTAGCCGTCGACCCAGCCTTCATCCCAACTGTTGTCGAACTAAAGGACCACAGAGGCCGTGTGATCCACAGAAACTCGTACGCATACGACTTTTACATCAACGGATCCAAGGATTCTTTGATCACGGACAACAAACTCGACATTGGAGAGATTTGGTACCTGATTGATGACTTTAACGTAAGTTTTAGGAGGTTTTAAAGGGTTTTTTGGGATTTTGAAAGATTGAAATGGATGAGGCGATGTTAGGCTTTGTAATTGTGTACCACTAGTACCATGTTACCTTTGCTTTTATCAAAATCAATTTTAATGACTGCTCCCCCTGTGGATTTAAATTTTTTTTGGTAATAATCATAACCTTTTGGTGCACTAATAGTACCAGTTTATAATTCGCTTCTATTTTCAGAAGATGCTGAAATCTCTGCGTGAAGTGTTGGCCTACAGCGCCCGTGTCAACGACGCCGTCCTCCTCTCCGTCACCCAGATCTCGGAAGAGTACGAGAAGAAGTTCAGACACGCGTTCGGCATGAAAACCTTCACTTGAACACCTATATTGTTTGCTATTTCATTTGGGTAAATTGTTGTTGTTGAATTGGTCATTTGTTTCGTCTAATGCGCTTATTTATTCGAATTTTCATAGAATTGTTTTGGACATTTTGTAGAATTTTAAAATTTCTACGGTTTTCTATAGTTATCGGTCTCTACATGGGATATCATTGTGGTTTACTGGGTAGTTTTGACATTTGAATGAGGGTTTAGGGGTAATGAAAAGCTAGGACTTGGCTTTTTACTGAGAGTAAGGTTTATAGAGTTGAGACGCCATCTGTAGGTTTGACTGGGCTTGGTTGTTGCGGTTAAAGTATTGGGTCTTAAGTTAAAGCTTTGTTATTACATTATCTTGTCCTTATGAATCGAAAAAGTCATAAAATTGTCGCGGAAATCCACGCTTTTCTTTGCTTTGTTTAGTGAAAACTGCTTCTATAGACTAGAACTGTCAGCTCGTGCATTTCCTTGGTTTTTTAATATTATTTTTTAAATTTCTTTGTTTTTCTTATTGTTACTTTTTTTAAAAATAAATCGTGTTGATAATTTAAATTTTGGCGGATGTTTCCTTTAAATAACGCATTTTTTTACCTCGTATTTTACATTTAAAAACCATTATATTCTTTTAAATTTATTGTGACATAAGGGTGGAAAATATACAAAACACTGAATTTTTTAACTATTAGGTGGCGCAAATAATTCTGTGCCCCTAACCCCGAAAATTAGCTTTGAAAGGGGCACAGAATTATTTGAACAACTTAATATTTGTGAGGTGAAGGCCGGTATCATAAAGGCATGTGACAACAAATGGTGACTAGTGTTATAAACAGACCCGTTTGACGAATATTTGAATATAAAAGTACAATGATTTACATCTAAAATTAAAAATAAATGATTTTAAAATTTTAGCTGCAAAAATAAGATGTTTGTGACGCATGTTGGGGAAAAAATTGTGGTGTTTAGTTAAGAAGGCGTATTTTACAATTTCTAGACCTTTTATAAGTTGTTTTTAAGCTGCTGGTTGTGTTTTTGTCATAGCTGTCATAATATGTCGTGAGACCTGTCTATACCAAGTCAAAACTTTCCAAAACCAATGAAATCCTTATATCAAAATATCTAACTTGAAACATCGGTACTTCTAATATAGAATATCAATTACCTCTAAATTCGAACATCAATCTCTAAAACTTGTTACGTCAACACCTCTAACTTGGAGCCCTAGAGCCCCTTCGATGAGCCGATTGCTTGCTGCCTTTCCTCGAATTCGCGGTAATGTAATCCTCGTCATCACTACTCTCATATCCTCCGATTGGTATAGAGACATCGTCCACGGAACGATGTCGTTTCAATTCTGGAGTTGCTCCTTGTAACGATCCTCTTCTCGATTGAGCTGGGGTTTGAGCTTGAGAGATGTTCGAAAGCTTTGGAATTTTAATATCGGATATTGAGCCACGAGCTTCGATTGCTTCGAGTCGGCGGAGCTTTTCTTGCCATTTGTTCTCGGTTTGTTTGATTTCTTGGAAAATGTTCCTGAAATAGGTAACATTAGATGGTGACAATAATTTTGGCGCACGGATAACTGGGCCGATCGGACAACTGGGCCGGTTCCAACTCGGCCGATACCAACTGGGCCGATTTGCCTTATAGTATGTCCGGGCTATATAATCTTAATAATATCGTAGTAAATTGCAATGTTAAGTGTTAAATACCACAGTAAAGTTGTATTTACCTCAACATATATGTATATACCATAGTAAATGATGGTATTGGCAAAACAATATTAAATACTTGTAAAATATAATAGTTCTACATAATTTTGGAAACATTACTATGTAAGTGACTTTACAAGTATGATTTTACTACATATATATACGATGGTAAGTCATAGTATCTTGGCAAAAGTTGACTAAATTGAACTTGGCGGAGGCTTTAGGAGATTTAGCGGAAGCTTTAGGGGATTCGGCGGAGACTTTAAGGGATTCGGCGGAGGCTTTAGGGTATTCGGTGGAGGGTCGGCGGAGACTTTAAGGTATTCGGCGAAGAGTCGGCGGAGATTTTATGAAGTTGGCGAAGATTTTAGGGTATCTACCCGACCTTACCTCTAACCTTTATAGCCTTACCTGGCTCTACCCTTGACTTTTTAGCCCTACCTGACCCTAAGACTAATCTTTGTAGCCCTACCCAACCTTGTCCTTGCTTCTTTTATCCTACCCAACTATACCATAACCATCCTATATAATATACCATACGATGTCCTGCGCCATACTCACCTTACCAAACTATACCATACTCTACCATACCCGTCCTATCTACCACACCCTTATATAACGCACCATATTATACCTTAATATGTCATACTATAACTGACTATATTATACCATTTACCTTGTTTTACTTAAATACTCTACCTTACTCATAGATAGTACACGGTAGTGTTGTATAGGAATGAATTAGTTAAGGCATGGCATAGTATGTTATGGTATGGTAAGATATGGTATTGTATGGTATGGTATGTTTGGTAAGATGGGTATGGCACAGGACTCCGTATGGTATATTATATAGGATGGGTATGATATAGTTAAATAGGATAAAAGGGGCAAAGGTAAGGTTGGGTAAAGCTAAAAAAAACAAGCTTAAGGTCAGGGGTAGCGTCGAGTAAGGCTAGAAAGGTTAGAGGTGAGGTCAGGTATATATCTTAAAGTCTCCGCCGAATACCTTAAAGCCTCCGCCGAATCTCTTAAAGCCTCCGCCGAATCCCCTACAGTCTCCGCCGAATACCTTAAAGTCTCCGCCGAATCTCCTAAAGTCTCCGTCGACTCTCCGCCGAATACCCTAAAGTCTCTGCCGACTCTCCGCCGAAGCCCCTAAAGCTTCCGCTAAATCTCCTAAAGCCTCCGCCAAGTTCAATTTAGTCAACTTTTGCCAAGATACCATGACTTACCATTGTATATATATGTAGTAAAATCATACTTGTAAAGTCACTTACATAGTAATATGTTTCCAAAATTATGTAGAACTATTATATTTTACAAGTATTTAATATTGTTTTGCCAATATACCATCATTTACTATGGTATATACATATATGTTGAGGTAAATACAACTTTACTGTGGTATTTAACACTTAACATTGCAATTTACTACGATATTATTAGGATTATATAGCCCGGACATACTATTAGGTTGTCCGGAAAGTTCTGCAATATTTGAGTAGGTAAACTTTGAAAAATCAGGAAAAATTTATTTCTTGACGGAAAGAAAAAATTCTTTTTTTGTTTGTTTGTTTGTTACCTAAATTATTCAAAAAGGTAAGTTACATAACTTAATTTCATTTTTTTGTATTGTTTTAGGTATTAGAAAAAAAATGGAGAAATCTCGCCTGCGCGTGATTATATGGAATGAATTCAAACGCGGAAATACTGCGGCAGAAACCTTCAGAATCATAAACGAAAATGAGGGTAAGAATGTTGTGAGTTATTCTACGGTGACCAGATGGTTCGCAAAGTTTCGTGTGGACGATGAGAAGCTTGAAGACAAACCACGTGCAGGAAGACCCAGCAAACTTGACAAAGATGCCCTGAGGCGCAAGATTGAAGATGACCCACATATTACAATCCGGGAGTTAGAAGAGTTACTAAACTGTGGAAAAAGTACCATTGATGATCATTTGAAGGCAATGGGTATGGTCAAAAAGTTGGACAAATGGGTGCCTCACAATTTGACTGATCTGCAAAAAGCCAAGAGACGGTGTGCTTCCGAAAAGCTTCTGCAACGCTGCAAAAACGAAGAATTCTTGGATCGAATTGTAACTATTGACGAGAAGTGGATCTCGTTTAACAATACTAGAAGATCTACAAGTTGGTGTAAGCGTGGAGAAGCTCCTAAGCCCGTTCCGAAGCCAGAATTGCACGAAAAGAAGCTTATGGTGACTGTCTGGTGGTGTAGCTCTGGAGTGATCCAGTACGATTTCATGAAACCTGGCCAAAGTATTACGGCCGACACCTACTGTGCCCAGATTGACAAACTGCGGCACAATCTTCCAACAATGGTCAGAAGGAGGGGTCCGATCATTCTGCAGGATAACGCACGGCCCCATGCTGCAAAGAAGACCGTGGCAAAATTCAGGGAACTGGGATACGAAGTCTTGGAGCGCCCTCCTTATTCTCCAGACTTGGCTCCAACGGACTTTCACCTTTTTAAACACTTGTCTTCGTTTCTTAATGGAAGAATCTTCAAAACTCCGGACGATGCCAAGAATGCCTTCAAGAACTTCATCAACTCCAGAAACCCGGAATTCTACAATCGTGGAATAAAAAAGCTTGTAAATCGTTGGCAAGACTGTATTGATTCAGACGGTAATTACTTTGATTGATTGTAGTTGTTAATTATATTGTTATTATTGTTAGTTCAAAAGTGAATAAATATTGCAGAACTTTCCGGACAACCTAATATAAGGCAAATCGGCCCAGTTGGAACCGGCCCAGTTGTCCGATCGGCCCAGTTGTCCGGACGCGATAATTTTTTCCCTAATTTTGATTTGTAAAGAAAGTCTTTGCCATTTTTTCGTTTTGTAAAGAAAGTTCTTACCATTTCTTGTTTGGTAAAGAAAGTTCTTGAATAAATTAATAAAATTAAAAAAGTAAACTTACTGTCTTTGAGCTTCGATCAAGTAATGTTGCACCCATAATTCGGCAATTAAATCAGTAGTAAATGTAATATCAGCATGTTGTGCTATCAACCTCAAGATGAAGATACCGTCACTTCTCAGGTATTTGTTGATGAACTTGTCCACTTGGATTTGAACGTCTAAAAAATGATGACATTATAGTACTACATATTTAAGATTAAACAAGAAGTTATACAAAAGGTCACAGTTTTTAATTTGTAAAGAAAGTTCTCGCCGTTTTTAGTTTTGAAAAGTTCTTGTTATATTCTAGTTTTTAAAAAAAGTTCTTGTAATTTTTCGCGTTGTAAACAAAGTTCTTGTATTTCTTTCTACTTTTAATACCTAAACCTGTATACCATCCTTACCAGTAAGTCCAGTCGGAGTATCAGCAGAAAAGGTCTTATCACCACTCATCTCCAAATGGTTGATTACAAAGTGAGCTTGCGACCTCGGATTCAACAAGTTGTACATCCAAGAAGTAACATTGGCCAGCGTAATAAACCCAAGACAATTGTACCACGCCCATAAAATGACAAACGCCTTCTCCGTGAACACATTCAACAATAGTACACATTGTACTGTATGTGTAGTCACTTGTCCCATCTCACGAACGTCGAAATCGCATAAAGAAACTCGAGGGAACAGACCGCTCTCCTCCCAGGTTCGATTCCCTGACCAAATATCCATCCACGCCCAGAAGCCAAAGTTCTTCGAAGCACTTGGGATCAGATATCGGTTGAGAAGTTCGGTCTGACAGAGCACGTTGATTAAGAAGGCTGACTTAGAGATGATATAGATGAGAGAGACGTAGTATGATGAATATTTGACATTCAAACACCGAACTATCTTATGCGGCGTCAAGTTTTTCTAAATTTCGAGATTATTGTTAGGCCAAAGACTTAAATATAAAAAACATGTTCATTTTCACTTCACTGACATATTATTAATATTAGTTTCTATTCGAAATAAATCAAGACAAAAGCTTACCTTTTTCAGTCGGTAATGAAACTTCAAAGCGCCTTTGAGATGAACGGCCAAAGCTTGAATATTCGACTTTCGAGTGTTTGGATCTGAATTCGCCTCATTTGTGGCTAATCTCAACACTTCTCCAACTCTCATTCCTAAAATGTACGCTCGTTACTTTCACAGTCCGTATTTTACACCTTCCATTTGATTTCCTGATACCCATTATACCTAAACTTAAAAAAAAACAATCTAAAACAATATCCTTACCTGATTGCGATCCAAAATACTTCCAAATCAACGTGGGAAACTTAAAGCAAGCTGCCTGAAACAACAAGAAGAATGGCATCCATTGATAATAGCTAATCTTCTTGTCTCTTTTCTGTTGAACGTTATATAGCTCCACAGTTTCGTTAAACCCAACATAATACGTGTCTTCACTCCAACAATAACTCTCTGCATACTGTTCCCAAGCTCGGTTAAAGCTTATTCCAGTCAGTGGTAACATGCATTCGATTGGACGACCTCCAAATTGTTTGTAGCTGAGCAAAACAGCTAGGCCAATAAGTAAGTTACAGGTGAAGTATGAGTGTAAATTGGCGATTACATCTTGAACTGGAGCTTGGTTGCTGTATGGCACAGCGTGCATAACACGAAAGATCATCATTTTGAAGAATTTGTTGATAGATCAGACTCTTATTAAAGTTTGAAGGCAAAAAGAGGCTTTGAAGTATGTTACACTAGATGTGACGGCTATTCCTCTTCAAAATTTAGCAAAAACTAATGGTAACTTAAATTTTTATAGAAAAATAACGTAAAATTATCCTCAATACCTCCACCAAGCTCTTTATAAAGTGTTATAGTAAAAGAATAGCAAGAAATATTAGAAATACTGGTTGAAAGATTAAAATACTAGCTAGTATACTAGAAATATTGTACAATACTCAAGTTTGAGATCAAATAAGATAAAAATCAATAGGTTAGAACATTAAAAGTTGTTGCCTGGTAAAAGACGAAAACAAAGCAGCATTTGATTTCAAAACAAACACTTTTAAAAGCCTTCGGCTTCAATTTTACGAGCTTTTCTCCAAACGAGAAAAACTTGACACACAAAAATTACGGCCAACTGTTTCTCTGTTAAAAAGATTTTTTCGATTTTTGACCGCTGGCTATTTACTATGTAAAGGCTTTAAATAATTAATTTATCTTTTAGAAAAGAAAATTTTTATATATTTTTTAATTGTTTTTTTGGTTTTTTAAAAATTGTTTGGTTAATTCCGCTGTTTTTAGGGTTATATTGTTGTTATGTAGCTTTTGGATCAGACTAACAACGAATCTTCAAAATGGTGCAGCAAATGTCTTTGGGTGAAGACTTTGTGCTATCTAATCTACAAGGTTTGGCTATTTGCTCGGCGTTGGCTAAGGATTTGGACTATGAAAAGCTGGAGAGCCGATTGTTTGGGCGAATAACTGAAGATGCAAGTGAACTTATTCTTGGCCACAATGTTAGAAGCACTTTTTTTGCTGCTGGGATTTGTATACTATATGCTCCTCATAACAAGGTATGTTTTTAGTTCAATTATTTGGCTTTTAGGTTGATTCTCAACAGAGGAAATCAGTTTATCTTGTTGTAGATAGCTATATATATATCGTTTTAGTTTGATGAGCCATTGTGTGAAAAATTGATGGAGCTTATGGAGATGTTGCCAGTACTTCGTTGGGTTGATGATTCCGCTTTTAGCAAGCTTGACAGTAAGTTTTACAAACAATGAGATACGATTCTTTATCTTGTTTTAGAAGTAACCATCTATGAACAATTTTCATTTTGTTTGAATACTATTTTGGGTGATATTGCTGCTCAACATTTTAACTTACGAGACAGGATTATTGACCATCAACTTACATTGTTAGAAGAGCTAATGGAAGATATTACCGAATTTATCAGTGGAATTCAGCGATCTCCTTCTTTAAATCAGTCGAGGTTTAATAGAAGGCTGTCTTCTGAAGGTTAGTTTTTAATCTCCAAAAGATTTTTTTAAATTTTAGGTTTCATATGTAGCTTCTATTTTTGTTTCGAGCGTAATTTACAAGTACTGGTGAGCTGAATTTGCTCAAAATCTTCTTAAAACATCAGACTGTATGTCATGAGTAATATAATTTTAGTTGACTGCATGAGGGTTGTGTCGATGATTTTTGGGTTGTTGAGGACAATTGGAAGGTTTTCGGCAGATCCAAATAATCCACTAATATCTAATATTTATCCACCGCCGTTTGCCATAGCCCAAAAAGGGGAAAAAGTTGAGCCGGTTGTCAGGAACGTAACGTGAGTAACATTTTTTGATGTTTTGGATCAATTACTTTACTTTTTATAGTTTTTTAACTTTTTTGTTACCTACCAACATTTTTCAGATTATTAACTTTTGTTTAAGGTTATCAACGGACGCTACGAATTGGTTTTGGAACGACGAGAAAGAAACGTCTAAAGGAGGCTCAAGAAAGGTGTATTCACGGCACGGTAGCAGCTTTTTGATGCCGGATGTTGGGGATAAGGACAAAGATGTTTTGAGGCTGACGTTTGGCGAAATTGAACGGCTTACAGCTCAGGTATGGCTGCTACATTTTTTGAAATCAAATTGAAGTGTTTATGGTTTATATCTTTAAGCTTGGCTTGTCACTTACTTTTTAGGTTAAATTAGCCTTTTATTTCAATTTTATGTTGTTCTTAGCTTTATCATCAATTTGTAAGGATAACATAGGCCTTTATTTTTACATTTTAGCTAACATTAGGCTTAAATTGACCTTCTTTCAGCTAAAAATTTTAATGGAACCAAAACTCCTCTCAACTTTGGACAAATACGCTCAAGATGTCTACTACAAACAACAACTTAAACGTTTCCCTTACCGAACGGTGTCAGAGACAATTACCTTAGTATCGGTAACATGCTTAAGAGATGTGTTAAGCCTATACGACAATATTCATCAAGATTCGGTGATTCCAATGGAATATGCCAAAGAATTGTACACTTTCTCATTACATTTGTTTACACAAGGACAAGAACAATTGAATATGAAAAATTTTAATGAAGATATTAGAGAAACGAGAAAGTCTGTCGATGATGAAAACAATCAGCCGTTGGTGAATCGACTGAAAATGCTGATTATTGCGAATTCGCTGGCGATAGAACTAATTGTTTGGAGTGCTGTGGATGAGAATAGTAGGTTTGAGGGGGAAGTGGTAAAAATTTAAAGCTACAATGACATAATGACTTTAAAACTGGTAACAACTTTGTTTAAAAAGTTAAAAATTTATGGCCAAAACTTTATTTACAAAGAAGAGTTTTTATAAACACGTTTTAGCGTATAACATGTCATCTCCAGCCTGCAAAACTCTGAAAAATGAAAGAACTTTCTTTACAAAACAAAAAATGGCAAGAACTTTCTTTACAAAACAAAAAATGGCAAGAACTTTCTTTACAAAACAAAACATACCAAGAAATTTCTTTATAAAACAAATAAAAGTGACAAGGATTTTCTTTACGAATCAATTTTCAGCCGGATACATAATATGTAACAACATTCACGACAAGCTGTGGCAACCTCACCGTCATGTGTTGATTCAGAATCCTATCAGCGTTGTAGCACTCGAAGCTTTGGGTACACTGGCTGAGAAGTTTCCAGCATTGTCAAGTACTATTGTAGTCAGATCATTATGTAGTTTTCTATTGGATCCATGTCCATTATTGACGAAGCTGACCAGCAATGAGGTAAGGGTTGGAATATGGCATGAATTTTGCTTAAAAGTTTAAAAAATAGCAAGAACTTTCTTTACAAAACAAGAAATGGCGAGAACTTTCTTTACAAAACAAAAAATTGCAAGAACTTGGCTTACAAAAAAAATTTTTTCAGTTCGACAAAGGGGACCGAACGATGACAAAAGAGCAATGTGATGCAGTCAGTCGACGAAGATTAGGCTTAAATAGTCTGAGGACAGCAGCCATAGACGCGTTATGCCGAGCTCTGAGAGCAGCTATACCTCCAGAAGAATCAGAATCTGAAAATGGAGCTGAAGAAACATTGATAAGATCATGTTTGACTCAGTTATCAGCTAAACTTTACGTTCCTGAGAACGCGTCGGTTGAGAGGTGGGTTATTTTACTGTGGCATGAGGTTACTTGTATTATGTTGTTTGATCTTACCCTTCTCCTACTTTTACCTCTTCCTCTTACTCTACTATAACTTACTTTGTCTTAAACAAACTTTTATTTATCTCTACCTCTAGGTAGTTTAAGTTAGTATAATATGTCAAATTATCTAAAACAAAATCAAAAACTAAAATTTCAGTACGATCTACATGATATCAGAGAACGTAATTATGGCATTGGGAAGTATCGGAATCACACTGATTGACCGTAAAATTCCTCAGATTGTCTTACAGATCTTTTTACAACGATTTGCTCAACCACCATCAGCACTGGATCAGGTCATTATCAATCAGCTGGCAGATATGTGGATTGCTGGGGCTGTAAGTTAAATTGTTCATAGCATGACCATTAATATTTTTCGAACTGCATACTGTATCATAATAAACATATCTTCAGTCAGTAATCCACGACGGAGTAATAAAACTCTTTACAAGAATCATATTAGAATCAAGTAATCGCATCTACTCTGCTGATCCACTACAACAAGCTCAACGATACTCACATGTCTCATTAGTTGTCGATAGTGCTCTAGGCAAAATGGCAAAAGCTTTGACGAAAGAAGAAGAACAAATGGAGTTGTTGTACCGATTGTTGGAGCTTTTTGTCCAATTGGCCATAGAAGGGAAGAGAGTTCATGAGAAGATCAAAAAGACTGCTGTTAAGGTAAGTATTGGTATTTTAATACGAAAGTTTGCTTTTTAATGTCAAAGCACTAAATTAATGACAGCCTTATCAGTAAAAACCCACATTTTTCAGATGACAGCCGGAGCCGGTAATCTCGGAGTGCTAATACCTAAAATAGCATCACTTATCGTCAGAATGAAGCCGATCTTAGAACCGACCGTGAAAGTGAAAAACCTCTTCAGAGACTTCTTTTTCTACTGTTCAGCAGTAGGATTTAATCTAGAAGTGACGGATGGTCTATGGCCAGATGATTGGTATCGAGCAGTGTGCCAAATCGCAGTGAAAGCACCAGTTTTGACGGTAATCGAGAATCTGAAGTCGGAAATGATTGAAAATGCAGCTATTAAGATGGACACACTACCTTTGGTGGGTTGACATTATTTTTTGGGTTTTTTTTTATATTTTTCAAGATAGTTTTTACTATTTTTGGTTCTGTAAAGAAAGTTTTTGCTATGTTTTGTTTTGTAAAGAAAGTTTTTGTCATTTTATGCTCTGTAAAAGTTCTTGCTATTTTTTGTTTTGTAAAGAAGAAAGTTTTTGTCGGTTGTAACAATAAAAATGGCATGCAGGCTGCTGGTGACATGTTATACGATAAAACGTATTTATGAAAAGTTTTTCATTGATTTTTGGTAAAATACGGTATTCGAAGTTTTTGTTTTGTAAAGAATGTTGTTGCTATTTTTTGATTTGCAATGGAAGTTTTTGCTATTTTCAGGTAAAGAAGCGTTTAGTAGGTTGCGGCTGATGTTGTATACGAAAAGCTGATTTTTTGGTAAAATACGAATAATTCACGATTTTTGAAATTTTTTGATTAAATGACAAATCAATGACAAGACTTTAAAAAATCAAAACAAAATGAGTTTTTAAAGTTTTTTTTGTAAAATACGATTAAATCCTTTGGAAGAAGGTTATACATATTGTATTTAAGGCCGACATTCAAGAACGTCGTAATTTGGTACTGAAAGAAGTTCAACAATCACCGGAAATCACAACAATCGTCTCAAGAATGGACTATGCTCAATGTATCTACCTGTTATCAGTGTGTAGAACAGAGAAAATGAGAGTAGTACACTCGAATGAACCTGACGCGCCTCAACAAATGTTCAAGTATCTGGAAGACAAGTAGGAATTTTGGCTTTTTGAAATTAAAATATTGGGGATTGAGTTAAAATGGATTTTTTTGAGCCGAAATACCTTAAAAATTTTAAAAATTTCGATTTTTGAAAAATTTAAAAAGCAAAATTTTTTTAAAAAATAAATTTAAAACAATAAAAATTCATTTCAGAGCCATCCGAAAAGATAAAACAGGAATTTGGTCATGCCTTTTATCAGCAACCCCCTTAATCTTCACCGAGTACCTAAATCGCATGGCCAAAGGCAATGCGTGTCGCCAAAGAACGGCCGACATCAGAGTAACGGCCGAATTCCTCTTGGTCATGTTCAATCACTCAGTAAGAGAAGTACGACGATGTGCTGATAATTGCCTGACAAAACTAATGGATATGTTCCCATACCTACTTTGGAATGGCCAAGTTATTGCGACTGCATTGAGTTTGATCCAAGCTATGTCAAAGATAATTGAAGAGGATAGAGAGTGTCGGATTACTACGTTGGAGACTTCGGAATTGCCTTGGAAGCTTCATTTGGAGGTGGGTTTTAGATTTGAATAGATGGAGGAAGGGGGGGGTAGGGTGGAGAGGGGTGGAATTTCAAGAAAGTAATTTTTTATAGGACACTCTAGCCGCTCGAGAAAACATAGCCAAAGATTTTGCCCAACGAGTAGAGCAGATCCTATGCGAAGCCATGAAATGGGCTCCAGGCACAACCCACGGCCATCTCCTAGAATACGTACGACGAACAAACTCTACAAACAACAGAAGTCTCCGCCTCACCATCGACGCCGTCCTTCATCACCACTCAACTGGTATGGGGAGCGACTTTTCCCCATCAACAAGCGAAGTCAACTCAGTGAATGGCTCGGTAATGGCAAAAGAGAAGACAACATTGGATGTGTCAGCCTACCTCACATCACTAAACCAACGAGCCAACTTTCTCGGCCGCGTCCAGGGCATGTTATCCATGCTGAAGTCGACTCAACATGATCAAGCACTGGCGACAGAGTTGTTGATCGAACATCTGGACACAAAGTTCAGAGACATATTCGAGAAGAACGAAGAACACAAATATAGTTTTAGCAACCTCGGCCAAAGCTATGCCAACATTGATCGAGAGCTGGAGGAAGCGATCATGCTCAGCAGTGCCTTCTTTGTCGAATCACAAAATTTGGAATCGAAGACTCTGAGGAATCTGGTCAGAATACCGGAGAAGAATTTTACCGAAAAGACACTTCAATTGTGCATATCGTGCTGGAATTGGATTCTGGTGGCCAGGGAGGATGTTCAGATTCATGTAGGTTTTTAAGGATGATGTTATGATAAATTTCTGGTTTTTGAGTTCATTTGGCAGGAACCTTCTTTACAAAATCAAAAATTGCAAAACTTTCTTTACAGAATGAAAAATTGCAAGAACTTTTTTTACAAATATTAAATAAATTAAAAATAATCTACTTTTAGTTCCTTCAAGAGATGAGTGGATGTTTCCTTCAAATCGCTCAAAGAAATGTAGGCCTATTCGATCGCCAATACGACAAGGTAGAGTGCCCAATGTCGAGTAGTGAATGCGACAAAAGAAAGGCACCTTTTGTAAAACCACACGCCGTTTGGGCTGGGGTAAGTTTTCAACTTTTATAAAAAAATTTTTTAATGAAAAAAAAATGGCGCAATGTTAAATAGAGGATCGTGATGGATGCAAGAAGAGTGGCGCGATGGTAAAATACGGTATTAGCATCCAAACATAGCCATAATATTTATGAATTTATTAAAAATTTTTTTTTTAATTTTAAAAAATTAAAAAAAATTGAAAAAATATAAATTTTAAAGATTATGTGTGAAAAATTTGAAATTTAAAAGAGATTTTTTTCCAGTTTTTGGCCGAAAGAATGTCGTTGGCCAGGTACTGTAACCAAGAACAAATCGATCTGTTTGAGCTACTATTCTCACGCATATTATCATTGGAAGTGGGAAATGACCAAAGAATTGGCGGAAATATCAAGAAAATACGTAGGTTCATATTTTTTTTTGTTTTTTGGGGTAAAATACGATTAAATATATTTGTACAATTAAAATTTGAATTTTTCGAAATTTTTTTGGAATTTTAAAATTTTTGAAATGTGTTTTTTTTAATATTTGACGGATTTAAAAGTGCAATTTAGATTTTTTTGTAAAATACGTGGGGGGATATTGGGGTTATTTAAACAAGTTGATTTCAGCCATGATGAGCCGGCACATCGAAGCAGTAGGAGTCAGATTCAGATTACTGTCAGCTGCGTTAACCATGATTCAAAACGACTTTCTTACCAATTCTCAATCGAAAAACGTTTTGCGACAACGAATATACGCTTCCGCTTTTGATTACTTCACGTAAGGCTTTTGGTGTCATTAAAATTTTTATTTTCTTAAATTTCATGTTTTCGTTGTGGGACCTGATATTGTGGTTTCTCAAATTATAACTAAAAAAAACTTTAAAAAAGTTGATTTAGGTAACCTTAGAATGACAATTTAGACGAACTCTAAATTTCAGGTTTTCTTGGTGGGACCCAAAAATTTTAATTTTTTTATTTTCACGAATTTAATAGAGAATATATTGAATAGAGAAATACTAAGCTTGATTTCTTTGTAAAATACGCCAATTATTCTCATTTTTGATTGGTATATGTTGTAGATTGGCTCCACAAACTCCAACGATGAATTCGAAGGAATTGAAGGAAATCATCAAATATTTTATCACTTTTTGGAAAGCTTTGAATGTTGATGTCAAGTACATCAAGAAGGAGACTTTTACCGGCAGTGGTGAGGTTTTGAGACCGTTTTTGAAATTTAAAAAATTTTTTTTTGAAAATTTAATTTGTTGTTCAAATAATTTTGAGCCCCCTTTTCAAAGCAAATTTTTAGGGTTACAGGCACAGAATTATTTGAATAACTTAATATAAAACTTGCGTTTTTGCTGTAAAATAAGACTTTTCGAATAACCATTATTAATTTAGACATCTCCACCGCCCAACTTCCAAAATCACCGCCTGATGCCCAATCCACCAATGCTGTTGCCGCCTTTCATCAAGCCGCCGTTCAAAACAGAGGCAACTCCTTCACATGGCACGCTCCAATGAATCAAAGTGCTAGTAATGCCAACCTATCATCGAACACCTTCATAGCACCAAGTCAAAGATCGAGCACGGCACAGCGAACAAATTCGACCAGAACACTCAACCAGTCGAAAATCATGGAAAAACACATGAGAAATTTGTATAGAAAGCGACAGCTATTGCTGTTTTTGATTGTAAGTTTATGGTTTGATGGAAAAGGGGAAAGAACTTTGTTTACAAAGGCTAAAATGGAAAAAACTTTGTTTACAGACTAAAAAATAGCAAGGACTTTCTTTACGAAACATAAAATGGCAAAAACTTTCTTTACAAGACACAAACTTTTAGTTTTTTTACAGACTAAAAAACGGCAAAGACTTTCATTACAAAGCTAAAAAAGAGGAATATTTACATTTATCGTATAACTTGTCGTCTGCAGGCTGCAAGACGCAATTTTACAAGGGAAATGGCAATGACGTTCTTTAAAACAAAAAATGGCAATAACTTTCTTTACAAAACAACTAATGACAAAAACTTTCTTTACAAACCAAAAAATGGCAAGAACTTTCTTTACAAGAAATAGCTTTTCAGTCCCACGAAATTGACCGCCTCAATGCCTGGCTCAACCCACTAGGCTTACCGGAAGAAGAGAACTCAGACACTCAAATCGAAAACTATATCCGAACGGTACTTTTGGACCAACAAAAGCAATTTAAAGATATGGCCAGATTTGCATGGGAAATCTCGCCAGAATTGGCAGTTCACTTGGTACCACGTCTACCAGCCTACCCAGCTGTCAAGACGACTATCAGAGAGCTGGTACGACAACAACCAGAGGCCGTAACCCATCTGACAGAAGCTCTACAACTGTTTCTAATTGATTCCAACACTTTGATTGAAGCAGAAACGGCCAAGTTCAGTCACATATTAACATGGGTACATTGCTCACCAGTCATGGCTATATCATTATTGTGTCCCAAGATATACCCACCACATCCGAGCACGGCACAATACGCTGTAAATGTGTTGAGAGCGTGTCCACCGGACTTACTGTTACTTTATATACCACAGATTGTTCAGTGCATGCGATGGGATTCGGTGAGTTTACTAATACGTTACGGTGCGGTAGGTATGGGCTGTGGTATGATAGTATTGTAGCTGTCTTTCGTACTACTGTAGCTGTCTTTAATAGTACTGTAACTGTTCTTGATAGTAATATTGTTGTCTTTGAGGGTGTTTGGCTACTTCCGGTAGTACTATAGCTGCCTTTTATAGTACTGTAGCTTTTCTTCATGGTACTGTAGCTACTTATAGAGAATTTTAGTGTTGTTAATGGTACGGTTGGACAATTTATTACTCTGTTATACGTTTTTTAACTTATGTTACATTTTCAGATGGGCTACGTAGCCGAACTGATCCTCTGGCTAGCCAACCACTCTCAACTAGTAGCCCACCAACTTTTGTGGAACATGAATGCCAACATGTACCTAGACGAAGATGCAAAACAAAAAGATCCAGTACTATTCGAACCACTAAATACCATTTCCGAGAAACTAATCAATAACCTAGCTGGAACGGCCAAACGCTTCTACAAGGCTGAATTCGATCTGTTCGAACGAATCACTCGAATATCAGGCCAGATCAAGCACTTTGAGAAGGGTGAGAGTAGGAAGAAAGCTTGCCTGAAGGCATTGGCAGAAGTTCAGGTTGAAGGTGTTACCTACATACCTTCGAATCCGGAATGTATTATCATTGATATTGATTATTCTAGTGCTACGCCTATGCAGAGGTTGGTTTTGGGGGGTTTTGTTTTATTTTAAAATGATTTTTTATAGTTTTTAAAATGTTGAGTTTTTGAAAATTTTTCAATTTTCAGCGCGGCTAAAGCCCCATTCCTAGCCTGCTTCCGAATGAAGCAATGCGGAGTAGACGGAGTGGAAGACCTGGCCCTATCCTACTACGAAAAAGAGATTGAAGCCGAAGAGCAAAAGACCGCCAAGCCCAAAGCCAACATCGTCAAAGTGGATCCACATGGCTTCGTGAAGCACGACCCTCAAGTCATCAGAAAAGGTGCCATTTTCAAGGTCGGCGACGACTGTCGACAAGACGTTTTGGCTCTACAACTGATGCGATTAATGAAAAACGTCTGTGATCAATCTCACATAGACGTAGACTTCTTTCCCTATCGTGTCGTAGCCACGAATCCAGGCTGTGGAGTGATCGAATGTGTACCTAATGCCAAATCAAGAAATGAAATTGGTCATCAAACAGCTTTTACGTTGTTCGAGTACTTTGTGACATCGTATGGCGATGAAAATAGCGAAAAGTTCAGAAATGCCCGGAGGAACTTTGTCAAAAGCATGGCCGCCTACTCGGTGTTCAGCTTCCTGTTGCAAATCAAGGACAGACACAATGGAAACATCATGATTAATAAGGATGGACATATCATTCATATTGGTAAGGGAATGATGGTTAGAAATGGGTTTTTTAAAATTTTTAGTACTATTAGGTGCCGACATAAAGAACCCGCCATTTTTTACAAGGAATTACAGGAAAAGTATGGCGGGTTCTATATGTCGGGACCTAATATCTAGGGTCATACTAGGTTTCATTGCGTCAATTTTGTTAGAGAAAAGGCTTTATGATAAAATTTTTTCAGATTTCGGATTCATGTTTGAAAGTTCGCCCGGAGGTAATATGGGATTCGAGCCGGATTTCAAATTGAGTCAGGAGATGGTGGACATCATGGGTCATAATATGGAACACCCTGCCTTCAAACACTTTTCTTCGCTTTGTGTTCGCATATTCTTGGCTGTCAGGCCTTATTATCAAGTAAGGGAGGGGGGATTTTTGGAAAATTTTGAAATTTTAAATTTTTTTAGAAATTTTTAGAATTCTTTTGATTTTTTAAAAATTTTGCTTTAAAAAAGGGTTTGAGAAGCTGTTGGGCGTTACTTAATTGAAGTAAATTTTTTTTTTTCATTCCAAATTTTAAAATTTCAAATTTTATAAAATTTTGCTTTTAACGACTTTGAATTCTTATATTTTTCGTATTTTAGGACTTCATCTCTCTAGTCACCCAAATGCTGGACACAAAACTGCCATGTTTTCGTGGTAAGACCATCCCTCTACTTCGGAGTCGCTTTGTGCCAGAAATGAATGACAAAGAAGCGGCCAAGTACATGTTGGGAATCATAAACAACTGTTGCACTAACATACGATCTAAAATGTACGACCAGTTGCAATATATTCAGAACGACATTCCGTATTAACTTTGTCTTGTCATTTTTACTATGTTAGAGCTTTTGTAGAACGAATAGCTTAGTGGTTTTTAATTTTTTCGTTATACAGGGGTTCCACCTTATATATATTTTCATGTTTACTATGTATATTGTTTTAACCATTCTAACCATTAGTTGTACTATTATATATTGTTTGTTTGAGGACTTTTGAACTAATTTTCTTAAAGTTTAGGTGATAAAAATGGAGGTTTTTGTCTTGATTTTGTCTTACGCTAAGGCCTAGAGTGTTTCTACGGTTACGGTAGACGTTTTTTAGATGCTGTAGGGATACAGTAAATCTTTTAATTAAAATTTTTGTTTAAAGCATACTGTAGGGTTACGGTACATTGAAAAATAAAAAAAATTTGTCGGTCAAAAAGTAAATAGAAATACCGAAAAGAGTAAATTTTGTAAAAAAATTACGTTTTACGAACTTTTTGACCAACTTCTTTTTACTTTTTGTTTTAATTTGTCTGCTACGAAATAGTGATATAGAAAACTCATCGACACTTTGAACTGAAATTCTTAGTCATCATAGAGCTTTGGTACAATTTATAGTTTAATTGATGCACTTTAGAGTATACTTGGAACAATTTGTAGTATGTCTGGTACATTTTTCTTTGCCACATAGTATAATAACGTCAAACAATACTTAATTTAACAAACTTTGTATTAATATATTGTCACATTTTTATATTTTTGAAAGAATTTTATGATTTTTTTAAATTTTGGCATAAATATTTAAGTTAAAAATTTTTTTTTGAATTTTGGAAATTTAAAAAAAGTTTTAAAAAAATTTAAAAAATGTCGGTAAGTTGACAAGTTTTATGCCCTGAAGCAAGGAGCTACCTCCAAAACAACTTATTTAACCATATAATATAAAATATGCAAATTTATATAACTTATGCAAATTTAATCAATTTTAAAGTTGTGGAACTTCCCTCCAATGCCCGGAGGCAGCCCATGTTTTTGGACATTCAACCTAAAATTCAGCGATGAATGAAGAATGTAAATAATTTATCAAGAAGTCGGTTTGATATTCAATTTTTATTCCAGCCCCAAGGTCAAGTCCCATTTGTGGATGATGGCACTGAATGGGTGGAATAATTTACGCACTCCATGAATTTTTCAACCAACTCGAGGCCACAACTTAAAGACTTGGGTATTTGTCGAGGAGGACGTTTTCTTGTACGAGGGTTGGGTTGGAGTGGGATTGAGGTGTTGAGGTAGGGTAAAGATAAGGGTAGAGATACGGGAGTAGGTGTAGGGTTGAGTATATAAGGTCATGTTTAGAGAGTTTGCAGGTATATGCCGTTGAGTAGTGATAAGTGTAGAGGTAAGGTGGGGTAAGTGTAGACCAAAGATAAAGAAGGTACGGTAGACAGGGTCATCGATAGAATAAAGATAAAGACAAGTTGTAAGGTAGGCCTGTAGGTTTAGAGTAAGTAAAGAGCTGGAAAGGAAGAATATAGGTATAGCGGTAGAATTAAAGTGAGGCAGGTAAGGATAAAGACAGTAAAGTAAATAGAGTCATAATTAAAAGGATAGATCTTGCTTTGCCTTACTATCTACCTTATCATATGCTACTCTACTCTACTTTACTCTACTTACCTTGTCATATCTTACTCTACCGTTATCCTATCTTATCCTACTCTGCTTTACTCTACACTGTAGGGACAAACGGATGGGGATAGGATAAAGAAAATAATTAGCATAGAGATGAGATAAAGAGGTCGTTAGTTATAAGGGTAGTTTAAAGTAGTATAAAGAGTAGAGGAAGAGTGGAATTAAGTTTATGGGGAAGGTAAGTACAGAAGTGAAAGTAGAGTTGAAGTTGGAGTAGGTACAGGCGTAGTTTGAGGAGACTTTTTGGTGTATTTGAGTGGTAAAACGCTAGCTAAAAATGATAGTCGGTATAGATGTAGTGTAGTAATGTAGGGCAAAGATATAGGAAGAGAGAGATAAGATAGGGTAAAGTTAACGTCTTTTTTACAGTAAGTATACTACTTTAACTCTAAAAAAATGTTGTGTATTACAATGTACTGCAATATTATTTGAAGTTGTGGAGAAGGATATAAAGGGGCAAAATTTTTTTTGTAATATTTTTTCATACAGCATTTTCGTTTTCGTATTTTACAAATCTAAAAAAAAATAAAATTAAAAATTTTTTTTTTTAATTTTTGAGTTTTTCTTTTAAAATTTTTCGATTTTTTTTTAAATTTTGATTTTTTACATTTTGATCTTGATCTTTTATCATTATTACTTTGCTATATATATTAAAACTAATCATTTAGCCATATGTCATCATACCGCCATAAATAACCTCTAATAACCCCGATCGTATTCAGGTTGGAGTCTCGAAACATTCGATATCCGTAACATACTTAATGAAGCCAATTAATGTGGATTCGAATCAGCTGCATGTTTTCATGCTCTTCATCCATCAATCGTAAGGTCTTTTTTTATTTACCGCTTATGTTGCGCACCGCAATTATTTTTTTTTGCCCTGCCCTTTACTGCGCCGAAAATGGCCAGACATTGCCATTAAAGACGAGGGGGGGGGGAGGACAATTTAAATCCCTCAGGATCATAAAACGAAGATACGATCCGACACGCAATCCCTAATCTCGGGCGGTAGACAGGCTACGATACGGTCGCGGCTACATCATGCTTGTTTTCTAGATTGTCAAATTTTGTTTTTGGCTGGGCGGGGTGGCGAAATTTGGGGATTTTAAAGAATTTTTAAGGACTTTTGATTTTTGATCAACATTGAAATTTGTTGAGATAAGGTAAAAAGAGGGAAGAGGGGCGGTGATAAGAAGTACGTTGTGGTGAGGTGGGGGATGAGCTTGAACATTTTAGATAAGGCGCGGGAGGGGAAAGGAGGTAACTGTAAAAAAAGTAGTGTTAAGCGGCTGGGGTAAGAGTAGTAAAGAAAGTTCTTGCCATTTCTTGCTTTGTAAAGAAAGTTCTTGCTATTTTCTGTTTTGTAAAGAAGTTCTTGTCATTTTTGTTTTGTAAAGAAATTTATTGCCGTTTTTCTTCTTGTAAAGTAAGTAGATGTCAGTTTTTGTAAAATACGGCATCTCCCATGCGTTCAGCGTTACAATTAACTAGCTTTAAAGTTACAGTAGTCGCTTTCATTTCTACTTCATAAAAACCATCGCAACATACTGTCTTGGCCTTTTTTTATTTTCGAGTTTAGTGCCAGCTGTCCCAAAGCCGAGACAATGGACTTAAGGCTTGAATGCGCCAAAACAAGACCCAAAACTAAAAAAGAGGGGGGGGGGAGACACACCTGTCGGATCAAAAACCTAATTAACGGCAACAACTTTCTTTACGTAATAACCGGAAATATAGTGGTAAAGATAGAGACGACAGGATAGATATTGAGGTGTACGATAATTATTTACTGAGTAATTAAAAAAGTAATTAACTTTTTAATTGGAAAACGTGTGTTGTGTTAGGTAATGTACAGTAAATTGTTTACAGTCGAGAGTTGAGAAACAATAATAAAGTAAATGATAAGAATGGCAAAAACTTTTTGTAAAAGCCAAAAAATGGTAAGAACATTCTTTAAAAAGCGGAAAATGGCAATAACTTTCTTTGCAAAACGAGAAATGGCAAGAATTTTTTTTACACAACAAGAAATGGAAAGAACTTTCTTTACAAAATTAAAAAGAGCAAGAACTTTTTTTTACAAAGCAAAAAATGACGAAAATTTTTCTTTACAAAAAGAAATGACAAGAACTTTGTTTACAAAGCGAAAAATAGAAACAATTTTGTTTACAAAATAAAAAATGGCAAGAACTTTGTTTACAAAACAAAAAATGACAAAACTTTCTTTACAAAACTTTAAAAATTAGCTTTTTAATTCTCATCGTATAACCTGTCATCCGCAGGTCGCAGAATTTAGAATTTTGTTTTTCTGGCCATTGAAACGCGAACACTTTCTTTACAGGGCAAAAAATGGAACGGACTTCTTTGACAGATCAAGAAATTGCAAGAACTTTCTTTACAACGTTAAAAAATGGCACAAACTTTCTTTACAAACAAAAACATCGCAAGAATTTTCTTTACAAACCCAAAAATGGCAAAAACTTACCTTACGAATCATAGAATGACAAAAACTTTATTTTAAAAAAAATTTTACCGGCAAAAACTTTTGTTCATTGTTTGATTTTTTATTTATTAAATTTATGCAAATTTTTAAAATTTTTAATGTGTCTGTCTTCTCTCGTTCAAAAAGTGCATTTCCAAACTCCTATTGTCTAAAGTTGGGCATCAATTCGCATAGCCAACAAGCTCGGCGACGAAGAGGAGCCGATGCCGTGGGAACCAACCAGCGAAATTTCACGCGTCCTTGGTTTGCGGTTGGCCCCGCAGGCCATCTTCAATATTATAATGCATTCTTGATCCTGGGAACAGGACGCATTCATAATTCACTATGTACACAAGCTGGACAAGATAGGAATATGTTCTGTTATAAGGCTATGTTAGACTTTCAATAGGTTTTATAGTTTATAGTAAGTAAAACACTGACTTTACCAAAACATGTATATACCTACCATACTAAAACACATCAAAATCTACTCCAAACAACCCCAGCAATATCAAAAAATGTAAAATTTGTTACCTAAAGATACGATTACAGCCGTCTGTAACAAGATCCGACGGCCTCAGGTAATTGGGCAAGATCAAACACAATATTCGAAAAATGACTCAAATTACAACAAAAAATAAATCATGTTTGTTTTGGATTACTGTAAACCAAACAAAATTTTATTTCTGGAAAGAAAGTTATTGCGTTTTTGAAGGTTGGAGAGAAAGTTCTTGCCATTTTTTGTTTTGTAAAAAAATTTTTGTCATTATTTGATTTGTAAAGAAAGTTCTTGCAATTTTTTCTTTTGTAAAAAAATTTCTTGCCATTTCTTGTTTTGTAAAGAAAGTTCTTGCTATTTTGTGTGTTGTAAAGAAAGTTTTTGTTATTATTTGATTTGTAAACAAAGTCCTTGCCATTTTTTGTTTTGTAACGGAACTTTTTGTCATTTATTTGTAAAATACGTTGATTTATTTAAAAGTTACTGTACATTTTCAAAAGTTTAAGCCTAGACCCTTAGAAATAAAAAATTTTTCTTATATTTATTATATTATGTACTACTGTCCATTCCAAACTAGCCTCCAAATCACAGGTTGTTGGTATTGTGTTGCGGCAATTAGAGAAATGACCGCTTCGAACTGATGATTGTCGGCCTAATTTAGTAAAGAGCGCAAAAGTCGTGCGGCCATATGGCTCGTTTTGGCATGTCTTTTCAAAACGCCTGCTTCTGTATTCAGAGGGACCTTTTCCCATTTTCAGCTGTCTTTTCGTCTGCTTCTTTCGCCGTCTCTTCCGTTCCTGTGATCTTTAAGGATTGGCGAGGTTTTAGTGAGATTCGTACAAGTTTTGCGGTAAATTAGGTTACTGTAGAGATTTATGAACTTTAATTAGAAAATATATTCTAAAAATGCTAAAGTTTGGTATGTAATAAAAAATCAAAAAACTTGTTCAAGACGGATTAGAGTAGGACAAGGTAAGACAAGGTAGAATAAGGTAGAGAGGGATAGAATATAGTGACACAGAGTAGGGTAGGATGGAATGGGGTAGGAAACAGAGAATATGGTGGGTAGTGTGGAGTAGTGATAGGACATGACTTAATAAGTTAAGATAGGGAAGAGTAGGGTCAAGTAGAGTAAGGTAGGTTGAGGTAGGGTTTAACAAGGCAAGGCAAGGCAAAACAAGGCAAGGCAAGGCAAGGCAAGGCAAGGCAAGGCAAGGCAAGGCAAGGCAAAACAAGGCAAGGCAAGGCAAGGCAAGGCAAGGCAAGGCAAGGCAAGGCAAGGCAAGGCGTACAATACATTGCTTTCCAACGTATTAATAAAAGGACTATAAGTACAGAAAACTATTTTTTTTGTATTGGGTGCTACTTTTTATAGAGGGGGGAAGGGTAAAATTTGATTTAAAATTTTCACACATAAACCAAAATAAAGAATGCTAATTTAAAAAGGTACCCTTTGTAAAATACCTAGTAACTATTTTTTATGTTCCCCTCTATGTTAACATCCTAGAAGAATTACAGTTTGAAAACAAAGTATTTTCAATTTTGGCAGACGTTTGAAGTCGCCCCCCCCTTTTCTGCCGTCTCATTTTCCCAAGAGCGCTGATTGGTTGTCGCACCCCACCGTACCCCCTCGCACCCCCTACTTCGCTAGCCCTACTCGCTGCCTTATATTCATAACTACTCCAGTCTTTTTCCCTAGCCCTACTGGGCTGAGACGGCACTCTTGATACCCCCCCCTCTCTCTATGTCTTGCTTACGCCCCCCTCCCCCCCCTCTCCCTTAAGTCTTCCTTACGCTCCCCCTATCGGCGCGTTCGGTGGGCGGCGACAAAAACCCCACCCATGCCTCTTGGGCCGGGGGGACTGTTTACAAATTCTGTGGCGTCGTTAGCACCGCCGCCACTGTGGAGACCCCCCTTCATTCGCAATTCTGTAGTGTCGGTTCATTAGGCCCTCAGGGCATTTCGGCCTTCGCGGGTTATCAATATTTTAATTGATTTTGCAATGGATTACCTATTTTACTATTTTAGTGAATTCGAAATGGCGTGGGAAAGAGCCGAGGAAGAAGAATGAATGAATGACCGATGAATAGGGCAAGGAGTTGGGGTGGAGTGGAGGTTAGAGGGGTGGATTTGATGGTTACAGGGGTCGATTTGAGGTTAGAGGGGCAGATATGATAAATGTTGGAGGTGTTAAGGCTTCAGAAGCATAGTCGAAGATTGGTAAGGGTAGGGAGGATCAGGGTGTGGCAACTAGGGTAAGGAGTTGAGGTTAACGTGAAGGTTAGAGAGGTAGATTTGAGGGTTAGAAAGGTAGTTGAGGTTGATGTTAAAGGCGCTAAAGCCTCAGGGTTATCATCGAAAATTGTTAAGGTTAACAAAGCTGAAAGAGTGTCAGCAAAGGTAGACAGGGTACAAAGGAAAAGGAGATAGGGTTGAATGGCAGGGGGAAAGATAGGAAAAAAGGGGTGGATGTGAAAATTAGATAATAATCAACTGTTGTAGTACAAAAAATAACAAACATAATAAAAAAATTGACAAAATTACTTTTGTATTTTACTATTTATAGGGCTTTTAAACATGACACGTACTGTTTGATCAAACTTATGCTTTCAAAGATTTTAATATTTTACTAACCAATCTATGCAACTCGTATTTTACAATTATTATACCCTTAAAACTGCTTTGTTTTACGAATTACTATACCTTTAGAGTAGTCTTGATTATTAAAAGTACCCCCATTTCAAGAATCACAATACTATTTAAATGGTTGTATGATACATTGCTTTACCCGTATCGCTACTTTAAGCTTATAAAGCCAATCTAAAAATCATCGTGCTTTTGAAATCACCCTAGCCCTGCAAGTACTTTTAATTCCGAAATCTATTTACACTTATCCTAGAAAATCTTACCAAGAGCTTTTAAAATTACCCCAATTTTAAGCTTACCTTGTTGACAAGATCACTTTTCTTTCAAAATTAGTCTGCCCACAAGCTCACTCTACCCTTAATACTACCCTACCCATAAAATCACTTTAAGCATTAAAATCATTCTAACCCACATTGTTTTCGGCTTCAAAATTACCTCTACCTACCCCCAAAACCTCACTAACCTCTTTATGCTTTACATCTTTAAAGTTATCCTACCCACAAAATCACCCCACCCATACTCCCAAAAAACCGCACCAACCGTCCGCAAACCCTGAAAAATTCCGAAACTCCCACCTCCCCCACCCTCCGACATCCCTTCTCTGTCCTCCTAATTCAAAAAGCGATGAATAATTTCGAACAAGTATTAATAATTAACCCACCCCGCCGCCAAAACAGTTGTTAAATATTTTATGTCGTTTTTTTTTCCCAGCACCCGCCTCAAGTCATCATCATTGAGTCCGCAAACGAAAACCACAACGCCGTGGCGGTGGCTGCGAGTTCGGCCGCCGCCGCCGCGCCCTACTGGCTGCCGTCGATGAATACGGGCCAGCGCATCTACCCCAACCTGAATTCGATGAGTGCGGAACGGTACTCGCCTACGCCGTATCGGCAGAGAATGCAACAGGTTTGTTGGTTTTTTTTGGAGTTTTGCGATTGAAATTTAAAATTTTATTTGTTTAGGCATAGTAAAAATTAAATTTTTATTAGGGAGGGGGGGGGGAGGGAGTGTAAAAAGTAAAAAAAAATTATAGTAAGGGGGGGGGGGAGTAAAAATAAATCTTAAATAACAAAAAAATTTTTTGTACAGTACAGGGCGAGAGATTTTAAGCTGGACGTGAGAGAAGAAGGTTTTATATTAAGGTAGGGTAGAATCAGATAAAGTAGAGTAAGTTAAGATAGTACTGAAAGGTAGGGTAGAGTAGCCCAGGGTAGGGGACGTTTTAACACCCTAAAACTTTCTTTTTTATTTTTTATAACCTCCTTCCTTTTTTTAATAGAGGTGTAAAAAAAGCTAAACCGGACCTACTTTTGAGACCCGGCCCAGGCTCAGGGCCTAACTTTTATTTAGTTCCAGCCGTTTTTAGTTGGCTCAATCAAGAAAATTATAAACTGATATTGATCCGGCCAGTTTGAAACTAAACAAAACTTTTTTTTATTTTTTTTGGCACAAGCCTACTTTTTGAAAATATGCTCTCGGGCCGGGGCAACTTTTAAATCCAGTTCATATCAACTTTAGCTCAAAACTGGCCCGGACCTATACGACCTGTTTATCCTATTTACTTTTTACTGTTTAAAATAGCAAGCTCTACGCTATATGTCCTGCCACTTTAGAAATTTTTTTAAAAATTTAATAGAAAGCTAGGACTACTTAAAGGTAAAAAAGTTGTTTTTGCTTGAAAGTCAGGTACAAACAGATGATGATAATGTAAAATACGAGTGGTTTATGTTCGACATTAAAATTCCAAAACGTCGTCAGTTTAAAAACATATACCAGATTGAAAGGCGAGGGGTTAATAATATGGGTTTATTGTAAATTATCAGAGCAATCTGTTGTAGCAGATGCCAACTGAGTTTTCAATAAATTTAAAAACGATGTTAAAATTAATGAAATTTTGAAAATGTAAAAATTTTCAGACAAACTCAATCTTCGGAGCTTTGGAAGATCCGTTCTTTCAATCACGCGCTGCTCAAGCGGCCCAAGCCGCATTGGCCGAAATGGATGTGAAGAATGTAAATATGCAGGCCAACATGTTCACGTAGGTTTTTTGGTAAAATACGGTGATTATGTTTTCTTCATTTTAAAGTTATTTTTTTAAATTAAAATTTTTTTTTTTCGAAATTTTTTAAATTTTTAATTTTAAAAATTTTAAAAAAATTTTCATATTTTAGGTACCAATCTCAAAACCTACTAAACCCCTCAAACCAAGACATTGTGGACAACTCTCTAAATGTCAATTCCTCCAACGCCTCTACGAACCTTCTCGACTCTCAAACCACCAACGATGCGATGAGTCCGCTACAACAAGTAATGGCAATGCAGCATCATTATGGGCCTGGCGCCAGTGGTGCATTCTCACCTTACCATCAGCTGCCTCAGGCTAGCGTCGCGAATGTTGCGGCCGCTTTTCCTCACGGCAACATGAATATCATGGCGACGAATTCGAATTTTGTAGGAAATCCATTGAATGGAGTGCCTAATAACTCGTTGTTACCTAGATATTCACTGTCGCATGCTGGTAAGGAAATTTGGAAATAGAAAAAAATTTTTAATTTCTACCCTACCCTACCCTACCCTACCCTACCCTACCCCACCCTACCCTACTCTACCCTACCCCACCCTATTCTTCCCTACCCTATCCTACCCTGTGAGACCATACCCTGCCCTACAATAACGTAAGTCTTATTCATCTTACTGTACACAGCCTTACCTTAACTTATCATGTCATGACCTATCCTACTGCAACCTTTTCATAACCACTTTACCGTTTATTGAAATACTATGTTTTATCCTGTCCTATTCTATCTTGTCTTCCCCTACTTTAAGTTACATTTTTGTGCCCTGCCTATTTCTCTTAAAATTTAAAAATTTTTTTTTTAAAATTCTAAAGTAATCCAACCTGACTTTACTATAACTTTTTTTTGTCATACATCCTCTTAATAGCTTCAAAATTTTTCAAAAAATTTAAGTTTTTTATTTTTTTTAAATTTTATAACCAATTTTTTTTCAATTTTAATTTTAAAACCCCTCTTTTTCAGTCCCCGAAATAGACACAGATCCACGTGAGCTGGAACGATTCGCCGAGCATTTCAAGCAGCGACGCATAAAATTAGGAGTAACTCAAGCAGACGTCGGGAAAGCTTTGGCACATCTGAAAATGCCTGGAGTCGGATCGTTGAGTCAGTCGACGATATGCAGATTTGAAAGTTTGACACTATCTCACAATAACATGGTGGCACTAAAGCCGATACTACAGACGTGGCTTGAGAAGGTGGGGTTTTTTTTTTAATTTTTTTTTGAATTTTGAAATTTAAATTTTATTAGGAAATTATATTGGATGAAGCGTATTTTACATTTTCAAAACCTTGCCATTTGTTTTATTACCCCCTTCTCACCCCCCCCCCCTTCCATTCCTCCTCCCCTCGCCATTATTGATTGGCCGCCTCGGGGGCCGCACTGGTTGCGTTTCCAAAGAGGAAAATGGAGGTTTCCGTGTGCTGATTAAATATTAACAAGCCTTCGTGTTGACGGCAATGAATGGAAATGGCTGACTCTCGAGGCTTTCCCCAAAAATGGCATGAAATTCGGAGCGTAATGGTTGGGGGGGGGGATGGTATAATTATTATAATATGGTAAATGAGTTTTGAATTTTGTATTTTCATAATCTGGAGGCGATGATTGGATGCTGAGAAGGAGAGAATGGTGAAGATGTGAGAGAACGGACTAGTAAAAATGAAAAAATATTCAAAAAATGTTGAACAAGCTAACGAACACATTAAAAAAAACTTTTTAAATTACATTTTTAGCTTACAATCACGTAATATATACAATAGAGCATTAGCGTAACATATCGCTCTAACGATTTTATAAAACACATTTGTCGTATAACTTGTCAGCCGCAGGCTGCATGATAAACACTTTGCTTACAACGTGGTACTCCTGCATAACAAATCGCTCGGCGATTTTAAACTTGATGTTGGTTATAAAGGAGTTTATTTATTTATTTTTCAGTATTCACTCGTAAAGTCATAATATAGCATAAAATCATAATGGAAAAGACTTAAAGCGTTTGTCGACCATTACCGTTTTGGTATACGGTAATTTGAAATGCTTTGTGTAGACTAAGGTCTCAAATGTTGCTTGCTATACGAAATTGTCGTTTTAGAGGAGTTTGTTATACAAGGTGTTTAACTTTATTCAAAGCTTATTGCCATAGCTGATAATATGAATTACTCAAAATTTTAGTTTATAAGTTACAGTAGGATTCTTATATAACAAAACTCTTTTATAACGAAAAAATCAATGCCCCCAAGCGATTTGTTATACAAGAGTTGTATATTTCAATGAAATTAAATAAAACTTGTCTAAATGAGACCAAGGGTTCTTCTCTCAATTTCTTACTATAGCTCTACCTTACCCTGCCTTATCTAACCATTCCCTACACTATTTTATCCTACGTTACCCTATCAAACTTAAAATAATTGAAATACTCAAACTTTTAAATTTCAAAATTTTTAACATTTCGAAACTTTCAGGCAGAAGACGCGATCAAAAACAAAGCCTCAACAGCTGATGTAGTAGGTATTCTACCGAACTCTGATAAGAAACGGAAACGAACGTCAATAGCAGCTCCAGAGAAACGACTACTAGAGGATTACTTCAGGCAACAGCCACGACCCACAGGCGACAGAATTAGTGCCATCGCTGAGAAACTAGATCTAAAAAAGAATGTCGTCCGAGTTTGGTTCTGTAATCAGCGACAGAAACAGAAGCGGTAAGATGTTTGATCAATTTTTTAAAAACTTGGTCGATTTTTCAAATCTTGGTCGATTTTTAAAATTTGATCGATTTTCAAAATTTTAGTTCATGAGGGCAAATTTTTTTTTAATTTTAAAAAATAAAAAAAACATTGTTCGGTATGTAAAATATAAGTAGTATTGAGTCGAATTTAGACGATTCCGTTGCAGAAATCAGCTAGCCAACGGCTCCAACGACAACAAATACACGCCCAACCTGGTGGACCTCAAGTCCGGTCTGTTGCCCGAGGAATTCCTTCAAAGCGTTCACTCTGGCAATCTCGAAAACATGAACAACGGCCTGTGACACCTCAGTATTCCTTCCTTTGAGAATTATTATACATATAAAGTTGTTTTATGACAAACTATTTGGAGAGGATTTTAAATATACTAAAGCAAAGTAACTTTAAAAAGAGAGGCTGTAAAGATCAAGACTATTCTAAAATGGTTTTTTTATAATAGACTAAAAAAAGATACAAATTAGATTTTAATATAATAATATAAAATAAGGTAAAGTATTTTTTAAAAGAGCAGCGATAAATATAAAGTATATCTATAATTTTTTAAATATTAATTTTTTACTATAATAAATATTTTTAAACAGAACGGACACAAACATATAGCGATTCATTTTACTAACTAATTTTTCAATTTCTACCTAAAACAACAAAAATGGCAATAAAAAACTTACAAATCGCTTGTTGACCTTCCTTTAGCTGGGATCTGGCAGAATTCCTTCCTTAACCTGTTTTTTGAACCAGAATCGTCCGGAAACGTGTAAGCACATTCTTTAAAATCTTCTCCAGCCATTCTGTAGGTTTTCAAGTCCAAAAACTGCCCAAACTTTCATCTTTTAGCTCGAGATTGGCTATAACAACATCGAAGTGCAAAACCACATCAAAACAGTGAAACGTAGTATTGGGTGTCTAAAAAATTGACTATTCATCTAAAACAACATAAATATTATAAACAATACTTACCAATCAACTTTTAAAGTTGTTTGAACTTGAATCTGGCCAAATTTATGAAAACGTTACCGGAAAATACACTATAAAAATATAAAAGTGTTCTAATAAAATATGGAACACTCGAGCAAGCAATTGAATTTTAAAACATAGAGGCAATAGTTACGACAGAAATTTATAGAGAAATCAAAGAGCTTCATCGAATATTATCCATGAAAAAAATTGAAAATATTTTACGCGAGAATTTCCTTTTGGTCCCGCCACAATAAGTGTGCCAGGTTCATGGCGATATTTCAAAAACGGATTTTTCGGGAGTTAACAGGTCCTTTAAAGTACGCAAATCCGTAACATTAGAATGAATCCGCGCCAATCGGATTAATGTCGTGTCGGGACCCAGAAAAACAAAATAAAATATTATTTCCAACAATTATTTTTTGTTGCGAATCGGTTGAACATTTCGATGTTACCTGATGTTTCTGTTTATTTTTTGTATATTTACTATGTTTATTCTATACCTACTGTATCTAAATTGAGTCCTTGAGTTGACATATACTTATCGGAGTATTATTTTATCAGTCTTTCCACTAAAGAATTACACAAAATCGCAAGCCCCAATTTGAGGGAATCGCTGTCGCGCCGAGAATTGGGGAATGTCCATACATACAGCGAGTCGTGCGACATTCGCTTGCACCCTGCGACATCAAAAGAAGAATTGCAATGTCGCAAGGTGCAAAACCTTGCGACAAGTTGTCGTATCGCGGTTTAAAGGGCGATGCGACAGCGTGTCGCTGTTGTCGCAACGCTCAATTCACCATCGTGTTTAATGAAAGGTTTGCGACAAGTTTTCTTTGACTGTCGCAAGCCCCTTTACTTCTGCGACGACGGACCGGTGCGACAACTGGGGGCTTGCACTGTGCAGTCTTTCCAATATCGTTTGGGGTTGCAAGCGATCGCGGGGGAATCTGCACAGTGCAGGGGAATAAAAAAGGGCGCGATTTTCCCAGGGACTGCACTGTGCAGTTGTGTAATTCTTTAGTGGAAAGACTGATATAAATTTGATAAATATCAGTCTTTCTTGAAAAGAATGTTACAAAACTGCACGGTGCAGTTTGAGGGAATCGCTATCGCGCCAAGAATTGGGCGACAAGCGACAAGGTCTGCGACAGTCGCTTGCACCCGGCGATATCCCAATGGAGATCGCAATGTCGCAAGTGCAAAGCTTTGCGACAAACTGTCGTGTCGCGCTTCGAATGGCGATGCGACAGTGTGTCGCGGTTGTCGCAACGCTCAAGCCACAACTGTGTCCAATGGAAGGATTGCGACACGTTTTTTTGACTGTTGCAAGTCATTGAATCCTGCGACAACCGACCGGTGCGGCACTGAAGGGATTGCACTGTGCAATCTTTCCTCACATCGTTGGCTGTATCGGGTGATCGCGCGGGAAATCTGCACTGTGCAGCGGAATAAAAAGGGCGCGATTTTCTCGGGGACTGCACCGTGCAGCTGTAACATTCTTTAGTGGAAAGACTGATAATATTGTGATATATATTTGTTCACTCTTGGAAATTCTTGTTTCGCAGGTAAACTATAGTGTCAATGCTTTTAGAGATTTGTTATTGCAAGCAAAATAATATAATTATTAATTTTTACCTAATATATATGTTTTACGTTATAATTTATATTATTTTAGGTGAAACGGAAAAATTTTAGGTAACAATAACAGACCCGCACCTTTTGATAGAAACAAATTGGACCAAATACGCGGAGTAACTCGGTAATTCGTACTTTAACATTTCGTATACATTGAATTGATATCTTAATCTATTCGTTTTGTTCAAAGCTAAAAGGAAAGGCCAAAACAGTCCTCATTAAAATTTTTTAACTTCTACTATCTGACTATCTGAGATTGTTTAGCAGTTTTGTTAAAATTTAAATTACCAAAATTTTTTACCCACCACATAACATCGATATATACATTATGTTTTACACTCTTCAAGAATACGGTTGTTATTGAAAAACGTTTGCGAGGTATGAAAATAATGGACTGGACCCCTGGGGAGGGGGGAGGGGAGTTTCCTTATCTCATCTCGGCGAAACGTTTTTCGGCCGCAGAATGGCCATAAAGTTGTGGGGTTATGACTAATTGTCCATCACCTTGAAGTTGCTAATCGTTGAAGGCAGGGTTTGCTTGGCCGCAAATTGGGCAAACTTTCTTTGAGTTTTTTCCGAATGCCCTAAGGGATTTTTTGAGAAAAAGTTTGTTTTTGTTCAAAAAATTTGAAAAAGGGCATTTTTAGATAGATATTGTAAAAATATTGGCATTTAAGGGGTGAGTGATGATAAGGAATGGTGTAATATAATAGTAGGGGCAGGGTGATAACATAAATATAATTTTTTTTTTTAAATTTATACTGTAACATAGACCCATTATGTTATTTTTTATTGTATGTCAGTATAAGCACATTTAGATAGAGGTTTTTATGGTATGTTTAGGTATTAACCTACATAGTAATAACATGTTTAGTCGCTGTAAATTGAGTTTGAGCAGTTGGGACTGGCTTCGAAAATAGTTTAAACTGGCATTTTCTCAACTGAAGCCTACAATTAGATGCTATTCAAATACTTTGTTCTTTGGAAACATTCGAACTGCAGTAGTTTTACAATGTAAAACATCAAAATATGTTTTAACTTTGTACTTAACTTTGTATCCAGTAGGGTAGGTTTAGTAAGAATGAGATAACGATTTGATGAGGTAGTGTAAAATAAGATGGGTTATGAAAGAGGTAGAATGGGAAGGGATAGGGTAGAATAAGGTAAGATGAAGTAGAATGGGGTAGAATGGGAGTAGGATGGTGTAGGATGAGGGTATGATAGGGTAAGATGAGATAATATGTGGCCGAATTTAGCAGGATGGGACATTATAGGAGTTAGATAAGGTAGGATGAAAAAGAATGTGGTAGGGTAGAGCAGGATAGGCCAAGACGGGGAAGAAAGGGAAAAAGGGGAGGCGGTTAGATTGACTACAATGATTTAGGGTAGGGTAGGGTAGGGTAGAATAATGTAGGGTAGGGTAGGGTAGGGTAGGGTAGGGTAGGGTAGGGTAGGGTAGGGTAGGGTAGGGTAGGGTAGGGTAGGGTAGGGTAGGGTAGGGTAGGGTAGAGTAGGGTAGGATAAAAATCAAAGACTTGTTTAGCTTTTCGTTTTTCTTTACTTCCTGTGTTCAACACGCGATATCTAGCTTCTTCAATATTCAGTTTGGCCGTTTATCTCTTAGAAGTAGCTTTAATTCGGTTAATACAAATTGTTGATTTTAAAATGGATCTTATAGCACAAAGCATGTTTCCAAGCACATCATATCAAGGTGGCTCACCAGCTACTCCAAGTTCTGCTAAAACAGGTAGGTCATTTTAATTTTTTTTGTAAAGTAAGTTCATGCCGTTTTAAGGTCTGTAAAGAATGTTTTTGCTATTTTATGCTTTGCAAAGAAAGCTTTCGTCATTTCAGTTTTTGGAAAGAAAAATTTTGCAACTTTTTAGTTTGTAAAGAAAGTTGTTGCAATTTAAGGTCTGTAAAGAAAGTTCTTGTCATTTTAAAGTCAGTAAAGAAAGTTCTTGCCATTTTTGCATTTTTGTTAAACATAAGTGTATGTATTCCCTCCCCCCATCAAAACATCGTAAGGTTACCTATAGTCACTAGTATCCTAAAATTCAGGCCCGGCACTTTTCTTTTATTTTGCACCGTCTAGGCCCGGCTGTTTCCTCATGTCTAGCGATCTGCAGAACAACAAGGAAATATCATGAAAAATAAAAGTTTGTCATGCTTTTTCACACAAACATTATCCCATAAATAATGGCATAAAAATATTATTACAGCTGTAACCTTTTGGCAGCAGATGCCCGTGATAGAACGAGTCCTCTTTTCCGGTCTTCTTTACCACCCCCGTCCCTCTGAAAACACGGCTTCGTGGGAAATCGAAGCCGTTTTTGTTTGAGGCTTAAAATGTTTCGCCAAAGATTAATCGTCAGTATCAGGGCGCGGTAAAAGGGCGACGGGACGGGCACGCCAAACTATTTTTTTCGAATTTAAAACAGTTTCGGCACTTAAATTATTCGCCGTTCCCACTTACTGCGCTTCCAACCAGTTTTGTTGGCACGTTCCTCAAAAGGGCAGTGGGTTCAAGGGGTTCCCGAAATGAAGCACCGGTTCATGCGGTTTGGCTGAGGAGTTCATAGGGATTCGCTGGGGTTTATGGATATATGTTTTATCAACTTTGACGGGTCTTATAATGAAAATCCGGGTGGAGTAGGGTGAAAACAAAGATAAGATAAGACTAAACAAAGAA